GAAACTAAACGACATGTTATGTTGACATATATAAATCAGACGTTACGTGTATATGATGCACTTCGACGTTGAAAACATAAACATGTTATTGTCTTTGTTTAACTATTGCGTGCCGTCTTAAGCCAAAAGAGATAGCATTTCACTGGTCTGTGTCAAACATGAGAATCGAAAATGAGTAACGTCATCTTAAATGTCAACCGTGTCCATTTCGCAGTACATGAGGTCTTAGAGGATGGAAAAAAATAAAAGAAAGGAGCTGCCCTAAGTACAGAATCAACGTGCATATTACCAAAATTTGAAAGTTACAAATGGCGGATTTCTTTAGTGTTGTACCATAATCTATCGATAAGTCATTATCGACATGCAAATGTATGGCTTGAATTTTTGTTTCTTTAGTTTACTGTAACCAAAGTATGCCTAAACAAACACAAGTCTGATAATTTAATCTCGAGTGGTATACTATTATAAATGTCAACACACATTTTTAAACTTCAAAAAAAATTTATTTTCAACATTACAACTGGTAACTTATTTAGTAAAAGTCACCAAACTGCTGTGCAGTTTGTTGGCGACATGCGCATTCTTGCTTAATTATACCTACTTTACTTGTATTTAACATTACGTAGTATTAATTGTACTTACTAAATAAAATATAAAAATTACTTTAAGAGGTACGCCTTTAACCTACATTTTAGTACATATTTACATAACGTAAACCAATAAACCTAAATAAATAAACCTAATACCAATAAACCTAATGATGGAATAGCATTGTCATGGAATCTAGTTACATTTAAAGTTCTGTTAAAATTTGACTCTTCAAAATGAAGCGAACAAATGAAGATGGTCTTTGATCCAACGTTTATATTCGGCAGTCCTATGATTTCCAACCATTCTTTCTTCCTTTTTTCATTTGTAGGAAAATTTGAAATAATAATAATAAAACAATAAAAACCTCATAGTGAATTGTTTTAATAACAGAATATCGATAATATGTATGCTTACAAGATCAACACTATCTCAAAATAATCGTTAACAACAATCATCAAAATATACAAACAAACAGGCAATCTAAAGTAACAAAAGCAAAATTTGGCAAGATTTATAAATAAACTACTTAAATAAGTCTAATTACGTAAAATATTCGGGCTATTGTGTGATTTATAGACAAAAAAATAACACATGCCTGTGCAATGTAACATTCGATTGATTTGCAGTTTTTCTAAAGCCGCATCCTTTAATGCTGCAGCGTCGCATTTTTATTAATACCTAATTATTCTCACTGTCAATATTTTTGTCCAATTTAATTATAATACATGTGAATAATTCAATAATACATTTGGAAAAACATTTGTTTTGACATTTGATGTACTTCCCTTTGACAACGGTATCCTGTACCTCATGTACTTGAAATGGCCACGGTTGGCATTTAAAATGACGTTACGAATTTTCGATTCCCGTGTTTGACACAGACCAATGTAATGCTATCTCTTTTGGCTTAAGACGGCACGTAATAGTTAAACAAAGACAATAATATGTTTATGTTTTCGACGACGAAATGCATCATATACATATAACGTCTGATTTATATATGTCAACGTAACATGTCCTTTAGTTTCCATAGTCTAAGCATGAGGTACATGGTACGGTTGTCAAAGGGAAGTACATCAAATGTCAAAATAAATGTTTTTCCAAGTATTTTATTGAATTATTCGCATGTATTGTAATAAAATGGACAAAAATATTGACAGTGGGAACAATTAAGTGTTAATAAAAATTCGTCGCTGCGGCATTACGGGATGTGGCATTTGAAAAAGCGAAGATCGACCGAATGTAACATTGTACTGGCACGTGTTATTTTTCTGTCTATAAATCACACATAAGCCCAAATATCTCATATAATTAGACATATTTAAGTAATTTATTCAAAAATCTTGCCAAGTTTTGCTTTGGTTTCTTCAGATTGCCTTTTTGTTTGTATATTTTGATTATTGTTGTTAACGATTATTTTGAGATAGTGTTGTTCTTGGAAGCGTATTAACATATAAGCATGTTATCGATAAACTGTTATTAAAATAATTCACTACGAGGTTTTTATTATTATTATTTTTACTATTTCAAGTTAACCTACAAATCATAAAAGAAAAAAGAATGGTTAGAAATCATACCGCCGTATAATAGTGCCGAATATAAACATTGAATCGAAGACCATTTTCATTTATTCGCTTCATTTTGAAGAGGCAAATTTTAACATAACTTTGAATGTAACTAGATTACATGATAATGCAATTCCATCATTAGGTGTATTGGTAAATATTTTTATATTTAATTTAGATTAAACAAGACTCATTTTCTATGCATTCTCAGTTCCTGAAAACAAAATTATCCACTCGTTTCCGATTTTTTCCCACTGACAGCTCTAATTACTAAAAATTATTATTTTATAAAGCCAGCAATACAATGACCATGTCGGTCCAATGTTGCCGGGTGAAGGCCAATACCAACGTATAGACAACCTATTTGCCTTGCCTTGCCTTGCCATCGTTCGGTGTCACTCGACTAGCTGACCGAGTGAAGGCGAGCGCTAACGTGTTCGTTTGACGTGGCTTGTCACAACTTGCAGTCGCTCGTGGCTACTTGCCTCACGTCATAGAAGTGTTGATTTATCTGTACAAATCAAAGGCGCTCGGCCAATAGTAGTCAATTGACGTTGTATAATCAGACATTTGCATGCTATTTAATATATGCGAAACATGTTTATACTAACACTGTCTCTTGGTACATCTCCTGTTGTACCATATTTTAAGCAAATAAACGTGTGATAATAATATTATTATTGATAATATAACTACTTTCATTTATTTCCAAAATTAAATGGAAGTATTAAAGATTCACGTAATCAGTCACTGATATTATTAATTCTATACCAATGCATAAATACAAAAAAGCCTACACTATTTGGAATTTGTTTAAAAATTTCTCTATGAAAATATGAAGCTTGAGGTTGGAAATGTATAAGAGTTATATTTCATAGTTTTATATTTTTTATATACTCTCAAATTACATTTTTTCTGTGCAAATTCACTTTTTGTAATATTTGAGTATTTGTAAACGCAAAACAATAAATTCAAAATTTCATGTGACATTCCCGGATATTCCCATTTAACCCAAAATATTCCCAAATGGAATATTGATCTACTTTAATTAAATGTTTTCATGTCGATAATGACTTATCGATAGATTATGTTTCGACACTAAAGAAATCCGCTATTTGTTCGTTCAATTTTTGTTTAGGTATGCACGTTCATTCCGTAGTTAGGGCACCTCCTTTCTTTTATTTTTTTTCTGGAATATATTTTATTTCGGAAAATATTATCAAATATATTTTTTTCGAGAATGAATTGAGATTTCACCACACTATTGTAATCTGTCAAAACGGCAGGCAAGGTACAGCAACAGCAAATAGAACAGCGACAACAACTGACTAAAGTGTTTAGAAGTTTTATATTTCTAATTATATATTTTCTTTAGTATCTCATTGGTTAACATTAGATTTTTAGTGATGTATACACCTGTAGTGACTTGGCACCTTGTATAGTCAACCTGTGTGTATTTTTTTAAAATATTGTTTTGTGTTAAGTTGATGGTGTATCTTTAAATAAATAAATAAATAAAAGTGAAACAATTGACGACACCCGTCAATTGTTTCGAATTCGGGCTGGTCAATGGAGCGCTTTCGTCTCTATTTCTGGTTACGGTTGACGGTTTGTAGTGACCAGAGTTAAAAACTTCAGCTCCTTATACAGTTAGAAAGTATATACATAGAATCTTTAAGCGTTACTTTTAAACAATTTTTATTAAAAAAGGAACAGAATTCAAACTTTGCTTATGTGTTTCATTATTCATTCATGTTATTTCAGTGCGTGAAACCGGATTCATCCCCTAATTTGCCATCCTTAGAAGTGGAATATTTCTTCAAATTTAAATTGGACCTACCCTCTTTTTCCAACAAAAAAGACACACCAAAATCGGTTCACAAATAGGAGTAATCGACCTCCTCTTTTTTTTGAAGTTGTTATTTTCCAGGTGTGGTCTTATTACATCAAAAGTGCGAATTTTGGATTTTGACATAGTTCTAAATGTTATAGAATTATACATGATCCACTATTGTGTAATACAATACGTTGGTCTTAATTTATAAGTTTAGTTATATACTTGTGTCATTCTCGAAAATTCTGACAAGTTTTGACTCTAGCACGTATACAACTCGTGGAAACAACTTGGTGCCTAACAACAGCAACTCATTCAAGGATACGCTCCATGACGACAGCTCTTAATAATACTGAATAAATTTATTCTGTATCTACACGTGTACTATAAATGTTATTGTCTTTCTTAACCGATTTTAGAAAAGGAGGAGGTTCTTAATTTGTCGTATTTTTTTGTGTATGTAATTCTGATTACTAATTTTGACGACGAACCGATTTTGATGATTCTTTTTTTTGTTGGAAAGAGAGTACCTCAATATTGGTCTAAGAGTGGCAAACTAGGGGATGAAACCAGTTTCGCGCACTTTCCGGTCACCGATTTCAATAAAACTTAGCAAATAGATGTAATTCCACGAACTTATGAAGTCGGTTTTTTTTTATAAAAAGTAATTTCTATAATATTTAGGGCGTGATTCTGAAAGTTACAGTGTTTATGATTTTGGACAGTTTGACAAAGTTTTCAAGGTGGCTGTTTACTTAACCGAAACCTAACATAAAACTATTATCCTAAAATAATAAAATGCAAAATTGCATAAACTTATTTGAATGTTTTTTGGCCTCAAATCTGTTTGCTCAAAGTCAACTAATAAAACAAAACTGGTTCCTGTTAATGCTTTAGAAAAAAAATCTTTTTATTCGACGCAAACCTGTCAAGTTTTTTTTTTTGCTAACACTAATGAATATTAAAAACTATTTTTACTTAATAATTATATTATTATTATTAATAGTTCTTTATTCTATGTACGGTTTTATGATAATTTCGTCACTTTGCCTCTTTCTTCGATGATAGAGCCATTCAAATAGCAACACTGAAGAAGCGGAGAAAAATCCTGAAATAAATGGAACATGGTTATTACTTAGATCATATTTAAAATACGGGACGAACAAGTCGCACCGTACACTGGCGATGCGTGTCTTTGAATGTTACTAATAATAATCATTCGAATGGGCAAATAATTCGCCCAAGTCGAATTCAAGCAATCGACTCGATTTTAATGATTACCGATACCGAATTCCCCTGCATTTAGGTCGAATGAAAGAGTCGAATGATTATGTCGGAACTCTACCATAACAAAACGTCCCCGTCCCCGTCACATTTACGGTACTTACCATATGTCAGAGAGGACTAGTCGATCACGAGTATACATCGTAGTTTATATTTTTTCATAGACTCATATTAGCAGAATGCGATGACGACCAATTTTTTTCAGTAGAAATAATAATTTTCGTTCATAAGAATGAAATAGAAAGATTTAAAAAAGTTACGTAAAAAAAGTGGAAAAAAAAAACGTTGACTTTGGTCATTCGAGTACAAGAGTCAGAAATGCTCTATGGAATCTATGGATTAGTAATGAATGATCATTCAAATCATTCGGATACAAAAATGAGTAGGTTACTAATTTGTCATTCGAATGACAGAATTACTAATTACTAACGAACCCGAATATCGAAATCATTCGCAATCGCGCATCGCTACCGTACGCCTGGTACCAAGCGACACGCCCGCCCATAACAGCTACAGAGCTACTCATAGCCTTAAATGTAAGGGGCACTACCGCCGTATCCTGACACTAGTTGACAAGTCCCATGTACCTATAATTGTACCAGTACCCTTGCCCTTCTAAACAGTAATGGTCACATTACTGCTTAACGGCAGATAATGGTAAAACGAAAGTGGTGCAAACGCGATGCAAAAGCGATGCAAACGTAAAAGTAATCGTCTACCTTTACATACACGCACGACTTTAAGCAGCGACAGAAACGCGATGCAAACGCGCGACTGCATCGATACAAACGCGCAATTGCATCGCTACGCTTGTGATTTATAAGCAATTGCATCGATGAAATCGCGCGTTTGTATCGATGCAGTCGTTTGCATCGCTGCTAAAACTCTAAGGTGACAGTATTTTTCTGGGCAAACTTTTTCACATGTAGCTCGACTGCAACAAAAATTTAAAACACTATTCCGGTTTTGAAGGATTAGGGTACTGGTGAATAGGCACATGGGGCTTGTTAACTTACGTCTCAGGGTGACCAGCGCAGTGGCAGTGCCCCTCAGATCTTTGCGATCTAAAGCTATGATTAGCACCGCAAGTGCTGTGGACAGGCGTGTCGCTCACCACCAGGCGCACGACTTGTTCGTCCCGTCACTTGGTATCGTAAAAAATAGTCTTCTTTACCTAAGAAAAGCACAAAGAAGGAGCCCTGCATGTCACTCAAGTTGACGGTGTGGTTGTTGACCTCCTGCGCCATTGAAGTTGTCTTCCAACAACGGTCGCGTTTCGGCAGATACGCACTTAGCCACTTTGTTGTCAGACCTGCTTTCTGCATTCGGTTTATCCTGCCAAAGAGTTAAACAACTAAATAACATATACATCTGAATAACAAACAATTTAATTAGTACGTAGAGTTCGCAATAGCAAGGACTTCTTTAATATGTGAGAAAACTTTTTAGTGCCATCAGAGCGCTCCATAATTCAATTTTGTGAAGTACGTATTAGCGGAAAATTAAATTATAAAACACAACTTTTCAACCACTCAATCTGAGAACTAAAAATATCCGTAACAGAGTGAAATCATTAAAATTCAAATTATTTTATTAAAAAATGTCTCAAAATTTTACTTAACAGGTACAAAGGCGTTATCATTCGGCAAAAAAGAACTATTTTTAAACAATATAAAATATCAAATATGACGCTCTACCTACTGCCATCTGATTTGTTAAAATATAAGCGGTAGGTACTTGGAAGTTAATTTGCGTATTCAAAACTCTTCGTAACAATTAATCTTACAAGAATACTACATAGACTCCGTAAAATTTAGTTTGATTACAATGATAGTTTGACAAAATTCCGACGACGTAAATTTGTAGCAGCGTCTTACTAAAGTATAGATATTTAAATTACCACGTATTAACATCATTATTGAACTCCACAAATTATTTATAAATTACTTTTAGAGTTAATTATACTTAGATATTACTAAAATTTGTTTTCACAACTACGCACGATTAAGTTACGTCTGACGGAGAAAAGTTTGTGAGGGTCACGTCCAACATAGAGAGTCATGAAACTCTTTCAGTGATTCGCCTTAACATCGATTCTCGATTTCACGGACCGACGTCACTGCGCACTATTTCATCAAGTTTATCAGATGTTATTCACAAAGTTAAATTTTACGGACTTATAATCGTAATAAGGACACAAATAAACGGACGCACGTTGCACATCTAAGGCACTTACAAACATAAATAAGTGGCGGAAACTTTAACCGAAACTCAAACAAATTGACATTAATAACGAACAGCTCCAAAAAACTGGCCGAAATCAGGAAGTATCAAAAGTAACCTTATTCCAAAGATCTGAAGATGACATTGGCTAATTACATACTTACTCTTTATTTATCACAGACAAATACGGGCTTCCAGCAGGGACAACCATGGCTATTTGCTCATCCAAAAACTCTTCCACACCTGTTGACACATTGGAAATCCGTATCAATTACAACCAATGAGGTCTTCTTCCTTTTTGCTTCGCCAGTGAAAATGACAGACTTACTTAGGGCAAAATCGCAGGTGTCCTTGACAAGATGATCCGCTCTCATTAGGTACTGCAATCGTAGTTTCCAATCAATCAACACGTGCCTTTGGGAGCGCACTCGGTCTAAAATATTTGTCCCTGAAACGTTATTATTAATGGTTTGGCTGATTTAATTATTTTTGTTTATTAATCTACTTACATTAAGCTGCTAACAGATTGACTTCACGCATTAATTGCGTGAAGTCGATCTCGACTGCATGAAGTCGTTTTCGACTTCCAGTTAATGCGTAAAGACGGTATCAACTCCATGTAGTCGAGGTCTCGAATAGCGACTTCACGCATTAACTGCATGAAGTCGAAACCGACTCGTGAAGCCGAGATCAACCACATGCAGTTACTACGTGAAGCCGTTGTCAACGTCATACAGTCGAGGTTTCGACCACATGAAGTTGATTACGACTTCACGCATTAACTGCAAACATGCAAGTAATCTGTTAGCAGCTTTAGGAAAACGTTATGACATTTTTTTGACAATTGCTGCGCAAGTTACTAGGTAATGTCCCTTTTTTGTATATAAGATCATTTATTTTGTTACATTGTATTTGGAGAACTTGGTGTTGAATATCGAGTTTTTAGGTTTTTTATATATCTAGTTCTTAGGTATCTAAATCTTGAATATTTGTTTTTTCAAACAAACTGTAGTTTTAGGCCCTTATTATTATGTGACGTATAACGAGCCCAAAACATTTTATTTTTGTGTTTGAAATACGCGATTTAGAACCATCGAAAAAACAGTTTCATTTCCATTGAAGTGTTGAATCTTATGATGACTATTTCATTTTGACATTTGCAATGGCAACTTCGCGCTGCAAATCTTTGGATTCCATCTTTTAGCTACAGCTACAACAAACTAATTTAACTGTATTTTGTACGAATTTAATTATACACTGAAAGGTCTTACCCGATTTCAAGGTCCCCTCAATGCCTCCTGCTCCTACAGTTAACTCAGCTCCTTTTAAGAGTGACGTATATTTTGGCTGGTCTGAATTCTGTACAAAGGTAACACTAATGAAATGCAGTTTTATGTAATATGAAGAATAGTTCGAAAGTAATGTGACACGGTCGTACGAAATGTTAATCGACTGACTGACCAATGAAACCGACTTCATGCAGCCGAGATCAACTGCATGCAGTTAATGCGTGAAGTCGTTATCAACTTCATGCAGTCGTGGTCTCGGCTGCATGAAATTGATTACAACTTTGTGCATTAACTACAAACATGCAGTCAATCTGTTAGCAGCCGTTTAATTTCGTATCATAATAGAACATCAAGAAAAATGGTAAGTATGTACCTTAAGCTCACTCTCCAAATAAGATCCTTTATTCAAAGACCAAGTATAAGTGGCGCTGTTCTCCAGCAGTTCAGACACAGTGGTGACTGGAACCTCCTGTTTAGGGAAAGTGAGAAAGGCGACTAGGTTGCCGGAATACGTGGTCACTACCACGAGGACCACTAGCCACCACGTGCCGACGACTAATCTACCACTGTCTGCTCGGGGCAGATACATTCCACCTGAACAGAGATTTAGATGATAAAATTAAACTCTTAAAAATTGTTTTTCCAAATAGCTGCTGACGCATCATTTGAGACCTTTCTTTTCCAACTTACATATATTCGGGTTTAAATATTGTTTTTCTGTATATTTGTTTATTCAAACAAACCAACGTTTCGAACTCGTCATAAATCCCATGGCCACGACTGACACGGATTATATACCTGGTGTCCGAAACATTCGTTTCTTTGAAAAAACAAATATACATACAATATAGATCCGAAAACATAGTATAATTTCTAAAGTCCTTACATATTTTACGAAGAAATAATTGTTATATAGATTTTAAGGCTTTCGTGGTTATTCATTAAATGATGGCCATAGAGTGAAAACCTAGCACACGCATTTTCACATAGTTCGTTTTTTTTACTAATTTTTGTTGTACAATAACTTTTTTTTTATTATACCAAGTGACGGGGCGAACAAGTCGTGCACCTGGTGTTAAGCTACACGCCGGTCCATAGCAGTTGCAGAGCCGCTGCACCTGTCACCCTGAGACATAACATAAGCTCATCATCAACCCTTTTGTACGTCCGACTGCCGGGCAATGGTCTCCTTTCAGACGAGGCTTTAGGCCACAGTCCGCCACGCTAGTGCCCAATGCGGGTTGGAGACTTCACACGTTTTCCGAGGGTTGTGAACTTTCTTAGACGTGCAGATTACATCACGATGTTTTCCTTCTCCGAAAAGCTCATGATAAATTTCAAATTAAATTTCGCACGTAAATCAGGAGAAACTCAGTGGTGCGGGCCCGGATCCGAACCCACGACCCTCTGTTTGAGAGGCAGTAGGTGAAACTATTAGGCTACCACGGCTTAAGAGAAAGGAGACTCAAGTTGACAAGACCCATGTCTGTAATTTTACCAGTACCCTAACCCTTCAAAACCGGAACGCAATAATTCTCACATAACTGCTTAGCGGTAGAAGCAGTTAACGTGGCTGCCGGGTGCTGCGTTCCAATTTTGAAGGGTTAGGTTGCTGGTGAAAGTACAGGCATATGGGACTTGTCAAATTTATGTATCATTGTGGCGAGCACAGTGGCAGTGCCCTCAGATCTTTGTGACATAAAGCGTTGAGTGGCATTACAACTGTGACGGTGCTGACCTCCCAGTTTCGCAGCTATAGGGCTGGTTGTGAAAGAGTACGTCCAGGGAAGTACTGGCACCTTACCTATTTCTGCCGCCTAGCAGTACTGTTAGCAGCTTGGAAGGGTAAGGGTGCTGGTGATATTACAAGCACATGGGACTACTTATGTCTCAGGGTGACCGGTGCAGTGGTAGTGCTGTTCAGATCTTTGCGATTTAAAGCTCTGAGTGGCACTGCAACTGTTATGGACAGGCGCGTAACTTGCCTTCAGGCGCACGACTCGTTGGTCCCGTCACTTGGAATTATAAAAAGAAATCTCATCATAAAAAGGTGGTATCTTCTTTTCTGGTACTTGCCACTTATTTTTTAAATTTTGAATCGTTGTCATATTCTTTTTCCTTCACTATTCATGCGTTTGTTATCACAGTGTCGTGACTCCCGTAAAAATTGTCTTGTGCTTTTTATAACGAAGTACTACAAAAATGTGAGGAAAATTGTTTGTGCACATACATTATTTGCAGAGAAGTTCAGAATGTCGAAACTACCGAGTACCTGATACGTCATGAAGTGATAGGCCTTCAACACTTCTATAATTCAGGGTTCTCAGACAAATTCAGGGTTCTCAAACAAGTCTAGGATGAGCAAACGAGATTACATACAGGCTTCACAACTCCTATGGTTACAACCACCAGACCCACAACTTAATACCCTAAAAAATTCATACAATATTACAGCACTCACCTTGTTGCAACAAAGCTCCGTATATGTACCACAAGCAGTTGTGAATGGTAGACAGTCCACCCTGACGTGTGATCTCCTTGGCTTCATAATATGGACTTAGTCGATGGATCACAAACAGTACAGGCCCCATGAGGATGACTGCTAGGCCCAAGCATAACCAAGTCTGGAAAATTTACAATTACTTGTTATTACGGTCATTCTCTGACTACTTAGTGATCACGACCTAATTTTCGTGGCATTTTTTATTAAATAATAATATATTCAAGTATAATTATTATCGTGTAATTATTAAATAACATTTCACGATATAATACTCGAATATTAAATAATATTCCAAGACAAAAAATAGAATACTTAATAAAAATTGACACGGAAATAAGGTAGTGAACATTAGTCCGAGAATGACCGATTACTAGAATAAGTTAACAAAATAAAAAAAACTTCTTTTACAACCATTGACTTACAATTATATGGACGTCGGGTCCGCGCTAAAAAGTGTCCGCACTTGTAAGGCGCTAAAATCGTATACAGAGCGCGACAGTCTTCATTTGTTCTACTGACAGCGCGATACTGCAATGACATTACAATTTAAATTTCGAATAGGTTGACTTGGGACATTTTTTTCGTGGTTTTTGTATTAGACCCGTCGTCCATTTATTTGTAAGTCAATGTTTACAACGTAAATGATAAGCACAAAAAGTGTTACAGTTATAACTTTTTTATTTATAAAAACCGCTCTCAAAAGTTTGCTTATTCGTTTTCGTTTGTGTAAGTCATCATAACATTTATTTTCATTGGTATTAAGTACATCTATACGTAAAGTGAACATATGTACGTCCCGCTTTTAAGGTTCGTGCCCCGTTCTCCCCAAAAGACTAACGCTCTGGCCACTCAGAGGCGGGCGCGGAAGCGTTCCGGGCCCAGGATTTTTTGTAATGTACGAATTCTTACGAAACCTGCCACACTGCGCGGCCGACGCGCGGGCACCGCGCGTTTCAGTGTCGCAGGGTTTATATAAACTCGTACATTACTAAAATTCCCGGGTTCGAAACGCCTCTGTGTGGCCTGAACATTAGGGCTCATTCAGAGTGCAGGCGCGGGCGCGGCGGCGGTTGCGGGCGCGCGGGTCTTGGCGTCTTCCATTTGACAGTGCCAAAGCGACTACGAGAATGTAGACCCACACATCGAAATCTCAAACAGACGCTAGATGTTAGACCAAGCACTGTGAAAGTACGGGCGGACCGAGCCGACACGCTTACCCGCGCGGCGCGTGTGGTCACTAGAGGTTTAACGAAAAGCACTTCATTTATTTTAAACGTAAGCCTCGGACAGTTCTATAGTCAACAATTTCATTTTTTACAACGTGCCTAAGTTTTAAGTCCCGCCATTTAGGTTTCGTCAATGTGAATAATAAATAAAAACGTGTCTTACAAATAAACTTACTTAACTTAAAACCTTTGGTGGTCTACTCTTGCTTTTCGCTATCAACACAACGTAGCAAGTTTTTTAACTTAAAAGTCTATGCTCTTAAACGTTTTTCGAAACGATTTTTTAAGCTTCAAACCAAAAAGCGTTTAAGTGAAAGCTTCTAACATCCGTTTAAACGTTTATAATAATAAGCAGTTTTTCCCATCTCTAGCGGCCACTGTGAACGCAAGGAGCGTCTACGTACATTTAAATGCACCCGCGCCCGCGTCCGCACCCGCCGCCACTCTGAATAAGGCCATAAAAGTGTGCATTGACAAAACAGGGCACATATGAAAATAAATTTGGTTTGGAGGTGCGGTTGGCAGTCGCTGCCGTGGAATACATTTAAAATCTAAACCTCAAGTATTACAGACAATTTCTTCATCCCTAAAAATATGTAAAGCCCGTCAGACCACACAAGATTAGTTATTTTTTTTTATTTTTGATCATTAATCATTTTCAGTACTTTTTAAAAAAAAATTACTCATTAAACATTTTGTAACTGTCAGACACATGTATTTTATTTGTAAATATTTTTAGTAGCAATAGAGCTCCTTATGAAAGATTTCGTCCAGGGAAGTACTGCTTTACCCATTTCTGCCGCCAAGCTGTAATGTCAGCATTACTGTGTTCCAGTTTTGAAGGGTAAAAGGGTGCTGGTGAAATTACAGGCACTTGAGTCTTGTCAACTTATGTCCCAGGGTGACGGGCGCAGTGACAGAGCCCTTCAGACCTTTGCGACTTAAAGCTCTGAGTGGCACTGTAACTGTTAAGAACAGGCGTGTCGCTTGCCACCAGGCGCAGTATTTGTTCGTCCCAGCATTTGGTATCATAAAAAACTAAAAGAACAAAATACAGACGAATTGAGAACTTACTCTTTTTCGAAGTTGGTTAAAATGAAATAGAAGGCGACCGTAACCTTAGCAAGAAGTTTTTAACCACATCACAAAAAACTAAAACCATAATCATAATTGTCTTACGTCCGTAGTGAAAGGAAGTAGAAACAACAACGCTCTGCTAAGCTCCCGAGGCCTCGCCACCATATAAGCATATGGTTGTGTGCTTACTGGAATAGTGTAGTTGACTCCTATAACATGAAACAAGCTTTAAAGATTGTTGTAAAAGAAACTAAATTTTCTTACTAAAAAAATAGGATCGCCTAAGAAATTTCAAGATTCGCTTTTATTCTAAAGAATATGTAATAAATAATATTTATTTGACCTCACTAGCTCGGAAAGGCTTTCTTTCTCATTAGAAATCTGTGCGCAAAAGCGTTTTTTCCATGCTAGCTAGCGGAAAATGTTTTTGAAATTCGAACTTGACGACAGATCCACCTAACTTTTTCTTTCGATGAAAAAACAGCCTAATGAGACGTTCACCTACGCGATTTGTCGTACATTATTTACTTATGTAATATGTTATTATGTAGTACGTTGACATTAAATTGACAACGATAATTAATTTTTCACCTCACTAGCTCGGAAAGGCTTTCTTTCTCCTTCGAAATCTGCGCGCAAAAGCAACACGCACGCTAGCGTGGAAAAGATTTTTGAAATTCGAACTTGACGATGGACTGAACAAATAAATAATGATACGTTCAAATAAGCGACTCGTCGTACAGCGTACATTACTTATTTATGTAATATAAATCCGTTGGTATATTTCATTCTTATTATTGTTGACATTAAATTGACATTGGTAACTAATTGTGTTTATTAAATTATTTTAATAAATTTCATTTGATGAGGTGTAAATACAGAACGCATCCGAAGGTAAACTTATTCTTTCAATTTATAAAACTAATGTTTTATAGTTCAATTGTTTTTCTTTCATCTACCATTTTCCTCGCTATAGTGAGGTGAAAGGTTGTGTGTTTCGCTCGGCAGCAAAGTTGTTTTGCGTCTCGTGCCTTGAAACCCGCACTACACTCAGGAATCTATTTTTGAACCGCTCGCTTCGCTCGTGGTTCAATCTTAGCTACATTCGCTTGCTCAGGTTTTAATAGAAGCACCCGCGTCAAACAACAACTTTGCAGCCTTGCATAACAAATAACTATTGGAATGAAACTATTTTTCCGGATTTAAATCGCGTATATTTGTTTTTTCAAACAAACCGACGTTTCGGGCCCTTTACAGGTCCCATGGTCACGGTTGACTGTCCTTCTGTCTTGTGTTCAGTCAACCGTGACCATGGGACCTGTAAAGGGCTCGAAACGTCGGTTTGTTTGAAAAAACAAATATACGCGATTTAAATGCGGAAAAATAGTTTCATTCCTATGTGTAACAATCGCGAAAACCTAAGAACTCGATAAATAACTATTGTTTATTAAAACTGATTTGTTATTGTTATAGTTCAACTGTTTTTTGTAGTTGAAGTTGTTTTGGGTCTCGTGCCTTGAAAACCTCGCTACGTTCAGGATTCCATTTATGAACCACGAGCGAACATGCTCTGATTTCAATAAAAGCCCTCGCTTCAAACAACAACTTTCAAACATTGCATAACAAATAACTATTTTTCTTAATGAAAGACTTGTCAGACTAATTGTCTCATTTCTGCCAGTGTCCGTTTCATGCTAGTTCCATAAACATCATGGTGGGAGTATATAACAGAAAATTTGTTCGGTGACTGAGAGGAAGTATCGAATATAATTATATAATATTTACATATCGAAATAAATACAACTCAAAAGCTTGTGGAGTTACCTATATCTATTTGCCAAGTTATAGAAAATGAGTGAAATCCAATAAACCTGATTCATTAAATGGGACCAATATTGAAGTACTCCCTTTCCAACAAAAAAGAATCATCGAAATCGGTTCACGACTGTCGGAGTAATTGCGTAACATTTCTAAAAACTGAGTTGAGTACAGTCGAACTGAGTGTCAGTATAAAAATAATCTTAAAATGATATGTTTTGACACTAAGTGGACGAAGACGGTTGAAAATTAGTAGTGGCTAGGGAAATTAGTTTCTGTCCAGAAAGACTTCCGTGTTTAAATAATATCTAACTACGAAAGAAAGATTTCTAACTACGAAAGACTTCTAACCTATAATATCAATTATTATATGTTTCCAGAATGATTTCCGTTCATATAAAATTTTGAAACTTATAAGCAAAATTCGCTAAAAACGCCATCGCTTGTAGAACGGTATAGTACTTATTTTATAAAATTGAGAGTTAAAAAAGTAAATCATAACCAAGTAAGTAAATTACTCGTAAGTCATTTCCTACAGCATGGTAAAAACGTTTTTATAGAAGAATGTATATTTTTCGGTTAGTTAGTATTTCTTTCGGAAGTTAGTATATTATACGGAAGTCCATTTTTTCATAGAGTTATAATTTGTTTGTTTGCTAAATATGATTCATTTTATCGGTATATTCTGTTTATTTTCAGTAACTCATTTTAACGCAGCTTGGTTAGTGTTACGGTTAGCCTTCGCTGCCATTTAATTTGTTTTTCGGAATGTTTATTGTTTCTCCTATGGAAACAGAGGCATGAAGAAATGGCAGTTAAAACCCAGACACCCGGGTTTTTACCCAAAGCGGATGTTACATTTCTTTCTAAAATCGTGGGCGGAAACCATTATATGCGTAAAATAATACGGAAGTTGGTATAATTCCATGCTTATTAGGAATTTCGATGTAAAAAAATTTTGTTACTCGAAAAAGTGGCAACTCCACACAACCCTGTGGAATCGCACTCACTAGTAGGGATGCATTATGAATCAATTGTTATGAAAATCAATACAAGCCGATCTAATGATTTTTTGTATCGATTCATTTAAATGCGATTTTCAAGCGAATCGAAATCAAAGTATGCGAGCAAGCAATAAACATTTTGTAATAATTTCATTACATTTCAACAAAAACTCAATTTACCAATATTTAGTTGTAAATGGTTTTTAATCTCTATTTCGGGCGTTAATGAGTTTTTAACCCGATTTGAACTCGCCGAATACACCGCCGGGTAAAAATCCGAACGCTTGCCTATCTCTGGAACCATGAAATGCGACATTAAACTTAAATGTGGGATATTAATGTTCCTGGAAACATACAGACCTGGAGTCGGATTAGGAAAAACAGTCAAAGCTGCAGCGCCTAACGCCGCCTGTCCTTTTGCTATTGCTTGTAATGTAAGCAAAGTGTTCTGACTGTGGGACATCTGTAAACAAAACATAAAGTGAAGGAAATACATAAAGTGCAATAAAGCCACATGTGATCATACGTCAAGTTTTTTATCAATTGAAAGACATAAAAATAGTATAAAATCGATCTACGAGTATATTACTCTTGAGTTATTACCAGCGATCGGAATAGGTAGAGTTTTTTACCTAAATTTCGAGGAACATAGACAGAAAATGGAGACTGCCTTACGACAATATTTTTTAGGTCCTGAACCTGTTCGGGATTCGGGAAATCATTTAAGTACATTAAAAATTGACGTAATTGAGGACAGACAGGTGCATTATATTTATTTAACTTTGCGACACAGTGGGTCGGATGAGCGATATTGCGGACATTGGATTTTGTTCACGATACCACTCTAAAAAAATGCCAATCGAGAGATCTTATTGTCCTAATTATATATTGTCATGTCACATTTTGCCATAAATCTAATAAACTATTATTAGTAGGAAAAAAATGAAATGTTTATTTTTTGTATGGGACCATACCTTGTCCCTTGGACCATACCTATCCAGTCTTGGAATCACTACAGACGTATTATTAGACCTATCTTCTGTAGATTTACACATTAAACGCGCGCCCAAACCTGCCTATTCACTACTTATAGATATTGCACATTTTCTGACGCGTATATATATATAAGCGAAAGAAGGACGTCAGAAGCGTAGCGCTTAGTGGTCCGTAGGCTCTCCCAAATGGGAGACAGGTGTAATCGAATGTGTTGAAAAAAGTTAAGCCTTTTTACTTACATCAACTGAACTGTCATTGAAGAGATCTTGTTTTATAATATTTGATGGCAGCAAAATTTTTATCCTGAAATTCCAAATTTTGTTACCAAAAACAAACCCGTAATAAACAAGCATAATAACGACACATAGTAATATATCCTTCAACCTTCTCTTCTCCAGTTAACCGTGACCATGGGACCTGTAAACGGCCCGAAACGTCGGTTTGTTTGAAAAAACAAATATACGCGATTTAAATCCGGAAAAATAGTTTCATTTCCTAAATATATCCTTTCCATAATATACCCTAGGGCCCGGGAAAATAAATGCCATTTTTTAAATTCAAAATCTCTTACGTGAAGTTTTTATTCTTAGCAAGCTGGGTGACAATGTCAAATATCAATCCGCTGTACTTAATAACAGCTCCAGATTCGTTGGTCTGCAGAATAGTCCAAGGAGGATTCTGAAATAAAAGAGCTGGTACTTCAACCAATTATCAACTTACTGGGATGAGATTATGCATAAAAAGTACTTACGTGAAAAGTTATGACAGGCAGCTCTTTCCCTCTAAAGCCCTGTTCAATGTGAGGAAACAGGACGTCGAAGAATCTTATGCCATCGACCGGACGCCAGTATCCCACCTGAAATATAGCCGTTTTTCTTTGTTTGTTGTTGACCATATCACACACCACTCAGGTGCTTTCATACTCGTGTTCAAAAATGTTTTAACTGTCCAAAACACCAAAATAAAACCACTAATTAGTCTCTCAAAACTAAATTACCTCTCTCAATCTCTCAAAATAAAATTAATCTCTCAAAACTCTCACATCTAAAAGCTGAATTTTATCTATAACGCCAGTTGTTTCATTGGTGTCCCTGCCGACGATGGAGCCGTCTTGCGACTCAGCTAACTCCCTGTACGTGGTACCCCAGGTGTCTGCCGCTAGAGCACGCCAGGTGCTGCAGTTCCCGCACCGGCTTTTTGTTGCTATATGTTGCTGAAAAAATTTGTAAGTACTTAAGTAAACTAAACTGAAGTTAAATACTATAGTATGTAAAAATGATTTGTTCTAAATGAAATATATGGCGATAACGAGCAACAGGACAAGATTGTTTTGTCAAAAATAAAGTCAATTTTTTAGGATTTGTCTTCAAAGTCTTGGAACTCCTCTTATTTCGGGTGTAAAAACCTACACAAACACTTAAACCCAAAAATGTCGGTACCTGCATATGTTTTAGCAACATATCTCTCCTTTGCGATTTAGTAGGCCTGATGGCTTCCCATTCCTCGTCAGATACCTGCGCTGCCACGTCGAATTCGTCCTGCACCGCTGCGTCCAGGGCTGACACGAATGCATTCATCATCTCTTGGCAATAGCACATCAGACCGTTCTGCAAAATTTGCCTTCACTTCTGATAACATATCTCACTTTAGTGTTGTTCTCTAGTTCGACTAGTGAAATTGAAGAGACCGATCTATGTAACTAATTAACACATGAAATGTCTTGTATTTATCTTGAAGTATATCACCTATGCTATTCACTATCTCCAATACTGACACTACCCAAGAAAATCCCCGTTCAGGTACAACCTCGGAACCTTTGTATCTCACCTTGCAATCAGGGCTATTGTCCGTAATGTTATAAATATATGCTAAGTTTTCCCCTTCATACAAAGCGTTGATCATGCTGGTGAGGTTTCCATTATGAACATTGGTGTCAGAGACTACGTAGAGCCATTGAGCCATTGTGTGCGACATGAGAAGTTCCCGAGCAGTTTCTATCATGGCTGACATTACATCAGATGTTACGATTGCTATGAATTTTTCCCCTAGAAATAAAATAACAGTTCTAGACTAGTCTATCAACGGATGACGTCGACGAATTAGCTTTTAAGCACGATTCGATTTACAGTGAAGTCAAATGTGTTCTAAAGGGGCGCGCTGTTGTGCTGGTGATATATTGGTAGAACATGATGTATGGATTAAAGCAAAACAAATACATTTTTATGAAAATTCTTTACCAAATTGTACGCAAGCATAGTTTCACAACAATTTAGAAGCGGATTTTTGCGACCCAGTATTTTCGCCTCCGTAGAGATCTTAATATACTAATACTAGCACAGATTACTTATTAGGTACTACGTAACTTATAGTAGGCAACCAAGCACAGCTTCAAGCTTCAAACTTACCAATGTACTTGACTGGCAATTTCGAAAGAACTCTACGCATCTCTTTACGTCTGAGATACTCGTTAATCTCGTGTTTCATCTTAAAAACAGTTACAGACACAGACAGGACACTTTCTTTATCTATTTGAGATGTTAGAGATTGCACCACTCGGGAGACCATGTCACGATCTAAAAATTTTTGTTCCAATTTATACCACAAAATAAAGGGTTCTGAGAGATTATCTAAACCATCTTTACTTGGATTTTTTTTACTTGTTTCTATATTTATGACACTGTTTGTATAAGCACTTTCCTTTTCCGACTTTCCTGCTCGAGTAATTCGGTTGATTCAATCAAAACCAGTGGAAACTATTTTCTTCCCACTGACTCAAATGGTGAAGCAACCAAATTACCGTCTGCGTATTCCGTTTGTCAACAAAAATTAAGTAATTTCCAAGACATTATTGATACTTACTTAAAGTATCATCGTGCAATATCACGGCAGACTTCCACTTAAAAGCGTTCATTGTCCTCAAATCCAGTATCAACTGAGGTAACTCCTCACCCGGATCGGCATAAGTGACCGTAATTGCAATGTTTGTAGGCAAACGTGGACAATCAACTTCTGTCAACGCGAAAAGAAGAAGTTCTTCTTCTTTGGCTCGGGAGAACAAAGACCAGGTGTCCTGGCAGGATGCGATGCTAAAAACTGCTAAAAAACCTGTGGTTGAAAGATTAATAAGTGTCATGTCGCTTTTAATATCTTAGTTCAATGCAAATTAAATCAGATTCAGAATTAGAAAAGGTAAAAGATGTTATCAATTAAATACTGTGCTTAACTCAATGTGAAAATCAAACACCTGGTACCAGTGCACTGACTCCTAAATCCAGGCCAGAAGTAGAATATTCTTACTTATTTATACCTCTTTTGAGATTTATAGCTGTCCAAGAGTAGTAATGGACGATGACGCCGCCGTGTTGAAGTTCTACCCTGGCCAGTTCCTTGATGTAGTCTTTCAGCTCGTCCAAGACCGCTTGGTACTTGTCGCCTAGATATTGACGGTCTAGCACTACAGCTGAAAGAGTAAAAGTCAACTCTTTGGTGGTAACCAACGTAATCACCTTATTGACTTGTTCAAAGATGGAGTATGATGACAGCGAGTTCTAAAGGCTTCCCTATTTTTAAGAAATGTTTGTGGTACATATTGTATCTGTCAAAACACGTACAATTTTGGGCACAATTTCCTCTTAGGAGTTAGTCCAGTAGGTAACAGCCTACACGTCTTCTTTTTTTAAAACTAGTTGTCTTTTTTAAACTAGTTATACCAGTTTTTTTTAAACCAGACTTAGTATAGTTAAATGTCGAATACATTGCCTATATTTCCGAAACCCTCTGTGACCTTTAGAACCTGGTAGAAATAGAAATGAATTTGATGGAAATTATTAAATATCAAACTGGTTATCACTTTTGATCAGGCGCTGGTTGGGACTAACTTTTCTATTAAGTACTATTTTTAACTTTTCGTTATTGGAGGAAACGTAATTCCGCCGTAACGTAAATTAGAAAAAAGTCGATTTACTGTTCCAAAAATAAAGTCATTCAAGTCTTAAAATAGCCTGACTAAAAGGAGTTTCTTTACGTAGGTAACAAATACAAGTTAAACGTTTACTTGACCTGCAATTAACGATTACTGAAATGGAGGCATTTGCATGTATATTATTATGATGTAATAAAAAAGAACAAACGTTTTACCTATATATCATAATATCAGGTTTGAATACGAAGGCATCTTCGCAAATACACAAATGATCTAACTACCACAGTTCCTATCCTAAAAGACGCACTGATTTGAGGATAGAACATTTCCCGTTTTGACGGGCTCTGCTGCACCTACGCCGCGCTAATCGCTTTGACGCGATATCGCCGTAGCAGTATCCAACGGCAATACGGAAAATCATCAGTCTGTGAGAGACCAGAGTGGGCAACGCGACAACATCTGGGCAGACGCATAAAGACCGGCAATTAAAGAAACAACCCAAGGTCAGTCAGTGCGTTCACCTACCGCATTTTGGCCCCGTCAAATACTAAACCGGTTTATGAGATATAAATACTAGGTAAATAGATGGCCTCTGTGGCCCAACGATTTATGCTACGGGCGCTACATGAGGAGGTCCCAGGCAGCAAGGTAGCGTTGATTTCTGCCACCCGGAGCCAACCTTAAATTTGTTGACCCCTCTTTTTTAACGATTTCAAAAGTAGTCCTTTCGGGCAGACTCGGCTCGATTCTGTATTTGTGTTAGCCAGCGGTCGTCACTATTGTGTTGTTCAGGATATCGTTTTCTCAAATATTGTTGTGAATTTATTTTCTGATCACTATACAGTGTGAAAACCGATTCCAAAAAATTTTCACTAAAGAAAAGAAAATAAAACAAACACAATTATTGTATGTAGCGTTCAATTTCATGATTTATTTATTAGATTTTATTGCCGAACCAGGAGCCAATTTTCCTTTCAATTATTCAAAAGTTAACCTGGAAGAAGTCCCTTTATGGGATAAACTCGCCTTTGTACAATAACGTTCTATTACTTTGTTAAAAAATTACAAAAACAAATTACATATTTGTTTTTGTTGTACAATAAAATGTTTACATGCACAAACTTACCTCGAAATTTTACAAGAAAACCGCTTTATTCGATTGGTACTTTACATATACCAATGATTTTTTAAATATCATCTGAACTAAATAGGAAATGTTTAGTACAAGATATACATTATTCAAAAATGGCTTTAATGTCGTTTGAAAAAAAAAATTCTGAAATAAAGTCAGTATCCCTGCTGCTCGACACAGGCAAAAAGAACTGTATCAGCACACCCCGGACAGCCCATACAACACTCGTAATTATTTACCTACAACTACTATATAGAGCAAGGCGCTATCTGCACACGCGCAAATGTGTGCGTGAAGTGGCAGGGTTACCCATCACTTCCTCGTACTATTTATTACGTTACGTGGTCAGAGCGGCAATCTGTTATCTATAATTCAATTATAGAATCCTAATACTAACCTAACACATGTTCATTACGTATATTATATTTTTCATTAATTCACTAAACTGGAATAATATTGAATATTTATTTTAATAATTAAAAGCACTTAAAATGTTATATTTTGAGCAAGTACCTTTAAATAAGGTAACCAAAGTATTTGAAATTGCGTGTCCAAGTTTATCATTACCTCGTTAATAATTAGGTAATTCACTACGTAATATTTTATCGGCAATACAAATTGAAAATTCGAAAACCATTCTCTAGCTCACGAAATTATGGCGTCTTATTATGTTGATATAATAAATTTGTATTATATATTACTCTGCACTAAAGAAAACAATAACTGAATGAATCTCAGACATAAGTTTTTTTACATACTTCGTTTCATCTTTCAAAAAACGAAAGAAACCCTCTCTTTATCCCGTTTAGATGATTATAAACAGCCGTACTTAGTACAATTTATGACCATTATAAATAGTAACGTAAAATGATGTTATTTATGTATTAACGTACAAATTTCGTAATGACAAATGAAAACTATATTCAAGTATCAAAGCCGTCTTAGGGTTGTATTCCAGAACTCTACTCAATGCTCAAGCCAGGAATAGAGCAGACTTGAGTATGATTTCAAGCACTGGAAACACGACCCTAATGGCAAGGACTTGAGTATGATTTTCAGTGCTCACTGCAATATTCAAGTCCTGACTTGAGCATTGAGTTAGAATTCTGGAATACGAACCTTAGAGCGAAAACGGCTCGCCGACAGCCTTGTTCTCGTTCAGTCAATGTGCGGGACGTGGTGCGGTATATAAAGCTAGGAAGGGGCGGAGAGTGTCCGTTCTCATTACTTATTTGTTCTCTGGTATTAGTACGGGAAAAATTTTAATTCGAGCGGAGGTTAGTATCGACTGCCACCCGGCCATGGCGCCCTCTGCACCTCCACGTCACGCCACTAGTCTCAGGATTGATTCCCGGTAAGATCAAATTGGGAAATGAACTTTTCTGAATTGGTTCTGGTCCGAATGTTCAGGGAAGTACCCCAGAGTGAATTCCATTGCTCTGGTACTCATAGTACAGAGAATTCCCGAGTTTGAGACCAAGCAAGTGTGGTTGTCTGACACATTATAAATACGTACTAGCCATATGAGTTTTATTCAAGCACGTATAATCACTATAATATATGTAGCAGTAGAGAAGGAGCTCTAAGAGCTCAACGAATTCGTTTAGGGTAGTACTGCCATCTCACCTATTTCTGCCGCCAAGCAGTAATGTCAGCGTTACTGTGTTCCGGTTTTGAAGGGTAAGGGTGCTGGTGAAATTACAGGCACATGGGACTTTTCAACTTATGTCTCAGAGTGACGGGCGCAGTGGCAGTGCCCCTCGAATCTTTGCGATTAGAGCTCTGAGCGGCACTGCAACTGTTATGGACAGGCGTGCACAGCTTACCAAAAAAATCACGAAGTAAAATATTATAAATTTTTATTGAATTGATATTCAATTATTTTTTGTGAAATTACTCCACTACTTTGTTATAATTATTAATACAAAGATCGAACACTCAGAAAAAATTCCTTCGATTCGGTCGGATTCGAACCGACGTCTTCTTGCATACCGTGGCAGACGCTATACCAACTAAGCCACGGAACGAACCAACGGACCCAACGAATTTTTCTATGTGCTTGCGTCGTGTCTTTGTCGCCATCTATGAGAAATCTATGAAAGGGTGATAAATCTTTCATAGATTTCTCATAGATGGCGCTACGACTAAAAAGTCGTTGAAAAACCAAATACAAAGACACGACGCAAGCACATAGAAAAATTCGTTGGGTCTTTTGGTTCGTTCCGTGGCTTAGTTGGTATAGCGTCTGGCACGGTATGCAAGAAGACATCGGTTCGAATCCGACCGGATCGAAGGAATTTTTTCTGAGTGTTCGATCTTTGTATTAATAATTAAAATATTATACTTCGAACATAACAAAATTATGTTGTTTACTACGTGGTACTTTACCTCAATCTTTCCCATAACATTAGTAGCGAGTAGTAGAGCTCTTTGTGAAAGAGTTCAGCGAAGAACTGCCACCTTACCTTCTTCTGTCGCCAAGCAGCCATCTTCGAAGGGTAAGGATGCTGGTAATTTCACCACAGGTACATTGGACTTGTCAACTTATGTCTTAGGGTTACGGGCGCAGAGGCAGTGCCCCTCAGACATTTGCAATTTGAAGCTCTGAGTGGTACTGCAACTGTTTTGGACAGGCGTTTCGCTTACAACCAGGAGCACTACTTATTCGTCCCGTCTCTTATTTCTATTATTATAATGTAAAAAAATACATAATTTAATACCTATCTACAACCTAATCCCGTATATTACAAATATAAATTTCATACAACTTACCAATAGAAGCATTGGCGGTAATCAATGAAGGAAAATCTTCTCCATTTATCCGGACAAACAAACAAAATACACAGAACACCCATAACGGCATGTTGCAGCCCCAAACCACTGTCACTACACGAGTGTGACAAACCACTCATAATTCGTTCGTAATAACCTCAGTCTTAATCAAAAATTATATTATTTAGGTGTTAATTAAAAAGCGCAGGTGTCTCATAGTTAAGCATTGATGTGGTTCGGTTGAAGCTACCACCTTGAATGTGTGCTAGTTTCGTGAAAGGGGTTTGTTGTTATGAGGTGATAGAGGAGGTTTCTCTTTCACAGTTAATTACTAATAGCTGGAAATAATTTCAGTTATTTATTAATGTAGAACATAAGTTTTGTATAATATAGGATAATGTTATAATATTTATAAATAACTGTTAGTTCGCGTGGCATTGTTAATCAATATTTTTCATATCTAAAAGTGCCTAGTTTTTTAATTTACTTCGAGTGCCTTAGACAAACCCAAACAGCCAGTACTTGCTCTAGTTTGTGCTAAAAGGTAAAAGTTCAATAAGTGAAACAATATAATACAAAAAAGATAATTATAATGTAAAGAAACCTACAGTTTCACAGAATGTGCTGAAAAAAGTGCTTGTGTGTGGAGCATTTTCATCACGAAAATGCTACCTAGATTCTACTGCCGCCCGATATCTAAAACTCGGCTAAATGACAAAATATTTTTTTTAGATAACTAGGTGTCATAAAAAACCATAAGCCCATTTTAGAATATTGAAATTGTTTAATCATATTTCAGTCATACGTTAACTAATTTTATCTGTTTTTTTTGAGAGTTTTGTGCTCTATTTTTTGCTATTTAAAATGGTTATTTAGCCATTGTCTAAGACTACGCTCGGTTTTAGTTGCTTGCCTAGACAGTGGCGCCATGTTATTTTCCCGCGATTGCGTTTGTGTAATGACCATTCGTAGCACTTAGATCGTTCGAAAGACGCTCATGATTGCCAAAGACCGCTAAACGTGGCGTTTTGTTGCGTTTGTTGTCTCTACGTCGGGTTGAAAAAATATACCGCGAAAACTTTAGAATTCTGGCTCGTGATTTTGTTGTAAAGTAAACGATTCAATTATTTTTTTCTCGCAATAGAAATGAAAAGTAAAGAGTTCGCAATAATTGTAAGAAAAATCGTGTCAATGCGAAATATAACAGACAATATGCATATAATATTTATGGAAATCGAACCCAGGAGTGCGCCAAGGCAAGTTCCTAAGCTCTGTAGACTACTGTGCTCTAATAACAAACTGGTATAGTCAAACGACTTACATTTATTATGAATGCATATTATTCATATTTAAACTACTCGAGCCTTCCGTCTAACTAAAACTTAATTTCCACCCACAGTGTGGCATATCGTTCGGATTTATATGTAGGAACAACGCAGCATCATCATCACAACGAAGTTGAGTATTGCAGTGAGCACTGAAAATCATACTCAAGTCCTTGCTATTAGCGTCGTATTTCCAGTGCTTGAAATCATACTCAAGTCTACTCAAATCCTGACTTGAGCATTGAGTAGAGTTCTGGAATACGACCCTGAGTGCCACCATCGACGCGCGCTGTTTCAACGCACCGTGTAGTATATTGTTCTGATTTATGTGTAGTACAACGCAGTTGCGACGATGCAACGCCCGTGTGGCATCTCCCTGAGTTATTATGTGAATAACTTTCATGTAAAATATTTGCCATAAACTTTGAATTAAAATTTATACGTCTACGGATTGAAAGCACCCCTGTACCTGCAGTGATATCATCCACTGCAAAAGGTCAGGCCTTCGTTAAAAATGTATGATAATTACAGGCGCGGGGAATATGCGTGAAACATCATCGTCTTATTTAGCTGTTGTTACTGCATATTTCATAATAACTGATAATTTATAGTCGATTTGCACTGCAACTAATTTTTAACAATGACTTGTAAAATTTCCCGGTCCGGTAGAAATATTTGCATGGCCTGCATTTATTTCTCTCGTGAGTTTGGGTGTAATTTGTCGTTGTCTATGTGTGTGTCCATGGCACCCGCGACACAGGGTTTCCCTAGTGCGGGGCTATGAATGAGTGCGCGTTATTATTATTATTAATTTGTAACAAACATCTAATTCCACATTTTATGTTTTACCGAAACTATGAAAATATTTTACTTAAACAATTTCGTTCCGTTTTCCTGTAGTACTTATGTCATTATCTGTAAAAATTCCAGATATTTTTTTTTGCCGTATAACGACAATATATTCAAATTTCAAAGGTGTTTTATTTCATAGGATTGAAGCAAACATTTTTATACTTGAATAAGTTGCGTCGTTGATTATTAAACACTTCTACTTATTCGTAAGGAGATTCCTTGTCAGGGGTTGCTTCTTTTAAATAAAGATTCATTCACGTTTATCATTTATCTACAATATTTATTACAAATATAGTAGATAGAAATAGCGGGCAGCTAAACAGGTCACTACAATGTATTTTTGTCATTCAAGTGCGTACTTAAACATGCGTATAAAAATATTGTGAAGTAAACACTTCCGCGTAGAAGTGTTTCATGTTTTTATACGGCGTAAATGGTAAAATTTTAATATCAACAGTAATTTGTTATAGAAGCACGTGTACACATTTGTGACTTTTTAAAGACGACTGTTGATAACAACCAGTTTGTTTAGATTTCTTAAATAAATTTTAATCACTATATTTCATGTGAAAATTACTGTTTTTGATCGATTTCAAAATTCAATTCGACTATTTTTTATGTGTATGCATGCGTTTACTCCTACATTGTGAACCAATTTCGATGATTCTTTTTTGTTGGAAAGCGGTACCTCAGTGGTCCTTCCATAGTGGTCCCATTTCATTTTGAAGAAAATCATCCACCTCGAAGGATGGCTGTCCACGCATGAAGATTCATTTTTATAAATAGCGCCTAACTTTAATTTAGGAGCAATTACTTTAATGATTGATTTTGCTATTTCCTAATTTCAAGGCGTTTTTCTCTCAATATACTTTGAGTAGTGAGAACCGATTTTTATTATCTCCAGTATCAAGTCCTGTATAGTGGCGAACTAGGGGATATTTCAATAAAACTTAGCAAATAGACGTAATTCCACGTACTTTTGAGATCGGTTTTTTTAGTACTCTGTACTAAATTTATTCATGTTTCGTGTCTATTTGTTTATTAATATTTTTTTTAATGCACGCTTATTGCACACTTCACACCACTCTACCTTTTTTGCTATGCTTGTTATAGTAGGCACTTTTGTGTTTGTTTTTTTTTTCTTTTTGAGGTGTTAACTTTTACCTTACATTTACCATAAGTTAGATACTTGAAAATGAAAATGTAAACAACTGTAATTGGCGCTGACTAGCTTCACCTAAAAATATTCAATGTAAATCGTTATTAATAGCTGTTGTTGTTCCGAATAAAATAAAATAAAACAGTGTATCTACAGCGGCTTCATTGTGTTTGGGCTCATAATGATTCGTTCCAGTTTATTGTTGAGGAGACCGCGGTAACGAAAATACCGCGTAAGCTGATAAACAAACTTTTAAGATCGATTTTCATTTTATAAAAAAGTTATAATTAAGTTCACTTAAATTACTTTTGCATAAAATATGTATGGCGCTAGTGTAAGAATGTGAATTTGTCCAAACGTTTCTCACAGAATCACTCAGGTTGCCAGTTTGTAAATTGCTACAACAGCACGTTTTTACAGATAAAGATTCTACAAATGTCGGGGTCATTAAACTGTGAAGTGACCAATATACTTACGTAAAAGTTTTCATATTTAATTGAGTTCACTGCATTTACTAGCACTAGAGCTCCTTGTGAAAGAGTTCGTCCAGGGAAGTACTGCCACCTTACCTATTTCTGCCGCCAAGCAGTACTGTTAGCAGCTTGGAAGGGTAAAGGTGCTGGTGAAATTACAAGCACATGGGACTACTTATGTCTCAAGGTGACCGGTGCAGTGGTAGTGCTGTTCAGATCTTTGCGATTTAAAGCTCTGAGTGGCACTACGACTGTTATGGACAGGCGTGTAGCTTACTATCAGGCGCACAACTTGTTGGTCCCGTCATTTGATATTATAAAAAAAACTAGCCCAAGAGGATATGGATAGAAATGTAAGAGGTAACAAAAGCCGGGTGACGACCACCTTATCATCACTTAATAGTGCCGACTTTACCTATGGTGCAGGGCGTGCAGCAGGGCTCCGAACGCTGCTCGCGACGCTTCCAAAGAGCCTGCGTCAAAGCGGAGCAAGGAAAATAAGGAACTGTTGCTTCCCAAAAATAACTTATGATTGCGCTATTTGCACCCGAATTTCCGATCGCTGGGGAAAACATAGCTGTACTTATTCCATTTTGATTGCGTGCCTACTAGAGGCCGCCAGGATATTGATTGCACCCTGTTGCTACCTGGGCTAGAGCTGCACTGTATGATAATGACTTTCTAGACGCTGGAGAGGCGGGATGGCGACAGCTGAACAGGAATTATTGGCACCTACAGTTAATACGGAGTACTATATTAAACCATTCTGCGCCATCAATACTTTGAAAAATATGATTTTCGTGTATTATAGAGATAATAATTGCCACAAGTGTGCGACATATGTAGAACTTCTTAACTCTTTTTGTTATAAAACTGAGAAACGACCAATTTACAAAGCTTAGAAATTGAACAACAATTTTTGTCTCGTTAAACTTTAATGTAGGTATTGAGCAACTACTACCTACCGTCCAATCAGTCTTTACGTTGTGGGTGGGTAACATGAGGAAATTAGCGCAAGGACGGGACAGTTTAGTGTCAGTGATTGTGAAAATGCCAAGGATACCATGTCTGACTCAACTTCTGACACCATTGGATTGAGGTTGGGTCCAAGAACACTTAGAAAAATTTTACAAATTGGTTTAGAATTAACAAGCGCCCAATGTAGTCCATATGTTGTTTTCATACACGCTACAAAATACTTCACGCCCCTTTCCTATCAGATTAGGAAGAGACCACAACCTTCCACTTGCTACAATCCTTATTGTTATCCAATCCTTATATTATATACATATTTTTTTAACTCATCAACACGAGTCAGTTCTTTCATTGACTCCCATCGGTACCTACCCGGTTTGTTTTAGAATGTCCTAAATTTTGTTTTCTAAGTTTATATATATAAATGGATTACTACGTGGGGCGCACTATAAGTTTCCAGAATGAATAAGAAAAAATACTATAAATGGTCAGAAATTAATTTATTGTTTCTCAAAATATTCTCCGTTAGCGTTAATGCACTTTTTCATACGAATTAACCACTATTTAAAACATTTTTGCCACTCCTCCGTGACAATCCTTGAAACATATTTTTCATACTCTTCGACAGCCTCTTCAGGTGATGAAAATCGTTGACCGCATAACTGGTTCTTAAATTGAAAATAAATAAAAGTCACAAGGTGCTAGGTCGGGACTATACGCGGGAAGGCTCATACGGTCAACGTTGTTCACCTTCAAAAGTCTGTCTGGCCGTGTGAGAACTGGCATTATCGTGGTGCAAAATGATACGGCGTTTACGGTTATTTTTACGGAGTTTGTCAATAACTTCCGGCAAACAAATGGTCATCTACCAATCACTATTCACACTACAACGATACTCCAAAGCAACAGTAGCCACGTGTCCAGTTTTATTTAAAAAAGAAGCAATCATCCCCTTAGAGGCACTTTGCACGTGCGCCACTTTAGTTGGATTCGGCTCATCTCGAAAGATTCATTCGCTCGATTGCTGCTTTGTTTTGGGATCGTAACTATAAATCCATGTTTCGTCACCTGTTACTATGTCCCATACCAAATTTGACGCCCCTTCGTTGAATCTGGCATGGGATTGCACCAAGTGACGTGATCCGTTTTTTGAGCCTCATCAAATTGTGTGGGATTCACCGAGAGCACTGCTTTTTCACACCCAAATGTTTGTGTAGTATTGATTGTATTTGACTGATGCCTATGCCTAAAGATGCCCGAATCTCATGGTATGTCACATGCCTGTCAGTTTTGATCATACGGCGCAAAAACATCGATTTTTTGTTGTTCACAGCAGTGGACGTGCGACCATCACGAAATTCGTCACTGATATTCTCACGACCGCCTTAAAATTCTGCAAACCAACTATAAATAGTCGTCTTGCATGGTGCTTCATCGCGAAAAGCAGTTTGAAGCCGAGCGAAGCTCCGCTGAGCTGTTAAATTTCACTTAAAGTCGTAGAAACTCATAGTATGAAAATTTTCACGAGTCAATCCATCGTGTTGTAGAGAACCAATTTCTAAAATGACGCCACAATATAAAAACAAGTGACAGTCAGATGAAACAAACTGTATTCTACAGCCAAAGAGTTCGATTTTCAAATGTTATAATTACTTTATAAATATTGTGTGTAAGTGGCCAATTCCGGAAACTTATAGTGCGCCCTAAGTATCTTATTAGATATTATGAAATGTGTGTGTTGAGCTATAGTGAGCGTCTAGCACAGACAAAGCAACATTGCCCGCGCTCCGGACCGTGACTAGTAAATTTGAAAAACAAAAAACAAAAACTCAAGCTCTCTTCACGAAACGGCCGCCGCCGCCTCACGCATCGCTAAATTTTATAATTTCCCTTTTTTAATATAAGTAAATCTACAGTTCACTAGCATTTTATTCAAACGCTGGGCCTAACTATGGTCCTTCAAGCCGGATCATGGAACATGGAGGGAAAGTACTTTAAATATTGTAGACATCTTAAATTAAAGGGACAACATAACATTTTAGATTTTAGTTTAGGAAAATGAATAATTGTTTTATTGTCGATATTCGTACTTCTAAAAATAACGGCATTATCATTTCATAGAAAACTTTGATTCTTTACTAATAAATATCCAGAAACTACTTCCTCGCAGTTTATTAATTTTATTATAAGTGCAGATCTAGTATTTCTATGCATCTGTCTCTGTGACTTAGACTGGGGGCGAATTCGATGTTGTAAATTGGGTGACGAGTACAATGGCCATGCCCCTAGATCTTTGCGATTGGAGAGGCGTGTCGCTTACTACCAGGCAATATCCTGTTTACAATATTTAAAGTACTATCCCGTAGCCGTGACACGTCCTGTATAATATCTACTATACTATACAACGTAAAACCAATTTAATTATAACCCATTTGCACAAAAATCTGCTACAAACGGAACGTACCAAATGTCACAATTGTGACACTGACTTTTTATTGTCATAACAAAAATTCATGCAGTTCATGCATCTTTCGAGCCTTTCCTAGTGCGTTTAATATTAAAATTTAAAAAATAATGGCAAATCAATACAAGAAAATTTTTGTAACAGTAGGAACAACACGTTTCGATTTACTATGCGAAACTATCACGACTTCGCCAGTGCTTAGGGCTTTGAAGAAGATTGGATGTGAAGAGATAAATTTTCAAATTGGAAATAGTAACTTCGAACCGGGTGATTATGTGAAAGAGGGAGTGAAAATTCATTCTTTCAGGTTTAAGGATTCTATACAGGACGATATTAAAAATGCGGACTTGGTAATCAGTCACGCCGGAGCGGGCAGTTGCTTAGAAACTTTAGAAGCCAACAAACCTTTATTAGTTGTTGTGAACGAAGACCTAATGGACAATCACCAATTAGAACTGGCTGAACAACTGCAAATCGACAATCATTTGTACTACTGCACGTGTGACACGCTAGAGAACACTTTAGATATTGTTGATTTTAGCATATTAACACCATTCCCAAAACCTGATACTACTCTATTTGTGAAGTTTTTGGATGACGTTTTTAGGGTTAAGCAAAATATAAATTAAAATATTTAATTTTGTGAATTTGTATTCTTTTTAGGATTGAATGTAAATAAACAATTTTTAACTGACTTCAAAGCGGAGTTTCTCAATTTGACTTTATTTTCTGGTATGTTAGGCTCAACTCACACTGGCCCAGAGTCGAAGCGTTGCGACGCGTTATGTTTTTCGCCTATAGTATATTAATCTCTATATTCCCAGTATTAAAGTACAAATTTTGTGTTATGCAATGGAGATGCACGCCGATGCCTGGATGCAGTCGAGCGGCTTCGTGCGTCACTTGAGCGCAGTGAGTCGTCACACGCCGACTACACAGTGATCTGGGCGCGCTAATGCGAGCGTCGTCTCGCGTCGCCAAGCATTGTAGTTGATGAACAGTATGTGACTTGATGCTTCGACTCTGTGCCAGTGTGAGTTGAGCCTTATGTGATTATGGCAACACTTGTGAACCAATTTTGCTGATTCTTTTTTCATTGGAATGGAGGTACCCACAGCTTTTAGGGAAGATATTGTAACACTGTAAAGTACCTCAATAATGGTCCCATTCAAATTTGAAAAAATATTCTAAGTCTTAAGTGGCAAAGGATGAATCTGGTAAATCTGGTTTATTGAATTTCAACCACTTTCTTGAAATTGTTTAATGAGCTTCAATAAAACTTGGCACACAGAATATGTAATTCAATGAAAATAAAATGGTGACCTAGAGCTAATCTGATATAGCAGACAGAGACAGAGGAACTCCTCAACAATGTACAGCAGGTCTCATTGCTCATTTTTATAAAAAGCTTTAATTATCATAACACTTAATATGCTTCCATTTTTGCTCACCAGTAAAATGTATTGATATTAATAAAGTCTATTTTCAATCATTAAAATATAAATTAAAAATATCAGTTACAGTCAATAGACTTTTATTTGGGAAAATACAGATCATCCACAAGAGTGCCTACAGAGCTAAAGGCTGTAGTGAATTAAAATAAAATTATACACATTTATTTGTTTATTTAATATAACACAATCTGTAAAGCACAACTATTATCTTAAGGGCCATTTGACGTGAATTCTTTTAGCACATACGGTTTTTTATGCTGATCACATTAAGTTAAACATGACACCTCTTAACACACACTAAACCTGCATGAAAACTCATGCAATTAACATGGCCAGCAAAAAATTCAGTACTGTATTTAAAAGTTCATGTAAACAGCTCAAAATAAAAATAAATGAAACATAGGAAGTCTTGGGACTGGACATATTTGCATTATATACAAAATGAAAACTAATTACAAATATGCTAGTGTAGATGATATATGTAAACCTATTTCCATGAACTTGTGCACAATACTTTCATACATAAGTACTTTAGAGTAAATTTTATACAGAAATTATTAGTTTTTATTCAATATGCAATTCCCATAATCATCATAATTTACATTCCAACCACAGTATTACAACCTTCTAGTCTCAGTTATTGGGTTTTTTGGTACTATCTCAATATATTTGGTAATTGGGATGTTTTGTAGCTATGTTGGATGAACATCTCTGTAAGTTACAGGTTGATTTTTTAGAGTACACTTCATATCAAGGGTTTTTTAAAATTCAAATAGTTTTTTTATTAAAAACTTCACTTACTTTTGTTCTATATTCTAATTATAGTAGAAAAAGAACAGTATGGTATAGTTGGCGAAATATTATTTGCACCAATTCGTCCTATCGCTTCGTCTTTAGTGTATAATAGGACAAAAGAGTGAACCGTTTTGGTAACGCACGTGCCACTTGTGTAGTGCAAACTTTCTAAACTTGATAATCTTTATGCGTAAATAACTTGTTGAATTATTAAGAAAAGAGTCGGCGTTCGGTATTTTACGAAGAACCTACTGTTAATGAAAAACGACCTGTTAAGTAAAGAAACAATTGAAAACTAAAATTCAGAAAAAGTATTTCGCGCACCCATGGACCAAAATCGTTAAATCCGTGTACTCTTTAAGTAAAACAAGTGTTAATGGTTTATTACCCTATTGTAATGGAAAGGAGCGTACCAGACGCTGTGTATGAACGCACACTCTTGCATGACCTTGAGTGCTCTAATGTTGCACATGCACATACAAGCCGCGCTCGTTGTTGGATACGAAGTCTCCCCTACTTGATCTCATTCTACTCTGTTCTAGTTGTAAGAAACATGTTGTCTCTATTATTGTTTGAGAAAGTAAAGAACTCTGTTGTAGTCAATGACATTCATTCTAAAGATCTTTTCTGCTATTTGATATTTTTCACGGATTAGTTCACGTTAATTATGTGAGGAAACATTTTTATAAGCCTGAGGCCTCCTATGTGAAATAATTTAATTTAGACTAGCTTCTTAGCCTCAAAGAAACTCTTGAGATGTCTCATCTGCCAGTACCCTATACCAACAAGTACACCGGTTTGAAGTAAACTCCACCAGAGAACTCGCTGGTTTGTGCTCTCTGACGTTTGGCGGAAACGTTCCTCACGATGCTGAAAAAAACGCATAATTAAGTAATTTTTATAATAGAATTGGTTTAAAAATGTTGTTAGGTTTATGTCATTGTTTATACCAAACATAAATTTAATTACAATAAATGTTTGGTTTTGTATCAAGTATAAAAAAAATCAGTAACAAACAAAAAACCGTGCAAGGTTTATGTGACTTTTGAAATTGGAAGTTATTTAAGTATGTTGAGATTACATAAGTTTGTTGCCTCACACTTATACACATACTTTATTTAGACTGACCAGTCTCGTCTAATATTCTCATCTGGTCTAACTTTGGCAGTTTTTGTCAAAATTTGTGTGTAGATCAATGTAAGAACTTAGGAAATGACATAATTAATGTGTAATAATGACCCATAAAGATGAAAAATATATGTTGAATTTATAAATTGCTTGGTGCAATGTTCAAGTCAACATGGCTCTTATGCTTTAAACATTTGACCTTATTGCCATAATCAGAATTCTATTTAATTCGATGCAAATGGAGAAATGCAACAATACATTCATTAAAATTTGTAGCTTACCCTTTGATAACTCTGCTCCTTAGTTATCTGATGAAGCTGGTCCAAAAGCTGCTGAATGCGAAGTTGCAGTCCTGCTAGCTTGTCTTTCTGTGCCACATTGCCATAGTCAATGGCATGCTCGCCTACTTGAATGTCAAGATGGACCTGCGAGTGAATAGACAAACTTTATAGCGCAAATATAGACAAAGCAAAAAGTAAAGAAATACGATGCAAAACTAAAGAGACCGATGATATCAAATTGTAATTGCAGTGTGGCGGCTGAACATATCCTAGGGCGTATTCAAATGAGAAGCAATGCGGGGCGCCACTGTGGTGCTGGAGCCGCGACATTACTAATTTTCATAGAATATTTAGAAGCCCGGTTGCAGCGCCATTATCATGACATGCACGCGCCGCTATTGCAGTCACAATCAGTTAACAAAAAATTACTGAAGTGCTACAGTAGATTATAAAAAAATAATGAAAGTAAAAGACTATATTACAATTATACAGTTACTTTAAAAACTAATAAGTTGTAAAATAAAAAATATTTTTAAAAATTTGCCAAAGAAAGATTGATGGCAATAATGGGTGTTATAGTTATAGGGTCGTATTCCAGAACTCCACTTAATACTCAAGTCAGGACTTGAGTATTGCAGTGAGCACTGAAAATCATACTCAAGTCCTTGCTATTAGGGTCGTATTTCCAGTGCTTGAAATCATACTCAAGTCTGCTCAAATCCTGACTTGAGCATTGAGTAGAGTTCTGGAATACAATCCTGAATCTCAGTACAGAGTACTAAAAAAACCGACATCAAAAGTACGTGGAATTACATCTATTTGCCAAGTTTTATTGCAATATGGGGATGTTTAGTTCGCCACTATACAGGACTTGTCACAGGAGATAATAAAAATCGGTTCTCACTACTCAAAGTATATTGAGGGAGAAAAACGCCTTGAATTAGAGAATAGCAACACCAACCATTAAAATAATTACTCCTTAAGTAAAATTTAGGCACTATTTATAAAAATGAATGTTCATGCGTGATCACTGATCAGCCACCCTTAGAGGTGGATGATTTTCTTCAAAATGAAATGGGACCACTATGGAAGTACCCCCTTTCCAACAAAAAAAGAATCATGAAAATCGGTTCACAAATACCGGAGTTATCGCGTAACATACATACAAAAAAAAAACACACAGTCGAATTGAGAACCTCCTCCTTTTTTAAAGTCGGTTAAAAACTGAATAAATTTGTTGTAAGTTGTTTCCAAATCAAACTTAAATGACTTATCAACACATAAGAACCTACAGTATATAAGTTTTACAAGAAAAAGAATCTGCTACATGTGAAATATGACCATTATCTCCAGGATCTATGTCAGGAGGTAGGGTTAAATTATGCTTACGTTACACATTACGAGGTAACATCCACCGCTAAAGTCTTTACACACATAGAACAAGGCATTACAAGCCCATCACATTCAAAAACCTAAATAAAAAATTATAAAAATACTCAACCTACCCAGACCAAGAACCAAATGGTCTCAATTTTGGTTTCTGAGTACCATGAGTACTAGAGTAAGAAATTAACTAACAAGTTGATTAAGACCTGGCTTTCAAAAACACTCGTCTTAAATTTGCCATAACTTGCTAATGAAGATTAATTAACAATCTTTTGAATGACTACTTAGGGTCGTATTCCAGAACTTTACTCAATGTGTAAGTCAGGACTTGAGTATGATTTAAAACACTAGAAATCATACTCAAGTCCCTGCCATTAGGGTCGTATTTCCAGTGCTTCATATCCTGACTCAGATCCTGACTTGAGCATTGAGTAGAGTTCTGGAATACGACCGTCAGTCACACTCTATAAAAAAAATCAATAACAGCAAAGTTATATTAAATTTATGCTCCCTTTTTATAACCACAATAACAATAGAATATTGGACAACTTTGAAAATAAGTTACAAATCATTAATTTTAAAAATAGACTTAAACTGATAATCAAATGAGAAAAGAACAATATTTCTTGAGTAAAAATCAGGTAACTAGCATTCAGTAACCATAAGTTACAAAATACAGCAATATAATAGATGTTTATTATGTTACACAATATTTAATCTTGCTGAATTAGCTACATACAAAAAACCGTAGAATTAAGAGCCATTTTATGAAAAGCTAAGAGTGAGAACTGATGTGGCGAATGTGCCTGTTTGCGAAAGGCTCGCGAACTGCATACATGCATTACATTAAATGATTTGTTAGAGTGTCACATACATTAACATGTGTTTAACAGCACGCATTTAATCCGTATGCTCCCTGAGCATCTCCTGACCACTTATTTGAACCAATAATAAACCATTTTTTTTTTTTTGGTTAATTAACATGTTCAAGTAAGTTGATGGATGCAATAGAATGTTACAGTAAAATTTGAACCAGTAAAAACTGACATATTGTGCAAACATTATTTATTCAAGTGTTAAAACCTGCAATTGTTAGTATGTACAGAACCAATGGACAAGTTCCAATGAGAATGTAATAAAATTTCAAAATGATATACATTTAAATTCATTTCTTGTAGTTTTTGAGTTGTCTTGTCATTCATAATTTTATATTGACATGAGGTTCTAATATGATTTTCTAGCGTAAATTTTAAGAGCGATTAGTTGCTTTTGGGCTACATGCATTTAAGGCACTTTAAAATTAGATGCTCATAGAAGCACTGAAGTGGTACAACTGTACAACAAGTGGCACAACTGCATGTTACCCCTTACATCACTAACTGTTACTGCAAAAGTGGCTGCGCCACTGCAGCACTTCTACAAGTGTCTAATTTGAAACCGCCCTTATTCATGTTTTTTGAAACATATCTCCTTGGGCCAAAGTTTGTTGTATGATTGTGCTAATAATGTGACCAAAACTTACTCTCAGTTGTGAGCCACTGAACCAAGAAGTACTGTTAGAATACATGCAGATGACGTGCTCTCCAGGAGTCGACGACGTGAAGGAGATCATGCCCTCGGACTTGTACACGCGTGATAGCATGACACGGTCGTTCGGGTCCCGTACTTCCACATGCATGCCGATACCAGGTGACGAAGGCATAAAACCGCCAGAACGAGGATCGTATAGCTCCACTTTGTACTTTACTGAAATAATACAGAGAAACAAAGTAGTTATATAGGGTTTACGATCTAATTAGTGTTAAAAGTCAAAGTTATAGTAAAAAAGGAAGAGAAAGAGTGTTACCAATAACCGTGGTGTCGTCGGGTATTTCCTCAATGAAACATTTTCTCTCACCCTCGGCTATGTGAAAATATAAAGCTGATGAAATATCTAAGATTAGAAATAGTGCTAAAATAGTAGAAAACTTGAAATTATCCATGTTTCCGTGGTCAACCTAAATCGCCGATTTTCAAGAAATTGACATGACACACGTCATCGCTACAAATGTCAAAAGAGAAAGTAGTTGCTATTTTGAAATAAAAATGACTAATTTCTGATAAATAAGATAAAACCTTTAGAATAACGGTTTTATTCCACAAAAATATTTGACAACAATGAACTAAAAGACTATCAAATGTAAAGTTCAAAATAGACATTAGAAACTAAAGAGTTAATATTATGACATTCTATCAGCCTTGAAAATAATCCTCGAGGTGGGCTGGTGGGTGTCGCACTCTTGCAGACCTTCGAATCTCTGGTTCGGTGTCCGCTGGAGGTTCAGGGTGGTCTATGTCTTCAATCTCATTTTCAGAATCAGAAGATCTGGTTTCAGAATTTTGAGATGTAGGATTAGGGTCCTCCACTTCATTGGAGTTTTCGTTAAGAGCCTCAATATTTGTTGTTTCATCTACCATTATCTGACTATCTAGGCTCAATGGTGCTAAATGTCGGTTGGAAACAGTTGTCTCTCGACCGTCCTCATAGCGAACATAGGAGTAGTCTGGATTTACGTGCAGAAGAGTCACTTCTTCAACAATAGGTTGATACTTGTTAGTACGATTAAATTTTCTCATTAATACTTTTTCTGATTCCGTCAGCCAGGTAGGTATAGATACTCCATTCGATGACCGCCTGGTATGTGTAAACATTCTTTCGTGCGGCGTACAACAAGTCGCTGTGCACAACAAAGATCTGATACAATGTAAAGCTTGGTTTAGAACCTTTTCCCAATTTTCTATTGGTAGGTTCTGCGAACGTAGAGCCAATTGCACTGATTTCCAAAGAGTTCCGTTAAAACGTTCAACCTGTCCATTTCCTCTTGGGTTATAAGGTGTAGTTCTGCTCGACGCAATACCACGTGAATTTAAGAAGTTCTTTACTTCAGTAGATATGAAACAGGTTCCTCGATCTGAATGTAGATAAGACGGCATACCGAATAGCATAAAAATTTCATTTAAATGTTTGATTACCGTTGAAGAGTTCATGTCTGGGCACGGAAATGCAAATGGAAAGCGTGAGTATTCGTCTATTACTGTAAGAATGTATTTATTTCTCGTATTAGAAGGTACTGGTCCTTTGAAATCGATACTCAGTCTCTCCATAGGCGACGTAGCTTTTATCAAAACTGGATCAATTGTAGGTTTGTAAAATCTTGGCTTTATTTCGGAGCAAATTTTACACGACTTAGTCATGTTTTTAATTTCTTCCGTAGAATATGGTAGATTCTTTGATTTAAGCCAGTGGGTCATTCGTGCTATGCCCGGATGACATAAATCATTGTGCAATGAATATAACTTTTCATTTCGTGTCGATATTGAGCTGCATACGCGTGAGAGTGCATCCGCTGCATCATTTTGTTTGCCTGGACGATATATAATGTCATACTTAAATGGCGCCAACTCCAGACGCCAGCGTTGTATTTTCTCATTCTTTATTTTGCTCGTTAGTTTATTGTTAAACATGAAAGATACTGATCTTTGGTCAGTGATAAGCCGGAAGGGTTTGCCGATAAGAAAATGACGCCATTTCTTCAGCGATTCGACGATAGCGTAAGCTTCTTTTTCTATCGCCGAGTGATTATGTTCACTTTTGTTTAGCATTCTGGAGAAAAAGGCAACAGGCCGAGAAGCCTGTGACAAAGTTGCTGCGATAGAATGATCTGACGCGTCTGTTTCCACGGTTAATGGTGCGTTATGATCAATTGCATGAATACTTGATTTGGCTATATCTGATTTGAGTACATTGAAGTTTTTGACTAAATTGTCGCTTAATGGAAATATCCTTGCATTAGTAAGATCGTGAACTTTTTCTGAAAAATTTGGAATCCACTTGCTATAGTGTGCAAACATTCCTATCACTCTTCTCAGTGATGATAGATCAGATGGTGGTGGTAAGTTCAGAAGTGGGCGCAAGCGGTCTGCATCCGGTTTGATAATGTTGTCTTCTATGTTATAACCCAGAATATTAATAGAGTTTTGTGAGAACTTACTCTTTTCTTTGTTGAGAGTGAGGCCATATTTCTGGGCAGCTGCCAAGAATTTCTTAAGATTTTTGTCATGTTCAAGCTGGGTCTTGCCACAAATTGTAATATCATCAAGATAAGCGAACGTTCCCTTGAGATCTTCTTTTCGGATTACCCAATCAATCGTCCTTTGAAAACTTGAGACGCCGTTTGTAACGCCAAATGGAATTCGGAGAAATTGGTATAAATTTCCTAAAGCCTCAAAAGCCGTAAAATGACGTTCTTCGAGCAAAATAGGAACTTGATGATAAGCACTTTGCAAATCTATAGCGCTAAATATACGATATCTAGATATTTGTGACACCAGCTCCTCTATGTTTGGTAGAGGGTACGCATCTAAATGAGTATATCTGTTTATAGTTTGGGAATAATCGATGACAAGACGCTTCTTATGGTTGACATTTTTTGTGATAAGGACTTGAGCTCTCCAGGGGGACGTGCTTTCTTCGATTATTCCATCAGCCAAAAGTTTCCTGACTTCCTCTTTTATAAATTCTTTGTCATCCTCACTATGTCTTCTCGATTTTATAGCAACAGGCTTAATTTCAGGACATACATTAGAAAACAGTGGTACGGCAGGCACGGTAGCTGCAGCAACACTGCATACATTAACTTTGATAGGTTCCTTCAAACCACCAAAAGAAAACTCTAGTGAAGAGTGTTGATGCAGAATATCATGTCCAATGATGAGATCAGCGCATAAATTCTTTACTATGAGTAGATTCAGATTTTTGTACTCATAATCTCCAATTTTGGCAGAGACGCTAGTTTGTCCCTCTACTTTGGAAGTAAGAGTAGTCGAAGCCATTGAAATTCTCTGGTTACTCGGTTTCTTTTTTAAACGACAGAGATTAAAGAATTCCTCATCCATAAAACTAATTGAGCTGCCTGTATCGATTAATGCTTGGGCGCGTATCCCTTGAACGTACGCCGTTACAGTAGCCTTTCTAAGTGAGTCCGGCGATGCCGCTATTATACAAGCACTAGTTTTATTACTTTCAGTTTCGACTACTGATGCAGCAGTCTGTTTCTTGCTACGACATACTTTAGCTAAGTGTCCTTTTTTTTCACAAATCTGACAGGTAGAGTCGAGTGCTGGACAATCTTTTCTAGGATGCACGCGACCCCCACAGAAGAAACATTTTCGCTTGAAGAAAGACGCTGCTGATGATTCTTCTTCCTTTGATGAACCTTGTACAGCATTCAAATTTGAAGATTCGTAACTCTGTGAATTCATCTCCGCCATTTCTAACGATCTCGCCTGATCATAGGCTTTGTCAAGAGATAGAGTTAGATTTTCAAGCAATCGCTGCCTGATTTTACTCGAATTGAGACCAGTAATAAATGCGTCTCGAATATTATCGGATTTATTCGTTTCAGCATCAACCTTTCCAAATTGACAATCTTTCGCTAATAATTTTAGCACCTGCATATAAGTATCAATGCTCTCATCGTGCTTTTGTCTCCTAGTAGCTAGTATATACCTGGCATAGACTACATTTTTTGGTTTATTGAATAGTTTGTCGAGTATGTCTAGGGCTTCTTCATAGGTAGTACATTCACTTATGTATGCGAAGATTGTTGGAGATACGTGGTTTATAAGTATGTCTATTTTCATACCAGCTGTTTCTTTTGTAAAGTTCGATAAGAAATTCTCGAACGTCCTCTTCCAGTGCTCCCATTCCTTGGAGGCGGAATTACCGGTTGGATCAATGTTCAGTTTATCGGGACGCAGAAACCGTTCCATTTTATTTATTCTGATAACATTTTGTGGAATAAATTGATAAATAAGATAAAACCTTTAGAATAACGGTTTTATTCCACAAAAATATTTGACAACAATGAACTAAAAGACTATCAAATGTAAAGTTCAAAATAGACATTAGAAACTAAAGAGTTAATATTATGACAATTTCAAAACAGTGAAAATTTTTCCATTTAGAAATATCTTTTGTAGTTTTATTTATCATGAATTTTAGAATAAGCTTGTTTAAATAAAATGAGGTATAAAATGATGAAATAGCGAAATAAAAACCTCCATCGTTTCCATTCAGTAACATCAACTTTTGACAGGTGTTCACGTTAAATATGGAAAATTGGAAAATTAAAGGAACATATATCCAGAAAAATAGGCCACCCTAAAGGAAATACATAATAATAATAATAATTCGGAAAAGTATTTATTTTTCTGAAAGATATAGTCATAGCAAAATGGAATTTTTTTTCATGACCAACGTGAAGTTGACTGACAGTACCTAATTAAGTGACATTTCTAAATTCTGTTGTATGTATGTACATACATACATTTACGTGGCTTTTTATTAGATAGCTAATGAAAAATTAAGTTCAATAAGCTCTATCATAATACCTGTTGGGAAATGAAACTATTTTTCCGGATTTAAATCGCGTATATTTGGTTTTTCAAACAAACCGATGTTTCGGGCCCTTTACAGGTCCCATGGTCACGGTTGACTGACTGTCAGTGACTGAGAGTCGTATTCTAGAACTACTCAATGCTCAAGTCAGGACTTGAGTATGATTCAAAGCAATATAAATCATACTCAAGTCCTTGCCATTAGAGTCGTATTTCCAGTGCTTGAAATCATACTCAAGTCTGCTCAAATCCTGACTTGAGCATTGAGTACAGTTCTGGAATACGACTCTGAGTGTAACAATCGCGAAAACCTAAGAACTCGATATAATACCTGTTAATCAGAGAAAGATAGCACATACTTTTCATTTTGCTAATCTCATGACCATTCCATAAATTATATTCTATGATATTAAAAAAGTTTCCCCGTTTTAAAAACAAGTTATTAACCAAACCACTTTGTAAGTGGCTAAATCGCTTACCGCAAAAAGCCGAGAGAAATGAGAAAAAAAAAGTTCGTCGTTGCTACTAAGTAGTCTGTGGCGTTGCTGTGGCTGTGGCATATTGCAGTCCGTTGCACTCACTGAGCATATAACCACTACGTCTTTGCAGTCGTATTTCGCAAACATATTTTTGTCCGTAACTCAAAAAAATTATTAATAAGAAACAATTAAATATTGCAGATTTCAGTTCCTAATCATACTTTTCAAACGTTATTGTAAAAAAGTTAATTTTTATGACGTTAACAGTGTAAAAGACATCTATAGCTATGGATCCTTTCGTAATTGCAGCTATTATCAGTGCTATAGTCATAATTATCCTCTCTATTGCTTTTGTGAGAGTCTCCAAGCCTAAGGCCCAAGGTACGTAGTTTCGAGAAAATTATTTTTTATTGTAAACATAAGGTTTTCGAAGTAAACACGTCTTTAACCTTTATAAACTTGTTATTTAGCCCGAGCACAGCCTAGAGCTGTCCAGCAGAGAGAAGGGGGTCCTGGAAGAGTACAGGCCGTCAGAAACCAAAGAGCTCGCATGAGAGCAAATGGTAAGAAAAATACAGATACAACAACAAAATACAGATATTTAGTTAGCAGTAGAGGTTAAACCTAAGTTATTAATAGATTCCGGCGTTACTTTGCGGATAGTCCATGTTAATAAAAATGGAAGTAAATTAATATTCAACACAAGCGCAGCTATTTCTCGTGATTTAACCTTCACTTCAACACATTTTTATTAAAGCTAAATTCTAAAGTTTCAATTCAATTGTATAATGCTTTTTTTTTTCATTACGTTAATTACCAACTATTTTCTAACAACATTCATTCTTTCAGCTGCTAGACACCAAGCAGCTTTGCTGGAAGAAGAACCTGGTGTAGCTGACGAGCCTGATGAAGAGAATCCTCCTGAAGCCCAAAAGGTTGAGTTCCCCGATGACAAGATGGGAGCCAAGGTACTGATACTTAGGCTTTGTTCTACCAACCATTTCTACAACCCATTTGGTAACTGATATCAGTTACCACGTGGGTTGTAGATATAAATGTAACAATATCAGACAGGTGTGATAATCTGGCTGGTATTAATGTTGACTGATACATATATGCTGATGATATGCAATTTAATGTTAGTATTGAACGTCAAAAGTACAAAAACAAAAAGAAAAAACTTGTGAATAGTAAATTGTACTATTGGCAAGTTTTTCTTTTTTTTTTGCAAGGTTCACTACTCTATTTATGGTGTTAATAGTGGCCTGATAGGGAATCTCAAATTGCCTGATCAGTTGGGGTATTTTTGGGTTTAATGCAATAGGTAAAAGTATAAATCCTTTTTGCTGTTTTATATACATATAATAAAGAGTCATATTTATATCTACATTTTTTGCTTACAAGTTATAGGGTTTAAAACTAAAGCGAAGAAATCAATATTCTTGATTAATCTAGACACTTACTCATTACTTGATTGCAAACTAATTTATTGAATTAACTGCCTCCAAAGCCGAATGGTTACCATACCGGACTGCCTCCCAGAGGTCTCCGGTTCGATTCCCGGGCCGGGAGAAATATTTGTATGGCCTACTTTATTTCTCTCGTGAGTTTGGGTGTAATTTGTGGTTGTCTATGTGTGTGTCCATGGCACCCGCGACACAGGGTTTCCCTAGTGCGGGGCTATGTTGAGTGTGTGCGGTATTATTAAAAAAAAAAGAATGTAATCTCTTTAGACTTAAAGTTAACATATTTTGAAATGATAACAGAAACGAGCTAAAATGGAAGCCAAGATGGAAAAGAAGAAGGCACGTGAAGCTGAAGAGCATATGAGAGAGATCAAGAAACAGAAGGATCAGGAAATGGAGGAAGAAAGGCGCAAAAAAGAGGAGGAAGAAAATGTATGTAGTACCTTTAAGCATATTTTAATCTCCATATACAGTTGGACATTTGGATACCAGCTTAAAAAATAGTGTAAGATTAAATACAGCAGATTTTTCTATAATAAAATGTGGTCATATTTTGTAACATGCACTCATCAAGTTGTACACAAGTAATGAACTTAAGAACCTCCATGCATGTCGTATTTTATTCCCAATTTTAGATGTTTACCCACACCATTGCGCAGCACAATTAGTGTCCTAAATTTGCTATGCTAAGGTAATTCAAAACAAAACTTGTCAACAAACAATACATAATTTAAAAAATATTTATCATTTAAATGCATTAAATTATGACTTATTTGCAATTAGTATTAGGTTGGTTAATAAAATTGAATTTCACAGGAAAAAGAGCGACAACGCGAAGAAGCCGAACGCAAAGCTGAAGAAGAGCGTAAAAAACGCGAACAAGAAGAATACGAGGCTCTGAAAGCAGCTTTCACAGTTGAGGGTGAAGGTTTTGAGGAGAATGAGGAGCAGGACAGTAATAGCTTGCTGAAGGACTTCATTGATTATATAAAGGTAACAATAAGATTGAGATGCTTAAGACCTTTTTTTTAAAGCCTTGAAGAACCTTGTGTGAGTCTCATTTATTAGAAACTCGAGCCTAATACTGCAATCAAGTTCCTATTCTAATAATATAGAATAGGATAAATTCTAAGGATATTAGCATGTAATTTTCAAGATCATAAATCACTCATGTACAAGTAAGGCACATGATTTCGAACTTCTTCAATTTTTGCAGGCACAAAAAGTAGTTCTACTCGAGGACTTGGCAGCACATTTCAAGTTAAAAACCCAAGCTGCCATTGACAGAATACAAGAACTTCAAGCATCTGGAGAAATAACCGGCGTCATTGATGATAGAGGCAAATTCATCTACATCTCATATAAGGAACTTGAAGACGTCGCCAAGTTTATTAAGCAGCGAGGAAGGGTCTCCATAACAGAGTTAGCAGAATGCAGCAATGATTTGATCAACTTGAACCCAGTCACTGTTCCCTAAACGTCTATAGAGCTCTCAACACATTATTGTATAAAATGTAAATTTTTTGTTAATAGAAACAAAGACAAAATTTTATTAAAGCAATTTATTATAAGACATTAAATGCAACAGAGTTATTATTCACTTATTTCATAACCAAACATATCTCTTCCCTTCTCCAATAAAAACAATGATGATTCTTTGATTCTATCCAATACTTCCATTAGTTTACTCTTGGTGAATACTTTGTATAAAGATCTGTTTTCTGCTGCAATCAAATTGCCTAGTTTTACAGCTTCCTTGTGATTCTCTATATTGTCACCACTTTGCAAGATTTTGAGAATCAATATAACAACTTCAGGTATACATAGACGTCTCAATGTTTCTAATTGCTTGGCTCTCTCTAACTTTTCATCCTCACTGAAGTTATGTGAAGATGTACTATCATTTTCGTCTTGCAGCCATCCACCTGGGAACAGCAACACATTGTACAACAAATTTTTTGTGTGACGCGATTGACTGAGCACAGCATTTGTCCAACGAGCCTTCTGTTGTTCCACCTGAGCACATTTCTGCTCATGATGCACTTTGTCAGAAAATGACGCATCTGGAGGTAATGGCTCCACATCTTTTGGCTGACCACTTATAAAGTGCCTGTACCAAGTTGCAAAACCTTCAAGAGCTTCCAAATAAGCTTTCAAGCACAGATGTTCTCTCAGTTCAGAAGAGTTTGAAGACACTTTGTTCATAAAGTCTGGGAACATTCTGTTTACATTACTGACACAATTCAGAGCAGCATCAGTATTTCCAATGAAAATAAAGGTACGAACCATAGCATTACTCAGCCACAAAGCTTCTTCAAGTTGATTAGAAATAAGTGACAGCCATTCAAGAGAGGATATCACTTTGTTTATCAGAGTTTTATCCTTTTCAACAGCAGTGGTTTGAGTGAATGTCAAATCAATGTTACCATAACCTTGTTGAATATCAGTTATTGCCTTCTTTATAGCAACTCTTGCTGAAGCCGCCACATCAATCCCTGCACTGATTCCTGCCGTAACAACACCCCCTCTAAAGTCACTCTTGTGTACACGATCCATCAATTCTGCATACAAATTAATTTGTCTAGCAATCGGTACAGTAGAAATATAGTAAGCTATTAGTTCAGGACATGCCACAGAACCATCAATTAGTTTTTCAATCAGTTGGGTGATATACTTCTCCAAAACCTTGTCACCAACATCATGTTGAGGATCTTTTCCCATTAAACGGAGTACTAGAACCAGATGAGCAAGAAATCTAATAAATCTCTCTTCTGACTCTTCTAGCCACTGTAAGGAATCTTGCATTATGGCTCTTACATGACCTAGCATTAGATATCTTTGGCATGTTTGATAGTTAGATTCTTTTTTACCATCCATCAGTGCTTTAACAGCACTAAAAACTTGTTGCAAAGATACCTCTTCAACTTTAAGCTCCGACTGTAACAGGTCTAGAACATAGGGTGTGGTTGTACTTGCATCAACAGTGGCATGGTGTTCATGTAAGAATTTATCAACTCTAGCTTCAATTTGTATCCTTAAATGAGCCCACAATAGGTCTTCCCAGTTTCCTTGACATGCTGGAAGTGTACTTTCCAAATGACCACACAAAATGCCAACTGTAGCCTTAAAATAAATATTCTCTGCAGCATTGCTTGCTATGCCCAGAGCACACCACTTCCATAGATCCCTAGATGGATTGCCAGAAATTTCCAAAGGAGAATTAGGATCTTCTCTAGGTAAATAGTGCAGCAAAATCCATCCCTGCAACACAGCAGCACGCCAAGCTTGACCAGCATTTAAGCAAATAGAAACAGCTTCTCTAAATTTCCCACACCGCACTTCAGTAAAAACACGCTTACATAGATCATTGTCATCCTTTTGATCATCAGAGTGTATTGTTTTCTTTTGTCTTCTCGGTGCATCGGGGTCCATACATGTGATCATCGACTTATATTTGTTATTCTGATCTTTGTTAAACAAACTCGTACCAATAGTCAGCTCATGTAGTGTATTACCCCAATGTATGTTGTTTACTATGACAGGGGCTGATGTTTTAGTTGCTTCTTCTTGATAGGATGCTGTAGCTTCAAGCCAGTCTACCAGCAATTGCAGAAGGCGAAGTTCCGAATCACTTTGAAATAAAGCTCCGACCAAATTTTGCTGGGATAGTGTAGTTTCTGTCAATAGGGAGTCCAAAGATTCTGGGTGTTCAGTAATAGAATCAGCATATAAACAATGAAGCAGTTTCCATGTATTAGCCTCTTCCGCCAGCCAATAATTCTGCACATTGTACCTATTCCACGGCTCCACGAGTTCCAGGGAATCACAACACACTTGGCCTAATCTCGCTAATGTATCGAGGACATCGCTCGCACGACTGGTTTGTATGACCTCGAAGAAAGCTTCGCCCAAGCCATCGCCGGCATTTCCAGTATTCACTAATATTGAAGACTCATCTAAGACTTGACGAAGACTAGTATCGTTCAAAGTTTTAAAAATGGAAGTTTCGTTGAGGATCGGCGATAGATTTAGTGTGTCTTCCCTTTGCAATAACTGCTTTGATCGTTTGCTTCTTATCGGAGTACGCTGCGTTGAATTTACCAGTAGCGTCCTGTCGAAATTCATCGTGGATAGTTCTGTAATTTAATTACAAATTATCAAACAATATTCTCAACGCCAAGAGATAAGCGCGAACGTGAACCACAGACTACTTAGTCAAGTTCGTTTAAAATTTAAAACGACTGAGCAAAGAGTATTATTAATAAACAATAAAATATTTTTATAATTAAATCTAATTTTATTTCTGAAATTGAATCAAGTAGATATTAAAACAATAACTACTTATTACGTGCGATAATAATCCAAAGTATTTTACCATTTTTCTTAAATTTGTATTGAATCAGACGGGTGCAGCTTTTTGAACGATTCTTTTTTCTAAAAACTGCAAAGTAGTCGAATTTTTGAAAATTTAGATCTGCAAAATAAAAATACGGTGCTGAAAATCATGCAGGCTAAGGTAATTAGTTCAATAATCTTGTACAAAAAAGTTTCGTCGGCTAAAATTTTCATAACGAATGTCAAACAGAACTTTTGAGTGGATATTCCCACCGGTTATGGTCATGTCCTCAAAATACTTTACTTTCCTGACTTCATTTCTTTCTTGTGTTTCTTTCCGCAACTTAGATAGCCTTAGCCCCACAAATTAGAAAGATTAAAGTCGACAGTGCGTACTGAGGTGAGCAAAATATGAACAAATATAATAATATTGTTCAGTAATAACTTCACATGGTTACCATGAAGCTATAAGTATCATTATAATATTGGAATCGATGATTGCACATATATAAAATAAATGTGGCACGTAAATTACCTAGTTAACTAAAGTTTAGAGCTGTTTAATTACCATATTTAAACGAAATCATTCTGGATACAATTAATATAATCAACAAATAAATGCTTTATTTTGCATTTACTGTTAATATATGGATATATAATTTATAAATAATTCTGAATATTTTTATCTACTATACAATAACAAAATTTAAATAAGCATGTTCTATGTGTCTTCTGATAGAAGAATGATACATTAAAAAATATAATTGAACATCATTGTCACTGAAACCCCTTTTTTATCTAATTTGAATTGTTTAAATAATGAAATTGTTCTACTTTTCTTCAATTATCTCTTTGTTCATTAATAAATGTTATTCTGTTTAAACATCCCATATTATTATGCCTGGAAAGTCCTGTTGCAGTCAATCAGAAAGTTCAATTATTTAAAACAGCTATCTAATATATTTAATATATTTAAATTTTTTCCACAACATGACAGTATTTTTTTGTTATTAATTATTGTCTTTTTTTATTATACTATTCTGTTTTCAAGTCTCTATATGGTAGGTATAGTGAAGATCTCGTCAAACTACACTTCACACTTAGCACCGTTCTTACTGTACTTACTTAGTTGAATTTAAGTCTTGCCTGTGAAGCTTGATGTGACTTACTGATACTGTATGTGACACAAAGCACTAGAAACTAAGTTACTCAAATAGTTATTGAAAAACTTTCTTTTCTCTAAAAGGATATAAATATTTATAACAACAAAGAATCAGCATTATAATAACCCCTAAAAATAAAAAATATGAAATAATAATGATTGATTCATGTGATTTACTGAAAATGTAAGTGACTATAAAAATAACATTGCGTGCGCTAGATAAGTAATTAATTGTAAATACGAACTCCGTTATGATTATGGAATTTATTTTTATATTTATTTATTATTATGTATAAATGACTTCACAAGAGATCCATAGGTACACGAAACATGCAATATTGTGTTTGTTGTTTTGGCATTAAGTTTAGTTTGTTACATTTCAATTTAGTTTCTAAAGGTACAAGCCTAGGTCTTATTTAATTATCATTAGTGAACTTTCGATATTGTATGTTATTTCAGTTTTGTCAAAAATTACATATATTATCTAAGATCTATCTTTAAAATATAATTTTACCTAAAAACAAGCAAGTGCTATAGGTATTTACAAACAGTACTAAAGTTATTTTCAGACAAATCATGCCTAGCATACACCTATTAGTTTAATACTTATGTAAATGCAGTACTTAAACTTATTGTAGTAGGTAATAGTTAAAAGTATTGTATTTCATTCAAATAATTTTGCATTTAATAATTTTTTGTTTTTCAAGTTGTTGACATTGCTGACAAATTATTTTTATAACTTCATGTCAACTGTCATTCTTATGGTCACTTGAGAGATGTCTTAGGTTTGTGAAATGAATTTGTGAAAATCCAAAATTGTACATTAATTTGTATTAATTGTTGGAATAACAGGCAAGACAAGGCAAGAGAGGTCAAGACTACACTTCTTAGCATTCTTTTGGAAGAAAAGCAATTTTCCCAAAATGAACTTCATGGGAGGTAAGAATTATAATAAAAATCTTATTTTTTTTACTTGTATTTGGTGTACATGTTACTAATATTTGAAAAATTGTTGGTTAATCGTATTGATTTCCAACTTTTGACATAAGTTTTTAGACAAAGTAATAATTGTCACCTTGAGCTGTATTTCATACACGAAATTTCGCATTCTGTTGTTATTGTTAATTAAAAAGCAAAGAAAATGTTACAAATGTATTAAAGAGTAGGATTTGGTAACAACTTGATGGAATGGGAGTTATGTAATAATATTTGAAGCAAAAGCAAAAAAAATCATGTTACGGTCTACGGTCAAAGAGGTTTTCAATTTTCTACTGTGTCGGTTGAGATTCAGCATTGACTCAAATTCATACAAGACTATATCGTCCATGTAGTATAATAAGAAAGTGCTAATAGCATGCTTACAACAGCATTAAAGCTGCATAATAATAATTGGGAATAACTCGGGTTATGGACCGGTGTGGTTAGAATTATTATATTTAAAATATTTACACCAAATTATTATTCATCGCTGTGATTAATAGTTGATCTATTATGGTGATAATTACTACTCGGTGCCAATACCAACAGTGCCCTAAAGAACTTATAAGTACCTAACCAAATACCTATTAATTTGTGTTTAGATTTTGATATGCTGATGTGTTTAAAATCCATCCTCATTTAGGCCTGAAATTGTAATTAATATATAAATAAATGCGTAACCTCTGTTTAGATGGAATGTCTAACCAGAGTAAGTAATCTTTGAACATTTTCTCCTAAAGATTTTAAGATTAAATCTTTGTTCCTTCTGACTAATAACGACTAAGCCGCAGTGTAGTTCGTCACAGTGGTCACAACCGTACGTTCCCTCTAAAGCCCGTTCTGCCTTTATGCCAATATAGATATTGCCTCCCTATGAAGAAAGTTGGATACATTCATTTAATTTTTCACTTAATAAGAGAAAGGGTTTTGAATTGTTAATAAAATCATATTTTTCGCATTTTTTCACGGAAACTGGTATAAATATGACAAATCGCAAAGCCAAAGGCGGTTCGTGTCAGGTTCCCAGTCCTCATTATTGTATGTAATCAACCCGGCCTCTAGTAGGGGCCATATGGGCCATAATTAAATCGACGTAACATTCTCTATAAAATAAATTATACTTTGGTAATTATGTATTTAATTTTTGGAGCTTTTGCACAAAATATTAATATAAACCAAAATAAATGCTCTTAGATTTAACGGAGTTTAGAGATCTTCGTAATTAAATCGAACTCTGTAGTGTAGGTATCATCATAATGGAACTGCACGCGGTCGCTCGCTAATGCAGTCTATCAATGTGAAACCCGTAATTACAAGCATTGGCATATTATTTTAGTGGCCTGCGATGATAGAGGTTGAGATTTGTTTGACTTATTTATACCTTGCCTTTGCCTTACGCAGCACAGCGTGTATACGTAACACGCTATGAAACGTAATAGATAGCCGCTATCAACATGGTGTTGCCGACTTAGTGGTTTTACCACTAAACGTGATTAATTTTATGTGTAGATAATTACATAATTTTACTTGTGGCAGTGTATAAACAGGCATTGAATTATTAACTTACTAATTGAGGCAGAGTCCTATTTATCATACAGTAATTAATGGTTGTGAGAAATAAAAAAGAAATCTTGTTAATGATAATTTTATTTTATTTATTTATATTAAGTTTTGTGTATATAAAAGTGAAATCGCTATATAGCTTTGGCCATGTGCAGGCTAAAAGTGAATTCACAAAGCACAAATTCTGGCAAACAAGGATTTATTTATTTTACTTACTAATGTTAATTACTTTGAAGAAAATAAAATACTGCTCAACTAAATTAGTCAATTCGTTGTCTTTCTGTTTAGGGAACTTTTTATGATACCAAGTGACGATAACTAATTCGATTCGATTGCTAAATCGACACGCCGCCCCTGTCCATCCCTTGCAATTCTACTCAAGAGTTGTTAATATCTAATATGTGAGGGGTACTGCCACTTCATTACCTCATTTATTGGGAAAACCATTAAGTTGGCAACACCACGCTAACAGCGTTTTAACTGAATAAATAAGATACGTACCCCTGCATACCCCAACGATAATGTTATACAGACAAGAAATTAACACTGGGTATGGGTGGATTAATTTTATAAGCCTAGGAGTGTAATAGAATCAGGAGCCAAACCTACGGCGTCTGTCGATCGTTCTCATATAAACTTTTATACCATTTTATTCTAATTATGGAACGAACCTCTTTTGTTCAAGTATATTCATTTAGATAATTGACATTTTTTAGTCGACGTCACTTCGAATCACTATAGGTCTTTGTAAATGCACAGGAAGTAGTTCGATGTGTTTTATTGCTTTTTTTTACTGAGACACTTTTGTTTCGACAATTTTTTATTATTTTCTGATTATTTAAATAACTACATAATTTTGGGGCTGCAAACATTTTAAGATTTGAGTTATTTAAATTACCATTATTTCATCATCATTTCTTATTTCACCACGATCTTTCTTTGTTGCGTGGCGGTAAACTTTGAAGCTTCGTTTCAATACTTATTTTTGCGAATTTAGTTTGTTTATTGAGCAAAACTTATCAAGTTATTGATGATATTATTATTTTTTGTAAATTTTGTTTGCGCGATGCAGAGACACGATAAAATCTTTATTTTACATAACTTGGTGCTCATTTGACTTTACCGCGCAAGTACTATTTTCAAGGACGTTCTAGCTATCTCTTTTCCGCGCACTAGTCGTTCAATCAACGCGAGTTGTGGCGTGCGGTTCGTTTCGTGTCGTCATTGAACAGATTGAATAGTATTTTTTGGACTGATTCCGCCATTATTATTATAAAAATCTTGAATATCTTATCTTACTGTATTGTGCATTATAAACATCGTATTCGTGTAATACATTTCACCTATCTCAGTGTTAGTGTCTCACAAATGCGTTTGCGAAGTGTATCATTTCCTGTTTCATATCATACCGAAACAATCAACTGCGGCGGCTAGAGGACTCTTTTCGTTATCACGTGGGTCAAATTTCGAATTATGTGTCCGTATACGATGAATTTTTTGTGTTTATTGTTTGCAATCAACGGGCGTTGAAAATGCGGTACTTAAAGACTCATAGACCGGCTTGTAATCCGTGCTAAACGTTGTGTTTTTCAGAAGCGCGCGGCGCTGCATTCCTTGTGGTTGTATCGAAACGCCATGGAGCCGGCTGGCGACTGATCCCACGAAGAATGTGCGCAGTGGATTGTTGTGGAGTGCAGTGTAGTACAGTGTCTGTGACTTGTGAACGTATAGTGCTGTGGGAGTGTTATATAAGGGAAGGGATGGTCAGGAGCCCGCCCTGACGCGCCGGGCGCCGGCGTCCAAGGCGGGCGACGCGCGTGTCATGGCCCCGGCGCTATCGCTGTCGCCCCAAGAGCCCTACGACCGCGACGCAGCCCAGGAAACCGACAAGCAGCTGTCCCATCAGAGACGGGCGCTCGCGTCCGTCGATAACCTCTCTACACACATGGAGGAGGACGACATGGGTCTCCAAAACCAACCCAGTCTTGTAAAAGACTCCCAGGAAATGGAGCAGATATTAGTGGACCTGGGAAGCAGTGATCTAGCACAAGCCGATTTGCTTCAAGCCATTAAGACCTTAGAGAGTGGTGGTGATACACTATCTGCAGGTGATCCCGATGCTATATTCCCCCTTTCTGGTTTTGATTTAGCAGAAACTGCTGATTCTGAAGGTGATGCAACTGAGGATAAGATAAGACTATTGCAAGTCCGTTTGGAGAGACGGTGTGCCTTTCTGCAAAGACGTTTGCGAATATTACAAGCTAGAACTATTGGGAAAAGAATATCTGAGGAAGCTGCACAGACATTTGAAAAGTGTACAAGGGGTGCAAGGAAAGACGGTGGGGGCAGGCCTATTGGGTTGAAGGCATTGCTAAAAAGGATAGAGACTACATCTGCCCTCCAAGCAAGTGCAGCTTCCCGGCCTGTAGTGGGTCCAAAGTACTTCCATGCAGGGACATCTAGAGGGGATGCTTCCCGGTCTGCGTCCATTGGGATATCATCAGGGACGCTAACAGGGTTGCAGGACACAGCAGGAGCTCTGCGGTCACACCTTTCGGTAGTAAAACATGAGCTGGACTCTGATGCAACAGCTTCATCTTCAGGGGCTGAGAGTAATGATGAGGCTGTGATATATAACAATCCACACCAGCAGCCTATGCCTATGTGAGTAAACTCTTATTCTACTAGTTAGGACTTAATGTATAAGTCAAAGTCATAGATTATTTATTCCATAGGTAAAATAAATTTACACTTGAAAATGTCACATTGAAGCTACTGCTCATTCACTACGCTGACCTCCCTGAGAAGAACGAACAAGAAACTCTACTGATTGCTCTTTTCAAATAAACTTAAATGCTATGGAATACACTTTGAGTCAAATTTATGTGGATTCTGGAGCCGTGTCGTCTTTCCATACATCTTTATCTAACACATAGTCTTCAATTTTAATATGATTTTTCGATCAAAATATTTTTAATGTAGTTTTTAAACTTAGGAAATGATAAACTTAATATATGCTCCGGAATCTTATTATAAAAACGATACAGTTCCCCATAAAAGAGTTGTTTACCTTGGTTAAACGAAATCGTGGTACCATGAGTTTGGACTTAGCTCTAAGGTTAATACTATGGATATCTTCTTTCTTATTGAAATTATGTATATTTTTACGGGCATATAAAATATTTGAGCAAATGTACTGTGATGCCACAGTCATGATACTGTATGCAGCGGAGCTTAATCTGCTGGCCAGGGAAGTTATATGTGGAAACCATTGAAGTTTACTATCTAAGGTCACTCCCAAGAAGACGGCTTTATTAACAAGGTCTAACTTTTCTCCGTTTATTTTTATGCTTGGACTAGTCGATTTTACGTTAGGTACCTAATTCAAATTTAACACATTTTGTCTTCTTGGCATTAAGCAATAAATTGTTAGCATTAAACCAATAAACTACCTTTTTACCATTAATATGGTCATAGTTAATGTCATGTCTATCTGTTTTAAAAATCAAGGATGTGTCATCAGCAAACAACACTATTTCGCAATGGTCCTTAACAAAGAATGGCAGATCATTAATATAAATCAGAAATAAGAAAGGTCCAAGTATTGAGCCCTGCGGAACACCCATTTTCACCAGAGAACCCAAGATAAGATAAATAGTATTCCTGGTTCACTTTGCTAGATAGATGCTTTACCTTTAGAGCTAATGTTTTAATATAAGCTATTCAATACCACACATGATTAAACAGAAATGTCACAGGTAAGGCAAATATAATGGCCCTGCTACTCAAGCAATGGTATTACATAATTTAATTAAAGTTTCTTGACCTTGTACTAATGAGTATATTATTTTAAATACTCATTAGTTGAATTATAATACATAATTGTTTGTTTCCACATTTTTAAATGGTCTAAATGTAGACAAAATAGTTCTCAAATGGTATTTGATTTGAATTTAGTACACGGCGGTAACTTTAATACCTAAGTTTTATTAATTTGTGAAAGTTTGCTACTGATACATTTCTCTAATGTTGAAGGAAAACATTGTGGTGAAATCTGCATTTTGACATACCTGCTATAACATTAATTACAACCCTTAGAGAACTTTGAAGTCCCTATTCTGCCTTAAAAGGGTCTTATCCACAGCAGTGGGCAGATATAATGAATTGTAATATGTGTACTTATTGTTTTGATTGCGTCATCTAAGATTACAAGCTCAAGTTGAATTGATAATATGATATATGCAAGGCAAAGAAGTTGAAAATGTTTCATAGTAATTACAAAATAATGCATAACCTTATCTTTCTTTTTAATAGGTATAACAAACATCCTAGGTTAAAGACTACCAAGGTTTCCTTCTTTACACTTCAATGCTGAATCTATAATATTTGAGTCATTGGATTAGAGTGTGTATGGCTGAAATGTTCTTGTGTGCGATTCGCACGCGCGATTTGTCGTGGCCTTTCTTTTCTAGTTTTTGTCGTAGTCTTTGAATCATGTGTAGTTTAATTTATTAATTATCACTTCTTGGCTGCGAAAGAAAAATTTGTAATGAGACCCATGCTTGTCCGAGACTTACATATAAAATTGTACCCTGAGTTGGCATGGACCATGAACTTAATCTCCCCTTAGAAGAGACCCATGCCCAACAGCAGCCTTGTTAGATGGTCATTAAGCTTGCTCATGTTTTTATAGTTACTTTATCATTATGTGACAGCTTTTTGTGTGGGATTGCCAACTTCTGGTTTTGTATAAAATAAATCTAGGGGAGTAGGTTAAGCAATTTAGATAATATACATGCCATATGTAAAGTCAACGGTATGTGAAATTTAACATTTAGGATAGCCATACACTGCTCGAGCAGTTAGACAATGATCAAATAGTTGATACCAACTGCATGATACCAACTGCAGCAGTTGGTATCTGTGCGAGAGATTTCACCGCGCTGCAAGCCGCCCAAAGCAGTCGCGACTTCTCGAGCGGTTTGGTGTATCTGTAAATAGAAGACTGTAGTTTGCTATGTGGTCGCAGCTTCTTCAAGCTAGTCGGTACTAGCTGCTTTAAGCTGCTTGTGTATGACCGGCCTTAATGTTAAATTCAACTATATGCTGCATGCGAATAGTACAGTCCCCATAGTGTAATTGTCGTAAAAGTGTCCTAAACAAATAATTTTGAATATTATTTAGGGTGGTGTCCTTTATTACCCTCAGTGTGAATATGCATGGCACTTTTTGGTCTTCTGCCTTACTTATATATACTTAAGTTTTTTGCTGTGGTCTTGCCATTTATTACACAGTTTTAGACTGGTACTTTTAAATTTTGCCTTTAATGCTATATTTTTGTCACCACTCATTAAAATTTGTCTGTTATTTCCATCTGAACACACTAACTTATCGTAATGAACAAACTAAAGTCGCAAAATATGGTTACCAACCATAACAGAGATTCGAGATGTTAGACAGATATAAACAAGATGGTTTTTGTTGTAAACAGACTATGTACATGTAGGTCATAACGTAACAGATTTTCATCAAATGAAAAATGTTGCACAACATTACAACAGGTATATAGGTAGGCAAGGTTCATGACCTACTTAAAGGTCACCTGTCTATGACCTATTTATGGGTCATTGCTAGCTCACACACAAATTTTCATGACCTAGGTATATGTAGGTTATTCTACCCTGAGAGTTGTATGTATTCCAGAACTCTACTCAATGCTCAAGTCAGGAGGGAGGTTGAGTATGATTTAAAGCACTAGAAATCATACTCAAGTCCTTGCCATTAGGGTCGTATTTCTAGTGCTTGAAATCATACTCAAGTCCTGACTAGAGCATTGAGTAGAGTTCTGAAATACGCCCCTGACAATGACAATAAAAATATAATTTATGTAATAATATACAGCTTTGACCATAACAGCTCCACTGTGACGTTGGTATATTTTGAAGCTTAAATGTTTTAATGACATCACTCCTATATTTTAATATTTTAAACAGCAAGACTGCTGGTCACAGAATTTCTAATTAGCTTAATTTGATAAAGATTTCTCATATTTTAGAAGAAATTTATATGAAAGTTTCAGAACAAATGTTATGTAATTAAAACTTCTCAATATACTAGTACAGTAAAGTAAATTGCTATAAGGAAATACAATACTGTAACTTCGGGTATTATGTATTACTAAAAAATTCATGGCAGCCTAATGGTTTGACCTACCGCCTATCAAGCAGATGATCGTCGTGGGTTCGAATCCCGGCTTTATCTTTCAATTTTTCGGAATTTACGTTAATTTGATTACCTTGAGCTTTTCAGTGAAGGAAAACTATGTGAGGAAACCTGCACACATCTGCAAAGCAATTTAATAATGTATGTGAACCCTCTCATTGTGAGAGGCCTGTGTGCAGCAATGGGATTATATGTGTTGACTTTGTGCGCCTGGTGGTAAGCGACTCGCCTGTCCATAATAATCGCACTGCCACTCAGAGCTTTAAATCGCAAAGCTCTGAAGGGCACTGCCGCTGTTTACTGCATAAATCGCAAATTACTTAAGTTACTATGTAACAGATACATCACTCTCATGCTAAATCGAAAATACCTACGCTATAATATCCTACTAAATCTGACTAATGACCAAGGCGCTGACCACGAGGAAAAAGTTGTACAAGGATTGTAATGTAAATAAAAGACTTGTCTAAGTGCTACCACTGTCGGCGATACACTCAGCGGTAGTCACTTATCGCATAACCTCGAGCGATTGCCGAAGCCGTGCATAAGTTGACGAGTCCCATGTGCTGTAATTTCACCAGTATCCTTACCCATCGAGACCGGAACGCAGTAACGCTCACATTACTGCTTGACGGAAGAAATAGTTAAGGTGGTAGTACTTCACTGGATGGACTCTTTCACAACGAGTTCTACTGCTACTAAATATTATATAAGTGTATTATTTCTTGGAAGTTAATATATCTATCGGATATTTGATTATCACTGTAACTGGTGTGTCAATGACCAGTGTAATTAGCATGTTTTATATAAGTTGTTGCTAAGTATAATTTCAATGTTATTGTAATATTTTATGTAAATTTTTATTAAAATTACATCAAGCAGCAAAATGGAAATAAGCGTTTTATTAATCTGGACATAATATTTTCCAGTGAAAAACGCGCTCTGTGGGCGTGGCAACGCGCGCGAGCCTCTATCGCGTCGCGCTGGAGCTGGTTGCAAGCGCAGGTTCAAGAGCTGGAGTACAAGATTCGGCAGCACAACGAACTTCATAGACAGGTCTGTATCTATGCTTCCCTTCGCCGGAGTCTCTCAGATTTATGACTCTGGTCAGCTATCAAGGTCTGCCGATGATCAGTAGCATCCAATGGCTGGTGGAATACTTGACGGTCCTAGAGTGATAATAGTAATTACGAAAACAAACCTGCAGACGCGGAGTTAAGGAAACATGCTTGTTTTGTAGCTGAAGCCATTGTCATTGATGCTTGTTGGAAAAACGTAGCGCATAAATTGTGTCAAATACATTTTATGCGGAGATTTTTTTAAATTTCTTTTACAACCTCTCGCAATGACAGTAGAAAAGGTAGCAAGCGTAAACCATAGTGTTAGGGAGTCTAAAGATATTTTTAAAATAATAATATCTCAATAATTATATAATCATATTATAGTAATTTACACACTGGCACATTAAATGGAATAACAGAAGAGAGAATATACAATAGTAACGTTTATATTTCAATAAATAAGAATTAGTAGCAACTAACATCTTTTAACATCGACTTAATTAAGACTGTACCTAATTAACCCCTGACAAATCTAAATTAAAACGGAAACAGTTTAACATTCATGAAATGAAACAATTTTTCCGGATTTAAATCGCGTATATTTGTTTTTTCAAACAAACCATTTAACATTCACGAAATCATAATTCACTTAGATAAACAACACTTCAATAAGTGAAAACCGTTTTCAAGTAAAGTTTACGGTTTTCACAAAACCGAAACCTCTAACCATTCGAGAAGCCTGTATTAGTAGGAAATTAAAATAAATTAATTTAAGAAGTGATAGCCCACTATTTTTTATTTTCAAATTGATTTAAAAAAAGTTTAGTTGAAATTGAATAACCGACTTGAGTTTCACCGACCGTGCGAGCGTGCGTGCGTGCGTGCGTGCGTGCGTGCGTGCGTGCGTGCGTGCGTGCGTGCGTGCGTGCGTGCGTGCGTGCGTGCGTGCGTGCGTGCGTGCGTGCGTGTGTGTGTGTGTGTGTGTGATGCCTGCGTAGGTGCGTGCGTGTATGTGTGCGTGGGTGCGTGCGTGTATGTGTGCGTGCGTGTTATGCATAAAGAATATTGATACCGAAAAATCACATAGACGTAACGTAACTTGTTTACATCGTAATTTTACCTGTGTAAATTATTTTACACTTTATTATCGCTTTCTTCACGCCACAGGCTATACAAAGACCGAAATTTGCTCTAAAACTTCTTCGTAACTTCCGAGTTTCAAATTTAGATTTTGTTTTTGCACGATGTTGACCTTTTCTGAAAGGTTGGAAATGCCAATGCTTATTTATAGGTAAAACATAAACTCGTCTAAAATATACCTATTGTCCGCTTCACAATGTTTAAAAATACTTAAGTAGACCTCGACGTACATATCTCGAGCAGATTAGGGATGTCCTTAAAAAATGCCATAGATAGATAAAACGTTTATTGTCTAGCATCACACACACAACAATATAATACAGTAAATGGATTAAAAGAGACACTGAAATCAAAATTAAAGAAAATAAAATAAAAAACAAACAACAAGAAATTCAATTGAAAGAATAATATACTGGGGGCGCTGTAAGTTTCCGGAATGAATAAGAAAAAAATACTATAAATGGTCCGAAATAAATAAATGTACTATAAATGGTACAGAAATGAATTTATTGTTTCTTAAAATATTCTCCGTTATCGTTAATGCATTTTTTTGTACAAATGAACCAATTTTGAAAACATTTATGCCACTTCTCCGTGACAATCTCTAAAACATATTTTTCATACTCTTCAACAGCCTCTTCAAGTGATGAAAATCGTTGACCGCGTAACTGGTTGTGATGTATTAATAATTATAACAAACTAGTGGATAATTTCACAAAAAAATATAATAATAATTATAACAAACTAGTGGATAATTTCACAGAAAATAATTTCACAAAAAATAATTGGATATCAATTCAATAAAAATTTAAAATACAGTGAGTAGCGACATCTCTCGCCAGGGCTGGTAACTATAAAGATACTACCTGGGTGATAAAACTTTCATAGATTTATCATAGATGGCGCTACGACTAAAAAAATCGTTGAAAAAACCAAATACATACAAAGATACGACGCAAGCACATAGAAAAATTCGTGAGGTCCGCTGGTTTGTTCCGAGGCTTAGTTGGTATAGCGTCTGGCACTGTAAGCTAGAAGACCTCGGTTCGAATCCGGCCGGATCGAAGGAATTTTTTCTGAGTGTTCGACCTTTGTATTAATAATTATAACTGGTTCTTAATTTTTGGAAATAAATAAAAGTCACGAGGTGCCAGGTCGGGAAGCGCGGGAAGGCTCATAAGAAAACGTTGTTCACCTTCAAACATTCATTTGTCTGTCTGGCCGTGTGAGAACTGGCATTATCGTGGTGCAAGATGATACGGCGTTTACGGTTATTTTTACGGAGTTTGTCAATAACTTCCGGCAAACAAATGGCCGTGTACCAATCACTATTCACGGTACAACGATTCTCCAAAGCAACAGTCCAGTTTTATTTAAAAAAGGAGGAAACATCCGCTTAGAGGCACTTTGCACGCGCGCCACTTTGGTTGGTTTCGGCTCATCTCGAAAGACCCATGCGCTTAATTGCCGCTTTGTTTTGGAATCGTAACTATAAATCCATGTTTCGTCACCTGTTACTATGCCCCACACCAAATTTGACGCCCCTTCGTTGAATCTAGTAAGCATGGCATTGCACCAAGTGACGCGATCCGTTTTTGGAGCCTCGGTCAAATTATGCGGGATCCACCGAGAGCACAGCTTTTTCACACCCAAATGTTTGTATTTGACTCATGCCTATCCCTAAAGATCTCTAATCTCATGGTATGTCGCATGCCTGTCAGTTTTGATCATACGGCGCATAGCATCGATGATTTTGTTGTTCACGACCGCGTTTGAATTCTGACTTGCTATAAATAGTCATCTTGCATGGTGCTACATCGCCAAAACCAAATTGAAGCCGAGCGAAGCTCCGTTGAGCTGTTAAATTACACTTGAAGTCGTAAAAAATCATACTACGAAAATTTTCTTCAGTCAAATCCATGGTGATGTAGACGCCACAATGTACAAACAAGAGACAGTCAGATGAAACAAACTGTATTCTACAGTCAGAGTTCCATTTTCGAATGTCATAATAACTTTTTAAATATTGTTTATGTAAGTTAAGTCAATTCCGGAAACTTATAGTGCGCCCTATGTATACATAAAAACAAAATATAACTTGGGTCCTGCAGTAAGCCAAATAGGTCGCGGCTCAATGCAAAATTTGCAAAACAAAGCACTGATTTTCAGCCACCACCTTCGAGGGTAACGCGTTGCCGAGCATTAAAAGCAAAAACATGTAGTGTGCATATGTGTTAGTATGGATGTGGGAGTTATGTAGATTATATATTATAAAAAATTTTAGAAGCTTCCACTATGTAAAACGTTTAGGAACCCAAGTTTTGCCTATCAAAAATAAGTTTCCTCAATTTTGTTTTCAAATTAAACTTAGATTTAAGGAGTCTAAGCGAGAGGTGGAATATTATTCCAACACTTTGTAGCTTGATAGCGGAAGCTTCCAGTAAAGGCCACAGTACGATGAATTTGTTCCGCTAACAGAGGTCTCACGGTTTTGGTGGAAAAATTTAAATTTCCATACAAGTACTTCGGTTTTTGGAACTTCATCACGCCAAATAATTTGAAGTTAAAATAAATAATATGAACAGACTGGTCCGAGCGGAGAAGGCGTAAGAGGTTTATCTGGAACGTAGCGATTGGAGGTGAATGGCCTCTGCCTACGCTAATGGGAGACAGGCGGGATGGAATATACAGGGTTATTTGTAAACTAACTAACAACATCGCAGGACTATATTGATAACTCCCACGTAAGTTGTTGTAAGTCAAAACACCATTTTCTTTGCTTTTAACCGTCTTCAAAAAAAGGAGGCGGTTCTCAATTCGGCTGTAAGTTTTTTTATGTATGTTACGCGATAACTCCGGTTTGTGAACCGATTTTGATGATTCTTTTTTATTATACTAAAGAGGGTACCCTAGAAATGGTCCCATTTAAATTTGAAGAAAATATTCCACCTCTAAAGGTGGCAAACTAGGGGGTGAATGACTTTTGAGGTCGATTTTTTTAGTACTCTGTACTGAGATTCTTTCTTCTTCATTCTTCTCAAACAATATGAGGAAATAATAGAAGACTAAAGAAAGAAGATGTATAATAGAAAAAGTAAAAAAAAAACTGTTAATTAATTCATAAATAATATTTGACATACTATTTCCAGGCATTTTCGTTATCGCTCTTCACACTAGAACTTATTTTCTCGACGAACATAGGGCCAAAAAAAAACAAAAGAATACCCAAGCACTTTAGTCATCGAGTCTAAGTACTCGATGACTTTATTTTACCGACTAAAAAAAACTATTAAATTAAGACGCTATTACGAACACTGCCAAGTGTTTTGACTGTATGAGTTTGTCCTTTTGCCTGTTTACACAGTTCATCTAGTAAGTAGATTCAGAAGTTTAGAGAGGTGGACAGTAATGCATTTTTATGCATACTTTGCAGGCCTTGGCGGTGACGTAGTCACACCGTCCATAAATGACAAACTTTCCGTGTTCATTTTTTGAAAGTAGTGCAAACATTTCCGAGTATGTTTGAGAAATAGTACTTTATTTTACACCAAACGATTTTGGATGAATCAACATGACTGTACATACACGTAACAAGTTGGGTGATGGGTCGCGTTAGGTACGCAAGGCAGAGCGCGTCGTTCAAGGCCGTTAGAACAAATAAATGCGTTAAACTCGGCTCGCCTTTCAGTCTAACACGATTACGTTTATCATGCGTTCTGGGACTTTGAAGCAAATGGTATTTAATCAGTTAGTGTCAAGCCAAAAGAGCGTTTTGCACTTTTGGTTTTCATATGTTGAAACATTGTAAGAAAAATATTTCTAGGGTTGGCAGATTTATTAAGCGCATAAATAAATAATAAACAAACAAAGTTTGTTGATCCGTGTTGTTTACAGTGTTGCCAGGCTAATGAGTCAAAAATTACGTTCCTTTTTAAAAAAAAGTTGCATTATGACAAGAAGTTACATTATCTTTTTTTTAATAGTCTTAAGTATTAACGGTGTATATTATATACACGCTTAAATCCTGATTAAAAATTAGACACGCTCAAGAAAATTGTTAAGTTTAATTTTGTTTGCGCCGTGTGTGAGTAACTGCATTGCCTTATTTGGGTGCGTTCGTAAACTATTTAGAATTTATAATAACAAATATACTTGAATTGGAAAAATCTCAACTTTCTCAAAAGTTACGAAAATTGCCTTAAAAACAAAAGTTACTTGTATATTGTTTTTTATATAAAGAAAGGCAAAATCGAGCAGACGAGCCACTTGATAGGAGGTGGTCATCTTCGCCTATGGACATTTGCAACATCAGATGAGCTGCCTATGCGTTGCCAGCCTTTGAGAGCCCTGTAAACCGGCTTTTGAGGAATATTACGCGAGAGGGTCAAGAGTTACTAAAAGTGTAACCATCTGGCAACACTGGTTATTTATGGTATCGGATCACAGTAGTACTATATCTTCCCTACAGAAGAGCAACGCCTTTGAATTTGAAGTTCATGCGATACTGCCACTCGTGTAGGTACTTACGCTGCTGTACGTAGGTGTGTAAGGGTTGTCACATAAAAAAAATTGTGATTATGACAGTTTTCTATTATTAAATTTAACTATATAGTGTATTCGCATTCGGATGAATAATGTATTGAAACAGATGGTAAGTTTAAAACAGGAATAGCAGTGTTTTTTTTAATATACACCCATCCTTCGAAGTGTAAGCCACAAACATACATGATATATCGTTGTTTAATGTTTTTATCTTTCAAGTCAGGTCTTTGACGAAAATCTATCCATAACTGGCACCTGGAAAGAAACATACCCAATAAATAAACACATAGAATATGAGCTGATAATCTCGAAAAAACAAGACCAACATTCACACACACGGTGTATATATTAGTCGATCTTATTTCATTACTAAATAACCAAACTTCGCGATAACAGTTCAAGAGGCCGATGTCGCGCGGGGCGTACCACTTTAACTAGAATTTTAACACTCCACATACAAGCTGGTAACTAGGGCATGCAAAAACAGATTTTGAAAACGAGTTTTTCCCGTTTATTAAGTCTCAGTTAACCGATATTTTTATATTGTCACCCAAATAATTGTTAAAAAGCAACAGAAAACTAAAAAACTTCAACTTTGGGGGTCGATGTTTCTCGCTTCCGTAGGTTTACCCTCGAGACCCTACAAGTGGCCCCTGGGTAGTGCTAAAGAGCGATAACTACTGGTGGTTGGCTTCAGCCGTGCCTAGTCACCACTCTCCCTTTTTTTATATACAGTTCGAGATGTTATTGATCTCATTAGATGTGAATTCTTTAAAAAATAATTTACAAAACACTAACTTTTTTATGATATATAAGTGCACATTTGACCTCCATCTCACCTGATGGAAAGTGACGATGAGGTCGACAAAGGAGCATGCACACCTAAATAATGCCTATTCACTCTCGCCTTGAAAAGGTCTAAGTTATAACGTTCAGGGAATAAGTCTGCAGGCAGGGAATTCCACTCCATAGCCGTTCGCCATATAAGTGTGGAAGCGTAACGCTTCGTGCGAATCTTTGGAATAGTATAGCGGTATAGGGGCCAAGTTTGCCTCTTTTCCAGAAGGTCCTTTTGGTCCCTGGCCAAAGCTGTCACAAACTTTAGTCGTACTTCTTCACCTCTGCTGAGGCCGGACGGCTCGCTGGCTCATACTGCGGAAGAGAAGGCGAATCTTTTTGCCTCACGCTTTGCAGAGAATGCCTGTCTGCGTCATGCCAAAAAGATCTACTCAGAACTCTGCGGAGTCTAAACGTGAATAAAGCTAGCGGGCCAAATAGAATTCCAGCAATCCTGCTGGAATCAGCAGGATTGCTGGAATTCTATTCCAGCGTAAATATGTGCCTAAGTTGTCTCCTGCTCTCAGGTCGTGGGGTAAACGTGCAACCTGTGCCCAAAAAAAGGGAACAATGTTGACTTGTCAATTATAGACCTGTCTCAAACGCTTCTATATTCTGCAAGACAATGAAACGTAATTTTAATAACCATCTCCTCGACAACGTCTTCCTCAGTTATCGCCAGTACGGATTCCGACGAGGGTGATCTTCTTGTTATGATGATTATTTTATTAGAATAATTACATTAATTAGAATAATTTCACAAAAAGTAACAGTAGAGCTCATTGTGAAACAGTTCGTCCTGGAAAGTCCTGCCACCTTGCCTATTTCTTCCGCCAAGCAGTAACGTCAGCACTACTGTGTTCCGTTTTTGAAGGCTAAGGGTGTTGGTCAATTTACAGGCACGTGGGACTTATCAACATATGTCTCAGAGTGACGTACGCAGTAGCAGTGCCCCTCAGATGTTTGCGATTTAAAGCTCTAAGTGCCACTGATACTGTTATGGACAGGCGTGTACCTTACCATCAGGTGCACGACTTGTTCGTCCCGTCACTTGATATTATAAAAAATAATAATATCGTGGTAATAAAACATCATAATACTCATTACAATCAATTTTACAAATAATAATATATTTGTTATATGTTTTAAACTCTACTCTGAATAATCAAATTAAATTTCAGGTACGCGAAGCAAAAGGTCCTGTGGAATTCGAAGGAGAACCTATAGGATATGAAGGTTCCCTGCCAGGATCCGAGCTGCCCGATGACGATCCCCGGACAGAGACCTGCGCTCGGCACCGACCATTGCGTCGAGAGACGTTTAAGAAACGCAAGTTGTTGCAGATGCACAACTTGCACATAGCCACTAATAAAGCAGCTAAACCTTCTGACGTGAGGTAAGTGTACTACTAACACTTTTTATGTTTACTAAAGAGTTTAAAATCGTATGTTCTCAGATAGTTTTGCAGACAGATTTTGCATTACCAGCTGTAAGATTATTGTAATTTATTTAGTTATAACAAAAGTCATTCATCCCCTACTTTGCTACCCTTCGAGGTGAAATATTTTCTTCAAATTTCAATGGGACCAATACTGAGGTACCTTTCCAAAGAAAAAGAATCCTCAAACTCGGTTCACAAATTAATTAGTAGTTATCGCGCAACGTACATACATTCGAATTGAGAACCTCCTTTTTTTTAAATCGGCTAAAAACTATTTCTATCTATAACTAATCCAGTAAAAATAAAATAATATTAGATAACATCACATAGTTTCTCCAATCCCTTAGTAAGTAACTAAAGAACTTTTGTTATGGAAATCGGAAACAAAGACAGTCCCACAAACACCCAGACCCGAGACAATGTAGTAAAGTTAGTTTTTCTACATTTACTTGGCCGGTGATCGTACCGGGGACCCTAGAACTGGCGACACCATGAAAAGCGGTGTGCAACTCTCCATTCGTTCATGGAGGTCGTTAAAAAGCATTAATATTTTATACATAAAGCCGGTTACTTATTATGTAACGTGACAGATACAATAACGAGGTTTTAGTGTATACGCGTAAAACAGTCTAAACTCGCTAGAATGAGTACCTGGTTATCGACGGCTTACTGCGAACCGCTAGCGGCAAGCTTGCGAACCACGTACACTATGATTTTTGGTAACATAATACGGTTACAGCTCGCTTGTAAGTAAGCAGCTTAAAATTGGCGATTGATCGAAAATTTTATCTTAACGTACTATTTGCAACCAGCTTGATACGTTATGCCGACTGATCATTGCTCGTTTTGAACTCATAGGTATTCGTCAAAAAACTACAATCGTGTAGAGCAGCCAGAGAGAGCGGCGAGCGGTATTCGTTGACTGCATAAATGCTCAAATCTTAACGTATTAGATTATGCTGAAATGTACTGGTCGGTCGTCACTTTTAAAAGTGTGACCACAAAAATCGTGGTTTTAGGCGATATAATTCAACGCGAGCCTGGATTTTAGGAGGTGAGGTGTGAAGGGGGTTGCTCCTCGCGTCTCGCATTCTGCGCGCTGTAAATTAGTATAAATAAAACAAGAAAAGGCGGAGAAAATTTGACTTAGTACCGACGTTGATAAGCGTCCGATGGCGACTGACGGGGCAGCGGGCGGTGCAGCGTGTCGTTAAACGGCTGGGAGTTTTAAATTTTTTTTGATAAATATGAATTTAATAACTATAAAGTTGAAAACTAAAATTTAGCTGATTGTCTGTAGTACTTGAAGAGAAATATACCATATAAAAATTATGTACAAAGTTAGATATTTTATTCTTAAATAATTTGTTTCAGATTTAGGAATTAAACTATTTTTCGGGATTGAAATCGCGTATATTTGATTTTTCGCACACACTTTTTTGGTTTGTTTGAAAAAACAAATACACCCATAATACACCTAATAGTTTCATTTCCTATGTGTAACAGTCGAGAAAACCTAACAACTCGATTAGTTTTAGACTATTAGGTCAATGCTGTTATAATTATATTTGTTTTAGGGTCTTATATGTGCAGATAAAGTACATTCTATCGCGTAACAAATGATCACATTCTTTGGACAATATCCTTAGGTGTATTAAATACCTAGCGTCGTGGTGAATGCTCACTGATCCCACGGCGCCGACTCAACCGGCGAGAGGGAAACCCGGGGGGGTTTTAGTGGGGTAGGCCCTCCAGTCTGGAGGGAGAGTCCCCACATAACCCCTGAGTCTCCCTGGGCTCAGGGGTATCCATAAAGATTTCCCCCCCGTCAAAAAAAAAAAAAAAAAGGTGTATTAAATACCTAAACCGTTTCATCTAGCAAAACAGCTTTTCTCGCTTCTCCTCGGGTGACCGCCTTAAGAATAAAAATTGAAAAGTATTGGTTACTTTGGTTGCTATACTTGATGATATGAGTTGAATGGTGGGTGTTGCAGATGCAGCTGCCAGTTCGGCGTGGAGAGCTGCGCCGTGTGCACGGGCCGCGCGGAGCCGACGGAGCCCGCGGCGCCGCTGTGCGCGCTGGCCGCCAAGCAGCGCGTCGCCAGGGTCGACGCCGCCTTCCACCCCGTGCTCAGCGACCACAAGGGTGAGTACACATACACACAATTTCTGATTGATCAAAAACCGTTACACAAGTAAATAAAATTGTGCGATCGGCGCCGAGTTGTCTAGACACCTAGGCGCCAGCACGTCGCGCCGCGCAACGACAAACCTGCGCTAACGCATCGCGCGTTAGTGTAATACTTGGTTATCATATACATGAACTCCCGCGCTGACTCCGTCCACTGCCTCCGTCCACTGCCCCACACCGTTCTTGTTGTTATAGCAACGGCGTCTGCTAATCATCGGGTGTCAATACCGTTCAATTTTTCGGAAAACTTTGAGACGTCATAACTTATTTATTTCTTAGTGTTTGAAAAAAAAAACCGAATACGTATTTTTTATAGTACTAAACGTCATTTCAAATCCGCAGAAAACAATCTTTTATTGCAGTGTCTTAACCTTTTTCTAATCAAGTTTCTGCCCGTCTCAAAATGTCAAAGAGCTCACAGACCCTTACCGAAAAGATAAAAAAAACTAAGTTTAGTTTTTACTGTAGTCTGTGTTTTTGAAGACGGTGTAAAATGACAATTCCTTGCGCAAAAGTGTTGCCCGCTTGCGAGCAGCTAGTGATTGCAGTCGATAAATATTCTATCGATTGAATATCGGTCACGTTTATGGAATAATTAGCCGAACTTGTTTAATTTGAATCACCCACGACCCATTCATTATTCATCCGATATTGAACACAAATTCATTTGAATTGTCAAGTTTTGTAAGTTTATACATACATAAGTCTTGTATTTTTCTAAATTTTCCTCTTCGTATTTTTCATAAACATAGTTCTCATGTTTATGAATAATACGAAGAGGAGACATATTTTAATGCTTTTCATTTTAATTAAATATATAGATAATCAAATCAAATCTGGCTGTTATTGTTAAAATGTATATGAATAAAAATAGATCTCGTTATTAGTAGGACAACATCGAGGATTGTAGAGAACTGTGTGACTATACTGAATGTTCTCGGGGAAAAGAATAAAGTGGTCCTGCACTAGGTTCCAGGCCATTCTAACATCGAGGGAAATGAGGCAGCAGACAAACTGGCAAAGACTGGTGCTAGGGAAACCTTTATTGGACCCGAACCCTTTATAGGGATAGCATACAGCCTGGCAAAGCTTAGTCTGCTGAACGAGAGCAAACACGTCTCCCGAGAGAGTGTAGATTCTGCCACGAGGCGGATGAAACTGCTCATCTTCTCACCCAATGTTAACCCCTGATGGGCGTACGAAGCTCCATACTGGGAAGGCACATGCCACAACCAGAGGACATTAAATCTGTCGGAGCCAGGAAAGTCCTTCAGTTCTTCAATGCTGTCGGCCTTGGCTCCGAACTGTAATTAGTGGTGATCACAATAGATCAACTGATGGTCGCAGTGATGAGGCGCTACATATGCCCCGAATGAAGCCACCCTAATAATAATATACTTCATTTCAATCCATTTTGAACAAAAAGTAAAACAAACAGGTCACTGACCCGACCATAGACGGTTTTGTGATGGCCAATTGTAACGCCAACTACACATCGATTAAATAATTGAATGAATCGATTTGTTCAATTCAGTCATACTAGCGGTTTTCCTTACATAAGCAATATAAGCATATTTAAAATTTCAATTCAAATCCTCCGTCAAATCAGATACTCGTTCGATTGCGATCGAAATGTTCGATGTAATAATCGATTACTAAACGTTAATTGATTGTACCGACTGTATTTTTCGAATAGAAGTATAGATTAATAATAACCTCACTTTTTGATCACCATTTTTCAAATACGATTTTACGATGCTATGCAAATGAATATTGTTGGAAAAAGTGATGATATATCAAGCCGAAATATTCGTGAAAGTGTTAGTTATTCGATTTGTTGAGTGATTGCTTTAGAATTTCAACCAATCAAGTTTGTTTACTTTTTGTTCAAAATTGATTGGAACAGACTATAATAATAGTAGGTCAATTGTCGAAATAAGAATCAAAAAAGCAATAACGCAATTATTATCATTAGAAGGTCATAACTTTCGTAATTTAGTCATTTTTGCAAAATTTTACTTTCACAATCGATCGACAACAACTACATATCTATTAAAAATTTTTATGAAAACTGGCAACCATACGAATGTCATTTTACTCTGTCTTAAAAAAAGACAGACTATATTATATTGTTTGCGATTAAACTTTACTTGTAGTTTGTTCCAATCCATTGTAAACAAAAAGTGAACATACCTGTTTGGTTAAAATTCTGAAGCAATCACTCAATAAATCGAATAAGGATGAATGATGATATCTGATCACTTTTTCCAACAATATTCATTTGAATAGCATCATAAAATCGTATTTGAAGAATGGTAGTCCAAAAGAGAGGTTATTTTCCATCTGTACTTTTATGATTTGTCTATGGTTCATTCAATTAAAGTTTTTGTAATTGACTAGTAAATCGAAAATTTCAATCGCAATCATACAAGTATCTAAGTGTAAGGATTTAAGGGAGGATTTAAAATTACGATTTCGGAAATTTTAAATATATGCTTTTATAGGTTATGTATTTTCATGTAAGGAAAACTGTAAAACTGTTAGTATGACTCAATTGAACAAATCGATTCATTCAATTAATTATTATTAATCGATTTATAGTTGGCATTACAATAATTGGCCATCACTGAACCGTCAATGGTCGGGTCAGTGACTTGTTTGTTTAAAATGGATTGAAATTAAATATGAATAGTTAGTGTGACGGTTGCCGTTTCATTATGTTCGGTAAGCTTAACACGGACTCCCGGCGTTCATTACACGGACCCCTTAAGGGTCCATGGACTACAGGTTAAGAAACCCTGTTCTATGATAACGAAAATTTTGTATTCTAGACCTTCGAGAATAATAATGTAAGGTGGCTAGAATTATGTCTTGGAGTGAATATTTATTTACAAATATTTATGTTTGTTTCTTTGTCCCATATACGTGCCATAATTCATCCAATTGCGATAAAAGTATTAGACCCCACTGCTAGGCTCATGTCTTCTCTAAGGAAAATGTTAAGGTCATAATACACGTTTTCCAAGGGTTGTAAACCTTCTTAGACATGCAGGTTTCGTCACGATGTTTTCCTTCGTCAAAAAGCTCTTGGTAAATTTCAAATGAAAATTCGCACATAAATCTGTAAAATTCTAGTGCAACTCTGTTTTCGAACCTATAGCCCTCTGTTCTAGGGTAGTAGGTCAAACCATTAGTAAATACTGTATTTCAGCAGTGGTTATTTTTGCCAAAGCATGCACGTATTTTTCTTAAACTTACGCCTGAGTGGAGATCCGTGCCCATCAGTAGGACGTACAAAATCTGTCTATATCTGCCTCAACAACACTTTTAGACCACGCAATTGACACGCAATTGCTTCTGCCACAATCTCAACTACAGATACACAGCTCAAGTCCCCACTCGATGTTGGTGAGGATATTCGACGAGCTCCCGCCCATTATTATGAACGAAGAAAGATATTCACTCTTTGTTAATAAATTAAAAATGTATCTAATTAATAAATGCTACTACAATTTAAGTGAATACTTAATTGTATTATAACGTCATGCCATTGAAATTTAATTAAATTCAAACTTTCACGACATACATCTTATTATATATTATTTATTTTATAGTGAACAATTTTAGTTACTAATAAAATTTAAACCTCGGTCTACCTCTGCTCTTATTGTTATCCCTAATACATGTGTAACTTTATTTTAATTTTAAGACATGTACAGGGTCAAGAGTACGTCAAGCTTGACACTTAAGACTTAAATCCCAACTCTATGCCGCTTACGATAAGAACGGTACATAGTGTCAAACTTGATGTGCTCTTGACTGTACCGTATTAATGCAATAAATATATTGAGTATTAAAATGGGCTGCTGATGACGAAATCGTTGACACAGTGATAGAGAGAATAAGTGTTGTGGACGCACTTGCAGACATCTCCCCGTTGGTGCACATCGCGGCACTGTCGTCCCGCGGCTGGTTCCGCTCGCGGTGCTCGAAGGCGTGGCGCGGAGCCGCGGCCTCGCGGCAGACGCCCGCGTCCCCCGCCGCCCTCTCTTCGCCCACGCCGGCGCGCGCGCCCGCCCCCGCCCCCGCCACCGCCACCATCACCAGCGGACACACGCCCAAGCCGCATCGACGCCATCCCACGCGTAAGCCATTCATTTTTTTATGGTACTAAGCGACGACGGGACGAACAAGTCGACCCTGGTGATCCATAACAGCAGCAGTGCTGCTCAGAGCTTTACATCACTATTTTCATATCGTACTATTTGTATTGGTGTATATCATTTTTGCATAATGTATACATATATAAAATAACGACAATTGCATATTTTGCTATGCTATTGGAATGTTTGCTGGTACTTGTAGCTCAGGTTTTCCGTTTTTAAGTACCAGCAGTTGTATGTTCTTTGATACTTTGTTACTGTACACTACAATGTCGTATTTTATTATGGCAAATGAATTATAATTATTATTATCTGAGGGGGCACTGCCACCGCGCCCGTCATCCTGAGACATAAGTTGTAAAGTCCCATGTGTCTATAATTTAATCACCATACTTACCCTTCCAAACCGGAAAGCAGTAATACTCATATTACTGCTTGACAGAAGAAATAGGTCAGGTGGCAGTAGTTCCCTGGACGAACTCTTTCACAAGCTGTGTACTGCTACTAAAGTTAATTCGATAAATGGGTCGCGTTCTGCTTAGACCAGGGGGTTTCCAAAGTTTTTTTTTCATAAGATAATATTATGATAGTGATCAATGAGGTTATGACAATGATGGCGAAAGCATTATGTGATTCGCCAATGGCGAAATATGCTCCTAACATTTTATTAGTTGACGCAAAACTGATAGAATAAAAATACAATCCTGCGTACTGCTCGAAACGTTGCAAATTTATTTCTTTACGAAGATCTGTTAAAAGTACACAAAATATGGCCGTCATGCTTTGGGGCTGGAGAAATTGTGTTAATTTGTGTGCGCGACGAATTAAATCTCGCTCATGCTCACGCGCGTATAGATAGCTCCTAGTGACGTCATTATTAGACTTGTCCTCGCACCTGATGTAAAGCGCGGAAGTCTACGGCTGGCTGTTACGAATGGCTGCGCTACAGACACTTTCAATGCATAAAAATGAATTGTTATCATTTCAGGATTGAAAAGAGGCAGACCACCCTTATCACGCAAGATACGAGAACGAGAGAGAGAGCGGGACGACGATTCGTCAACGACACACGAAAGGTAAATTTTTTTTAAAACTCAAATAGCTTTGGTTGATTCCATATAATAGTGAAAATGTTGAATCAAAAAGGTATGGAGAAAAATTGTAATAGTAAAATTGAGGATAAACACCGATTACTATACGGTGTGAAAACATGATTTCTAAAAATTGGCATGATGGAAAAAGAACACAAATTTACCTCGAAATTTTACAAGAAAATCCTCTTCAATAGGTACTTTACTTTTTCAATTATTTTTTTTTGTATCAACTGAACTAAATAGGACACGTAAAGTATACGATATACATTTTTCAAATGGTTTTAATTTCGTTTATCGTCGGTGCTGCTCGACCCAATTAACATTAACCGTATTAGTACAGAAAGAATTTGGATTTGAGCTGAGGTAAGTCAGTAATTTAAAATATGCAGTGGTCATTATTTGGGTCAATTTTAATGATAATAATTGTAAATATAAATAAATAGACAACATCACATACGTAGACCCGATTCCAAAGTAAGTAACTATAGCACTTGTGTTATGGAAACCGAAAACAACGAAGGTACCACAAACAAGACGATATAGTAAAGTTTCTGCATTGACCCGGCCGGAAATCGAACTTGGGACCTTAGAGATGGCGACATCATGAAAGCCAATGTGCAAGTCACTCTATCACGGAGGTGGTAAAAAAAATGTGTAAAAGATCATCGCGTAAAATGTAACTAAAGTCAAAATAATAATAATACTATGTCTTTACTCCTCTGTTGTTACCACCTCAGTTAATAAGTAAAAATTTGCACAATGTTAATTACGACAGGTTTTCAGAGAAAGAATTCGTCGATATGGCATTTAAATAATGTTTATTGTTTGCGGTGTGACAGACGCGGTCCGGGCCGACCAAGTACGGAGTCCCGGCTTACGCGGCGGCAGTCGTACGACATCGATAACATCGTAATTCCGCAGTCAGTTGCAGCCAACACACGTCCGCAGATACTCACCTACAAGGAGATCGTCACGCCCAAGTACGTACTATCAAAATACAGTATTGGAGCTGCGAGCTGTTGTGCGCTTGCAAGCAGCTATAGTCCATCTGTTTAGGTACTTAAATAAATGTAAACAATCTTGAGATGTCTATTTAATGAAATATACATTTATAAAATATATTTTCCCTTACCTTCAAATACAAAATACAAATACTTAGCTTCATATGAAATTGCATGCCTATTTTTATACCTATTGATTTGTAAAGCATGTGTTTCAATAAAAAGATGTATCAAGATTGTTTACATTTAGTTAAGTACCTAAACAAATGGACTATAGTGAATTGCGCTATATTAATTTTTTTTATAATATCAATTGACGGAACGAACAAGTCGCGCGCCTGATGGTAAGCTTTAAATCGCAAAGTTCTGAAGGGCACTGCCACTGCGCCCGTCACCCTGAGACACAACTTGATAAGTCCCATATGCAATGTGTGGTGGCAGAAACAATTAAGGTGGTACTACCTGGAACGAACTCTTTCACAAGGACCTCTATTAGTGCTAAAATATTCATTCATTCATTTATTCAGTAGACTATCGACTGAATGTTACTTATGCTTATGCAATAGCCGAACTTGCGAATTTTAATCATATTCTGCACATTATTCGTCAGATTACGGGGTATAGATTCATTTTAATGTAAATTTTTCCAAGTTCATACATACACTACAAAACTATGTCTATTAAAAATACAAAGAGACATGTTTTAAATGAAATATTTTATTAAATGTTAACATGTTTCACCCTCGTGATATTCAATTATTTCTTGTGAAATTACTTCACTAGTTTTGTTATAATTATTAATACAAAGATCGAACACTTAAAATACCTTCGACCCGGCCGGATTCGAACTGACGTCTTCTAGCCGTGTCGGACACTATGCCAACTAAGCCACGGAACGAACCAGCGGACCTCACGAATTTCAAGTGCTTGTTTGTCGGATCTTTGTACTTGGTTTTCAACGATAGCCATTTATGAGAAATCTATGAAAGTATTTCATCATACTTTTCATAGAAGACGTCGGTTCAAATCTGGCCGAATTGAAGGAATTTTTTCTAAGTGCTAATTAAATTTACCTACTCTTAGTTAAATGTATGAATAATGATTTCTATATTAGTAGGTTTCATAATCTATTGTGTAAACCGTCAACAACAAATGCAACTGACAATTATAATATTTATGAAAACTGGTAAACCTGTAAATGTCATTTTACTCCCTCTTCAAAAAAGACCTGTAAATTGGGTAACCTGTAAGGTGAGAGCCTGTTTTCTTCTGTGTTTTATATAACAACCCTACACTAAAACAGGGTACAGTTATAACAATAATAACGCACACACCCAACCTAGCCCCGCACTAGGGAAACCCTGGGTCGTGGGTGCCATGGACAACCACAAATTACACCCAAAGTCACGAGAGAATTAAATGTAGGCCATACAAATATTTCTTCGGTCCGGGAATCGAACCTGGGACCTCTGCGTGGCAATCCGGCTTGGTAACCGTTCGGCCACAGAGGCAGTCAAAAATAGCCTTAAGTACGTAATTTTACTAAAAGAAAGAATATATTACAGGAAACATATAAAGGTGTTGTATTGAAATTGTTGATGGTTTTTGCAGATGGCGAGTAATGGATTTACCAGATTCGCCGCTCAACAATGGCGTCACGCATCGGATATCTACTGACAGTGAGGTAACAATGTAACATATTTATGCACGGGCGTAACAATCTGACCGTAGTTACCGCGATCTGTATGACAACCAAGCATGCCACACTTTTTGTACCTCCAATGCCGTCACAAGCGCTACTTGTGGTGGGAAACCTCCTGCGGCAATAAAGCGATTGATTAATATTTAATTTGTAGTCGCTGACCTCGCAGATTCTTCTAGCTCGTATTGGTACTTACAGCATATTGTATAGTTTCTATTTTGGAAACTTATTTATGTATGTGAATATCATGTTTTGTGTATATCAGCTGTTTGACCTGTGCAATCATGACCTGGATATTTATATATTCACTTGTAATGTTCATGCGCTAAAGCGTAACATCACGGACATTCTATTCAATTTTATTGAATAATTTGCCATTAGCACAGGTATTGAGTTGTTACATTTATATAAATGCATGTTGTTAAGAAATACTGTTCATTGTTCGTTCGTTTAATGCTCGCGTTTGTTTCTTTTCCTGTTTTTATTGAATGTAAGAAGCTGTCGGTTTTCCAAGAACAAATAAATAACAACAACAACAACGCACACACTCAACATAGCCCCGCACTAGGGAAACCCTGTGTCGCGGGTGCCATGGACACACACATAGACAACCACAGATTACACCCAAACTCAGGAGAGAAATAAATGTAGGTCATACAAATATTTCTCCCGGCCCGGGAATCGAACCTGGGACCTCTGCGTGGCAGTCCGGCATGGTAACCGTTCGGCCACGGAGGCAGTTAAATAAATTTGTCCAATGACTGGTTGTCCTTGAAATAGTGACATGTGACGATGTTTTTGTCCGTCCAGGAGGAGGACGTGTCCGACGCGGCGGTGGCGGCGCGGCACTCGCGCGCCGAAAGCCATGAGCGTAGCCGCTTCGTGCGCGCCAAGCGGCCGCGCCGCAACCACCACGAACTGCAGCCACAACCGCCGCAGCTGCAGCTGCCGCAACCGCCGCAATTGCCGTACCCGCAACAGCCGCTCGGCCCGCCGCCTCCGCCGCCGATTATTCCACACCAAGAGGTACGTTGCTACCATAACTCTATCTAGAATGCAGTAGTCCTGATCGTGTTCTTCTTTACAAATACACATCGAGTGTATAACCAGAAATAGAAACGAAATAAAGGCCATCCACCCCTGGTAACTCATCAGTGATAGATACATCGCTTATAAATATGAACTCTCGTTTGTACTGAAATATAGACAGGCCAACTACTGACCCGTATGTACGTCTCCGTGTATTCCAAAAATATCCTATATTTGTTATAATAAAGATAATATCCCTAACTATGCGGGGCTGTTCCATTCGATGGTGTGAGGAAAAACAGCTACACAAACGGAATCAAATTTCATCAGTAATGAAATCTGTAATTTTGCAATTTTCGTCCATTATAGGAAAGCTCAAGTGAAACTGGTCAATTTGAAGTGAAACTGGTCGATTTGAAGTGAAACAATTGACGACACGAGCGCAGTTGCCACAGTAAAGATATGGCAGAATAGTTTTCAAACCAATTAAATGACATTTCGTCTCTATTTCTGGTTATATACGCGATGCAATTTCAAATCTTTATTATTGGATTTCGTGCTGCGGTCATAACACCTAGTTAATAACAAAATGACAGACCCCATATCTTTCTACGCTAGTTTTGATTATAGTGACCCTCCCTACCGGCCCTTAGGGTATACGAGGAGCCTGACAAGTTCAGGTTCTGACTGCAGATCAGCCAGTGTACAGGTTTGTCACAGACTTCTGTCACTTGACTTCATGGTATAAAGAACAGAGGTGCCTTGGGTCTCTGCGGGACATTATTAATGAACTTATCTGGGCGCGTGCGCCGGATCCCGCTAACACCTCCGAGTAACGTTAACACCTTTCCTGCTTGCAGACTGTGAGACCGTACACCCCGCGGCAGTTTCCGCTAAGGGAAGATACATACCTCTCGATGCTTCAGGCGATGCCGGACGGGCACCGGCTGGGCAGCCCCGACCCGCCCGACGAGGACGACCGCTCCAGCACGCTGTCCCCGCTGTCGCCGACGCCCTTCGACGGCGACGACCCTGATGACGCCGAGTGGGATCCCAGTGCTGAGAAGGCCGAGCGCCGCAAGAGCGCCTTCAGATAAACCTTCAACTGAACTTGCATTGTAAGTTATGTATTCACTATCGAGTTTCGATACGCGGAACTGCAACGTCTTGGACGTACACGACTAAATTTCAAAAGATCTCCGAGTTCTCGACGGTCTTGCTGGTTATGTACTACGTGTCAGTTACACCAAGGACCAATAACTCTAGAGGACTGCTAATTGCGATACAAGATAGCATAGTCGGGTATTTAGTGCCTATAGGTACACCAGGTTTACCTGTCAGTATTCGAAATGCCATTTTCCAGAAATAACGTTTGCTTGAATTTTCTTAACCTCGAAAGTAATTTTGAGAGGAAAATGTTTGTTCTTTTAAACCTAACTTAACCTATCCTAACCGAACCTAATCGTGTCGTTGCGATAAACATTCAATTTCAATTATAATTCAGTTTTCGGTGTAATGAAAAACAGAACAAACGTTATTACGGAAAAAAAATTTAAGTTTCTGATAGATTACCGTACTCCAGATGTCGCGACGATTATATTAAAGAGGATTTATAGTCTATCTTTTTTGAAGACGGAGTAAAATGACAGTGCGTTATGCAAGTGGTTGCCCGCTTGCGAGCAGCTAGTGATTGCAGTCGATAAATATTCTATCGACTATCGAGTGAACATTGGTTACGCTTATGAAATAAATACGCGACATTGTTTCATTTGATTCATCATCATCGGCCAACTGCTGGGCACAGGTTCATTTGAATTGTTGATTTTTGAAAATTCATTCATACATACACTAAATTTAGAAGTATGTGTATTAAAAATATAAAGAGGAGACATTTTCAAGTTTTTCATTTTAATTTAACTCAATTTTAATTTTTATACCAAATCCGCCTGTCTTAAAATGTCTAAGACTAAAAATTGATTTTGACACTAATGAACAACTGTCAAAATAAGAATAAAGAATACAATAACACAATTAATAATCATTAGAACGTCTTAACATTCACAATTTAGTAATTTTTGGCAAAGTGTTATCTACTTTCTATCTATCGATAAAATCGTCGACAACTACTACATGACTATTTAAAATTTTACTAAAACTGGCAATCTTGTAAATGTCGTATACCCATCATTAAAAAAGACAAACTATAATTTATATCCACGTGCATTTACATAATATAAACTACTTCCAGGAATTATGACATTTTTCAGATATACGATTTATTGGTCCATGGTTACACAAATACAAACTGCCTAGGGTTCTCACTAACTCTTGCCCATTGACCATTGTTATATAAAAGTATAACATCAAAATCTATACTAAACTATTTCTAACTACAAAATATCGCTTAAGGCTTTCGGTCCCCCTAGCTTGATTTTAGGCTGTCATTAAACTGTGGCAGTTAATTTATGTATGGAATGAATTTCTTAATGTTGTAAAAACTGCGATTATATAGTCACTATAAATAAAAGCATCTCAATTCAACGTGATGTGATCATTCATATTGGCTGAGACTGAACTCAATTTCGTTGTATCTGTGTAAATATTATTATATTTAGTTACATTAACTGAAATATCAACTAAGTTAGCGCTTTTCATTTTTAGTTATGTTTTAAACCATTTTTTATATTGTATAATATGCTTAATAACAAATGCAAGTAACAAAAATTATTTGCGGATTTCTTATAAAACAATGAAAAACTCAAGAATACTGTCAGCGTACTATTAATCAATACATTTTATGTTTCGATTACACATTTTTGACACAAATTTAAAGTACTAATAAGTAAGTGTAAGGTAAAATCTACATATATAATGGTTTGTTGCAATTGTAAATACGACAGACATATTTTAAAGCATTTATGAGAATTTCAATAATCCTATATTCACAAGACGCACGGATAACAACAGCTAACTTGTAGGCCTTTTAAATTGTCTTTCCGGTTCAGTGTTGCCATTTTAAACTACTCAATTATCTATCAAAGTTTTTTAACTACAAATACTTTGCCAAACTTTTGACTAATTATTTGCCAAACTTTTGACTTGACTGGTTTTGGAGCCGGAAAGACGGCGCTACTACATAGTTAGGTAGGTGTGAAAGTGTATAAGTAGGTTTTATTGTAACTTTAGACAATACTGGTTTGTAATGTCATTACTTTATTTAGTTAATGTACAAGCAACAAAAGCTAGTTTTATACTAATAAGATTTATAATTTTATTATCAACAGTAAGTAAGTGTTGAGCGCTGTTTGCCCGTGTATAGTTGTAGTTTATTTTGTAAAGCTATTGTTTAATTAATGTCCAAACTCCTGAAAGCTTTATTGTTTGTAAGATCCGATTACAATAAGATGTAAGATAAGTTTCGCTTCACAATAATGTTTATTGTTAAGGAACTGAGCACCCGCTATTGTACAACTCGCATACATTTTTACACTCTTTTTTACATTCCTTTGAATCATTTAGAAAGCATAACACCATAACATCTAATTTAGAAAGAGAGCAATAATCATGTGTGATGATGAGCGGATTACTATAAACAATTTCCTGGGAATTGTAATGTACAAACATGTTTTGAATTTGCATACTACTTTTGAAGTCCTTAGGTAAAGCAGTAGAACTTGTTATAATTTACAGAAATCGTGAGTTTTGTCTATTGTTGCAAAAATATTAATGCCTCATTACCTAACCTTGTACTGCGAAACAGCTCCGTGGCATTGCAGCTATTTCTACTAATTATTTGTTGGAGTTTGATTAATTAATTTAATTAAGTAATTCATAAAAAAATAATTTAACTGCCTCAGTGACCGAGCGGTTACCATACCGGACTGCCACGCAGAGGTCCCCGGGTTCGATCGGGCCGGGAGAAATATTTGTACGGCCTACATTTATTTCTCTCGTGAGTTTGGGTGTAATTTGTGGTTGTCTACGTGTGTGTCCATGGCACCCGCGACACAGGGTTTCTCTAGTGCGGGGCTATGTTGAGTGTGTGCGTTATTATTATTGATGATGAGTGGAAACATCCAGAAAAGACCAATCTAATTGTCTGTGAAAGTTTAATAGAAACAGCCGGAAAGATAATCTAATTATCTATCAAATTTTAAAAGATGATCTAATTATTTGTGAAAATTTAACAGATAATTAATTAATAAACACAGCTGGAACGACAATCTAAACTAATAATCTGTCAAAGTTTAAACAGACAATTAGGAGAAACAACCAGAAAGATAATCAAATTATATATGAAAGAAATCTGATTTTAAAGGCAAACACTGAGCCGGAAAAACAATACCAATTGCAACAGGCTGTTTTTCGGTTTATGCGGTTAGCCTGCAGGAAGTTTCTACAAGTCGAAATTACTTCGTTAGAAACTAAAAAATATACGACTTTGTCACAAAGTTGCTCATGTTTGTACATTCTATACACATATTGACTCTTTCAGCACGAATGGGCGTAACTTAAGAATTGTATCGGAAAAATGTTACATAGATCGATTCTGAATTTAATTTTAGTATACTGTGGCGTAAATAATTCGTTATCGTGAAAATTGTAACCTACGCCTATTAGTGTTTTAACCGGCGATAATTTAGTGTTGGGGTAGAATCTGACATTGTCTTTTGTGTAACTTAAAATTTAATTTGATTTAAGCATGTCGATGTTTTATTTTGCTGTGGCAATATCATCGTGTGTCTTATTCCAGCGTGACTATGGTCGAGTTTTTGAAATTTAGCCAGAAAGAAAGTCGCTATTCGGTTAATCGGTAGTCGGTTTTAGTCGCAAAAAATTTCGCGACGAGAACCGACTAATTCAGGATTTTTTTTGGGTGCAATCAGATCTAAGCTAGGAGCTGTGGTTCTCGAAATTTAAAAATGCTGCCGCCGGAATAAGCTTTTTTCAACGTGGACAGTAAAACACCTTAATAACTTCAAAACGGCGTAACGACTAAATGTAGTTTTTTACGACTAAATCACGACTTTTTTTTATTGTAATCAGATCTAAACTAGGTGTTGTGGTTCTCGAGATTGAGAAATGGTGGACAGTAAAACACCCTTATAACTTTTGAACGGTGGACCGACTAAATCTAGTTTTTTGCCACTAGAACAGACTAAATAGTGGCTTTTTTTCTGGCTAGTCAAATTTTAAAAACTGCCCATGGTCACGCTGGAATAAGGCACACAATGTCATCGACAAGTAGGTGTAAGATTGCCCTAAGCCGCGTAGCGACGTGTACATATAGGAGTAACAATGGGGCACCGAATAGTAACTAATAGACTGGCTACAAATAAATAAAAGGAATCTCTATAAGAGTGTTTCAGGTTACGTGCCTCGTTCCAACGTCTTTCTACAGTAAACTCCCCTTTTGTTTCTGCATGAAAATCTTTTAAAGCGCTTTAGTGTATGTATGACCAGTGTTATAACTGTAAAATTTTAATCTTCGTAATTTGTCTTATAAATCTTAGATTCCTTAGCATGTAATAATGAAATGTGATACCTGAAGATTGCATGTCGCGTGAACGGGTGTTGAATGAACGTGTGTACAGCTCACCATAGCCAGCTAAGGATATTTTGTTTCAATTTCAATTCAATGTTTCAGTTTTGAAATATCAAGTTTGGAACACATTAAAATTGTAAGTTGAAAATTTTCGTTTTTTAATTTAGGCTTTTACATTTGCTTGTGTCATAAATACTGTAATATGTAATGAAGAATGAAGTTGTATTTGAACGTTTCTATATAATATAGTGTGAGAAGCCAAAGTCTTCTTGTTGTTTGTAGCATAAGATTAGGTTTAAGTTTTCTAAGTGACAACTTGAGTCAGGTAAAATGCGCTTGAGAAATACATGTCCTGTAAAGTATAAAAAGAATAAAAAGTTTAAATTGAAGAGTTATTTTTTGTTTGATTTCTTAACCTAAAATTCTCCTCGCCTGGCATTTGAGCCAAATCGTAAATTCAGTCTTTAGATTTCAAAGATAAGCAAATTATACCTGGAATCGTGAAAATGATGTATATTTATTGGTAGGGTCGATTCCCCTGAAAAGAAAGAATACGAGCCTCTAATGCTGGAGCCTCTGCCGGACTGCCACGCAGAGGTCCCAGGTTCGATTCCCGGGCCGGGAGAAATAGTTGTATGGCCTACAATTATTTCTCTCGTGAGTTTGGGTGTAATTTGTGGTTGTCTATATGTGTGTCCATGGCACCCGCGACACAGGGTTTCCCTAGTGCGGGGCTATGTTGAGTGTGTGCGTTATTTATATAAAAAAAAAAAAAAAATGGAGATGAAAAAATTAAACAATAGTAAAAGCGTTAATATATATAATTCGTATAACATTCATACAGACAATAATAGTAGCGTCTGTGACTAGCACATCTACAATTATAAATATCCTAGAATCCGTTCATGTTGTATTACATCAACTAAATGCTGCAAAAACAAAGTTTCTATCAAATTCAATTGATATTTATGAAAATATACGTGCAACAAAGTAATGCACAGTCGGCATCGTCAGTAGCTCAAGTTTCCCGTCACTTACGGCATAGTTATAATCACGTTATAATGGTTCTCTAAAGTCTAACAAATCCAACTCACGCGCAGGATCATATATTTTAAAAACCACCCCCCACCTGAAAAAGCCGATCATTGTTACTATTTTATTCTTTTTTTCATAATATAGAATTTTTTTGCTGTTATAATAATAATATAATGTTTCACCTACATATATTTATACTAATGTTTATTCAAAGATAGTTTCTCGGCGGATGCCTTTTTTTCCGCCTTCCTAATATTTACAAATTTCATTATTATGTTATTAATTATTATCAATGATCGCTTACCATAAAAAGCCAAGAAAAATTTTTATAACAAAGGAAATGAAACTATTTTACCGGATCTAAATCGCGTATATTATGATTTTTGTACAACAACAAACAACGCACACACTCAACATAGCCCCGCACTAGGGAAACCCTGTGTAGCAGGTGCCATGGATACACACATACATAGACAACCACAAATTACACCTAAACTCACGAGAAAAATAAATGTAGGCCATACAACTATTTCTCCCGGCCCGGGAATCGAACCTGGGACCTATGCGTGGAAGTCCGGCATGGTAACCGTTCGGCCACGGAGGCAGTTAAGGTACCGAAAAATAATTTCATTTCCTATGTATAACAATCGCGAAAACCTAAGAACTCAAAATATATACCAACAAGTCTTTGTTTAGACTGGAAATGTTCAAAAATATATATTAATTTTTACGTGGAGTTCACATGACCACGTCTACATAGATGCCGACTACAGATTCTGATGTTAACTGTACATACCCAAAACTTGAACTAAATTACCAAAATTAGCAGCCTTGGTATAATAAAGCCATATGTGATCATACGATAAGTGCATTTATCACGTGAAAGTATTATTTTAATTACTTATTTTGATTATTACTCATATTGATTATTTTCTTTGTTTACTTGTTTGTGTCTATATTTATTTATTGTATGTAACATGTAGTACTATATACATATATTTGAATTGTGGTATTCCAATTTATGACGGGCCATGGCAAAATAAAAGCATTGCCCTCAGATGCTAAGTCAAGGGCCCTTTTCACAAGCTTTTTTATTTTATCTTTATTTTTTTTTGTTTGAAATTTATGTATTTGGCATGCCAAATAAAGATGATTTTATTTTTATTTATAAAAATATTGCGAACTACACGAAACAAATTATGTATAATATATGTGAAATTTTATAACTCTCGTACTTTAGCATATAAAATTTATCAACTAATTTAGATCATACAATCTTTAAACCTCAAAAGTTGCAATTTCGCAGATGTGGCGTTATTACACCAAGGTCGCCAATTACGTGTCACAAATCTTTAAAATAAAATTGAAAAACCATTTCGACACTTGAACATTAAAATAGGAGTAAAGATATTTATCTTCAAAGTTTCCACACAAATACTGTAACGCTGTTCCTATACTTAATAAATACAATAATGGTTAAGTACAAACATACATACAAAAATCTAAATCTTATCCAATACATGATTGTATGTATATTAAAATTGTATAACGACACAACCTATTTTTACTAAAAATATTATCTGTCAGAAAAAATCACTTTTAAACAATCAACTGGCGTACAAACAACATTACTCGTTTTCTTTACCTGCACAGTATTCATGCACGGCACGCCCGTTATTCTTGTTACTTTTGACCTGGCTATAAAATGCATCTTCAATTTTGTACTTTAATTGAACATAGCTAAACTTGCAACAGAGAACCCACGAGCGAGACAATATTTTTTTTCGTGCTGTGCCACTCGAAGCTATAAATCGTAAAGACCCAACAAGGGGCACAGCCACTGCGCCCATCAGAGAGACGGGTTATATTTTGAAGTAACATTGGGCGTTTAGCCTTTCCCCATTGTAGTTTTCTGGGTCTGGATTGAAGTGCTAACCCAAAAGGAAAGTCGCGCTGAAAAATTATATTACAATGCTAATTACATAACAGTGAGTCATTGGCGGGAGGAATTAACGCACGAACATCAGAGTATCTCTATGGCATGAAGTTAATATTTGACATTAGCAATTTCTAACATACAAAAATTATTACACCAAACGAGATATGCAAATCAAACTTAGCGCTAACGAAAATATTAAAGAAATAAAGTGGTCAGCCATTCTGACGTCAGGTTGGCTTGACCACTTTACGTTTTTCATGGTTCTAGCAGTATATAATTTACTTTTTTTTATATATAACTATTTACTATCTAATTTCTACCTAAACATACTTCACTTTCACTATTTTAGGAAGCTTGTATTATTTAAAAAATGATAATAAAACGCCATTATAAAAGTTATCTTCTAAAAAAGACAGTTTATCTTCTCCATGTCATTGTTAATAATACTTATTCAGGCGCTTAGAACATGCCAAGAATGGTTTCTGGATTATCTTTGCAAGCAATATTTTATAACAATTATTATATTAATTACTAGTTGAATTCACTATTACAAATGTAAACTCCATTTGTAGGTATTAAGGAATGCGAACGAATTACAATCAGTTAACTAATAATTATAATTGTTTAGTTGTCATTTACTATCAAATAAGAAAAAATAGAAGCACCGCTAATATTTTAACCAATCAGGAGGCAGTAGAGCGTTTGACTAGTGACATATTTGACATTTTAATCACCAAAGGACGATGTTCTTTTTTCGGCATATTCTAAGCGCCTGCAATAGTATTATTGGCACGGAGAAGATAAATTGTCTTTTAGAAGACAACTTTTGTAAAGGCGTTTTATTATTTTTTTTAATAATAGAAGCTTCCTAATGTAGGGAAAAAGAAGTATGTTTAGGTAGTAAATAGTTATATAAAAAAAAGTAAATTATATACTGCTAGAACCATGAAAAACGTAAAGTGGTCAGCCAACCTATAGCGCTAAGGTAGAAAATATGTCAATAAAGGTACTAAATAGTAGGAAAATAGGTAATAAATAATGAGCAAAGTTCATTTGTACATCTCGTTTGGTCCAGCCATCCTGACGGACACAAACTATTAGGTTTTTTTTGTGAAAACTTTTAGGCCAAGCGTGTAAGATATTCGTAACAATGAATAATAGTGATTTTTTGACGCTGATTGACTCGGTGTCTTCTAAGGATATTTTCATTGTATCGGAAGAAAAAAATCGGGACAGTAAAAGTTGGCCAAATTTTTTTTTTTTCATACTTTAAAAGCCGAAATACTTATTCGGGCAAAAATCATTTAAATAGTGTTTCAAATTTAATTTAATGAAACTAAAATATCATCGAGTATATAATCAGATACTCGATGTGAAATATGGAACGCTGAACGCTTATAGCGTTTATGTAAAAAGTTTTATGGCACTCAAAAGTTTTTGCACAGACTTCGCTGAGACAGGCTCTTCGATCTAAATTTAAAAACAAAATTTCACATTTGACTCTGATTTGTTATTAAGAGTTTATGGTTAGCCTGTAAAATGGCCACCACGTTAACAAAATAGCACGTCAATAGATTGTTTCATAATATATGTGTAACCAACCCCCTTAAATGTGTTTATGAATTCCGACACAACACAGTGCAGGAGTTAAAAGACGCCATTCATTATCATTTAAACAACATTCACTACACATTTTTGTCTAAAGCCACTACATGTGTTCTGAAACGTTTCTGTAAATAGCAAGATGGAGGTCATATTGAACATTTGTTTCAACAAATTTTAATTAAAAATTAGTTCCAGTAAGTAGAAAAAATTGTTTTTTTATTAAATTTGTCCAATTTCGGCTGTCCCGATAAATTTATCCGAAACAATTAAATGATCCTAACAAGAAACTGAAGCGACCATCTTTAAAAGAAATTAGAAAATATTATTCATTTCATGGACAACTCGCTCACTCACCCAACAAATTGACTGTGCCAAAATAGTTTTCACAAAAAAAAGACTTAATAGTTTCTAAGACAGTTTCCTTGTCCTATGGTTTAGGATTTCCCATGCTGCGCAGTTTAAAAAAAACACAGTGTATATACCTCCTTATATCAATTATTTTCCTATATACTAAATCTATGATTATTTTCGTGAAATGATATACATAACATGGCACTACTTTATTATATACGCGAAACGCGATAATTCTTGTTATATAGAAAATGTATAATACATATTGCTTATTTTCTATTAATAGAGAACTTATAAAATCACATTTTACGAATACTGCAAAACAAAATTCTAAAATTACATGAACGTTATCTTACGTCAGAGCTACACAGCCTTTAATATTATTACGATAAATGCTTTAGGAATGTTTCTTTATAGCTACCGTTATTTTTAACTATTAGTAATATTAGCAGAGATAAGAATAGGCACCCTATATTTATCCAAAATTGAAGGGAGAAAATACACGTAAAGAAGATAATACTCCCTTTGATACTTCTACAGACTTCTATTCTATTCTAGATTTCGATGTGTAAAAAGCAATAAGTTCACTAGTGTATTTAGATGAAAAGTTTTGTAAGAGTATGTAAACATACATATAATTAATTTGTTTTGCGTTTTATGTTTAATTTGGGGACTTCAGAGAGAACTCTTATCCACTCTATGTGATCTCACAGTGACTTGACCTTTTTATACACCCCTATTCTGATCATTCAATTAATTAATATCATTGTTTACAAAAACTTACGTTTTGCATTTCACGTTCAGAGGGCTGTTTTGAAGGTGTAGTACATGTATGTGTTAACTTAAATTTTGATAGCATTTAATACGAAAAACTTTTACTATGAAGTTCTCTGAAATCGAGAAAACAGATAATATTTTTATCCAACCATTCCAATGGATCGAAATTGTGAATATTTAGTAAGAGACAACTGATATTATTTCCATGATTTAAAAGAAGTGATCATGGGTAAAGTTGAGTGCATTAACTACGGGCAACGCCGTCCTTCAAGTACAAGGTATTTTAGTTAACGCCCTGTACCAGTTAAAGTTAAACTTTTGCTAGATGTATTGTTATATTTCCCTACTAAAAATTCCAGGTTCTTTATACAAGTTACATAATCAAATGTAACTGCGCTGTTACACGCTATTTATAAGTTTAAATAAATATGTTGAAAGATTGGCAGTTTTCCGCATTTTATTTATCATACATAATCTATGCACAAAAACCTTTAAGTAATAGGGCCTATTCCTTTCATACGTATGTAAGGGGGCTATAAATAAATTTTTTGTAGCTATTTATCACCAACTATGAGTATCGCAAGTTAAAACGAGTTATAAGGTTGAGAATATCCATGGTTTGGTGGTAAATGAGTTAAATACACAGAACAAAATTATTTTTTTTTTTCACCTAATATAAACACTTATTAATAATAATAAACTCGGTGTTATCGTTGGGTTTCTACAAACAATTGGCAAATTTAAATTATTTTTTTAACTTAGAAGCCATTCTAAATTATGGTCAGATAAATGGCTTTATCACCAAACCCTTGGTATCATCCCGTACAAATAGGGTGTGATATTATTAGTAGTATACATAGTGATGTCGAAAGGGTGATAATGTCATTTTAGGTATCTAAACGTCGAAAATGAAAGTACTTTTTCGAATCTAAACCGCGTATATGTTTCTTCAAACAAACCAAGTTTCGGCCCGTTTCTAGGTCACAGCTGACGGAAATAATGAATTCATCAATCAGTTATGTCTAATGTTAATTTAGCACCCTATTTTGCTACAAAAGTAACTGCTAATAGTTACAAAAGGTAATAATTTAAATGAATTATTTTCAATTTACTAAAATTATTCCAATTTACGCTATATGACGTTTTGCAAAATGTCTTATTTTAACAATATGTATTTATTATGATTATGGAATGATTTAGATTCAAAAAAATAGTTTAATTACCAATGTGTAACAATCGCGAAAACCTATGTTGGACAGTGACATTACAGACTAAAGTCACTTCTAGAGGTAGGCCTCACTGACCAAACTACTTATTCCTTCTTATTTAGTTGATATTCCTAGAAATTTCCTGAATCCGTCGTGCATTGCATTCGCGGCAATAAAGGTGCTCGTCCAGCGGGTAACAGCCGCGGCCCTCTTCGCGGGAACAGAGTGACGCGCCGCAATCCTCACACGCATAACACGCTATGTGGAAGCTCTTATCCAATGCTACTATACGTACTGTTTCCTCTGCACCGCCTTCGGGTACAATTGGCTCGCGACAACGGGCACAACGTGGCGCGTACCTGCGAACAAAAACTGATATTTGGCGGATTTTACACGCACACATGTACACGTATCGGATGCGTAAGCAAGCATTCAGTCGAAAACGCGGAAATATATAAAAAAAAGATAAGCCAATTCTTATCAATAAAAGCAGACAGCAGAAGAAATGTGATAATAATTTTAAATCTCCAAGCCGAAAGCAGTGAATATGTTATATGCCTTGGCAAGTCAAATATGCAATTAAAGAATTAAAATATCCCTTAGAGTCCGTTAAGCCTCACCTTTTATGAAAATCTTCAATACAATGAATACGATTCACTGCGTCCACTGTAAATGGTATTCCATCAAGGCTCTTCTGACACACTACACAGGTGAAGCACTTAGGGTGATATGGTTTGCCAGTTGCTCGTAGTATACGGTCCAAAATGGGGTCACCACACACACAGCATTTTTCTAGTGTGTCAAGGTAGTCTCGTTCACACAATGCTCTCCCCTGCACTGCGTAGAATGGTCGACCCTGAAAATGTGTGACGTTTGTTATACAACAGATGTCAGCATGTGATATAGTTACAATGCTGTTCATGTGAGTACATACAAAGTGTTACTTATTAAATTTCTATATGTAACAATTTAATAATCTTGATTGCATTTAATGCAATTACATACAAAGATTTAATAAAATTTAAAGCAAAATGGTGCAAGTCTACTTATGAAGAATTATTTGTAATTCAATCAGGTACTTTTTTGATACTGCATAATGTGTCTTATGCTAATGGGTTCTGGATAGCAAAATTTTGGAGGCCTATACGGAGGTAGCTACCTATTGTGTTAGAGTAACTGCTCGAATTTGTGTGCAGGCTTTCACATTGCATGAGTCCCTGTGAGGGGAACATTAGATACTTTTCTGCTGCATTGTGTATAAGGATTTATGTGCAAGAGTAGAGCCAGGCCAGCTCGAAATAAAGACCTTAACGTGAGCACTTGTGGGAAGAGGTAAGGCGAAATAATAGAAAGAAAAATCAACTATTGAAAACTTGCAAAAAGGGAGAGTGGGACAATATACCCCAGACAACTGTAAAAAAAACTGATACAGTGAATGAGTAAGGGGATGGTGTGTGTTAATAAAATCAGAGGTAGCAATACCCCCGATTATGTGCAGCAAAACCTTGCAATAACAATTTAAATTTGAAAAAATAGCAGTATTTTTATTAAGACCAACTATTAAAATAATAAAAACTGAATTTTAACTCTTTCGTAATACAAAACATGGCTTTTAAAACATTTTGACAGATGCCCTAATTTTTTTGCTCACCATTGTAATTTCTATGACTTCCACAATAATGATCAAACTAACCAAGTAAGCAGTAATAAAAGCCTATCACATTATTATTAAAGAAAATGTGTATTTCCTATACAAATCCTGGCTTACATTGAGACTAAAGGCACCATCAAAGTATAATACGCTAAACAAAAACATGTGTAAGTCCCACCTGTAGGTTGATTCCACATTGTTGACAACAGAAGCACTTGATGTGATAGATCCTCTCCATAGCCGTGCACCCAGTGGTTTCTCCCATGATTTTCTCTCCACAACGATAGCAATTACCACAATACAGCTGATCATCTGGTTCTGGAGTGGGCTCCGGTACTGGGCCTACGTACCCGCCATAAAGGGACGTACCGGAAAGCTGGCTGCAAGGACGGGGGTTTATAGGTTCGTACAACGATTCGTAAGTGGAGGACGTCTGAGAACCACCATATGTGGAGAAGTCTTGAGCGTTAACAGAGGCAGAAGACGGCGGATACGCTGAACCCGGTCGCCTTAACTCGCTGTAGTTGGATTGCGCTCCTAAATCACTAATCCGTGATACTTCGGACCGCGCGTCCCGCTCATAAATACCTTCCGCCACTTGTCTTTGGATCGGAATATTGGAATAAACGTGGTTTGTACCTCCTGGAGGCAGTAAATTACTGTACAACAGCACATCACCGCTTCGAGCCCGTGCTGTGTTCCTCACAATACAACTTTTTACTGGCACTAAATTGGAGTATGTAGAGCTTGCCCTGCTGCCAGATTCCAGCCTAGATGAGTAGGAAGGTTCACAAACTGATTTCACCATGCAGCTCTGAGGCACTTGCGGTAATGGAGCTTTGTTTTTCTTAGGCGGAATCGAGGGTTTCATCTTGGCTGCATTTATATCATCTTGCAATTTCGAGTCTAACTCGTTAGCGTAGATACGCAAATCAGCTAACTGCTTGTCGAGAGTACTCATGGTTGCAATTTCTAATCCACCAATAATAAGTTTTTATACAAGTTTATTTGTTAATTCCTAAAATTGTAACTCGGTAAATTGATAACGCCTCGTTTGATGCAGTCATTTGACATGACATGACAGCTCGGTGCTCAGTTCACTTCACTTTTTATTTTTATGGCTCCATCAATATGAGAACTGATGATTTTGCCAATGTCACAGTTGAAAGAAAAAAAAACGAAACAAAAAAAAAATTTTCGCTAAGCTCTAATAGGACATTAACCGGTGTTGGTAAGTTGGACTACGGGAGTACTCAGTTGAGAATGTAAAACAAAACAACAAAACAATATTTATAAATATATGTTATTTAAGTGGATAATATTACATAGAGTAACAATATGGGGGGAGAACACTAAAGTTAAGAGGTTGTTTATGTTAATGGGGCGGGGGAATTTTGGAGAAAGTAAGTTATAAAGTGGAACAGCAATATTAGGACAATTGAAAAAAATGTGTTCCAAGGTACCGTCTTCTAGGCCGCACTCGCACAGAGAGTGATCTCGAACTCTGATTTTACGCAAAAATACAGGTGTGCAAACATGGCCTAAGCGCAAACGAATAATAGTGGAAGTGATGTTTTTAGGCAAATCGCGACGTTTAAAAAACCAGGGTTTAGTGGGTAGATTTGGTTGGAGGTTACCATAGTGTCTACCAACAGTTTGTTGTGATTCCTGCCAAAGGACCGACCAGGAGGCTAGCATTTGGGGTTTGGTCATGGCGAGCAGATCTCTGGGAAAGCACTTACAGTATTTGCATACGCCAATTCTTGTCGCATCCTTTGCAAAGGCGTCTACTGCTTCGTTGCCACTAATCCCACTGTGACCGGGAATCCAGGCCAGAGTTACCTCAATTCCCGCACAATGACATCGGTACAGAGCTTCCTTAATTTGGAGGGTGATGGAGAAATTGTCTTTGGAATGAAACGGTAGCTTAATAATGTCTTGGAGGCAACTTAGTGAGTCTGAGAAAACCAAGGTGCTCAGTTTTCGGCCCATTACTGTGTTGTACATTGACGGCTCCCTCGGCCCATAGCTTAGAGGATGGAAGCCCATAGTGCTCAATTCCTGGAATGCGTTTCGTTACTTAATTGGCAAATATTATAGACAGATATTATATGGATATAGCGAGGTGGAGGAACTTGAAGATGTAATGCACAATGTCTATATTACTAAAATTTAAAAAGTATAAAATAAATATTTATGAGGCACAGAAAAACCAGGTTATGCCTAAAAATTATAAAACCTATAAAATTCGTTTTGCTACAGACACAGTACATTCGTATACAAAAAACTCTGCAAACATTTTTTTCCTTGTCCCTTCATGCATCACTATTACATACATTACCTATTAACTATATTTACGGATAACGAAAGTACGTTACCCAATGAATAAATCGACATCAAAACTTTTTAAAAATAAAACTAGAAATATCAAAATTTTTATCATTTAATGCTCCCATACATTTAATAATAACATTCCTAGAGAGGCGTTCTTAATGTAAGAGGTAAAAATAAGTTAACAGATGACAAAACTGTTGCAAATAAAGTAATAAAACTATCTTTTAATTGAATAGAAATCTAATAATATAGTCAATTATTTGATCAAGTGTGAGTTGTCCATAAAAATGAATAAAATTAATCAATTTTTTTTAGTGCATTTCGAATAAGTTCATGTAAGGATCATTTCATTGCATGGGACGAAAAATATAGGGACAGCGAAGGTGGATCAAATTTAATTAAAAGTTTTTTTCATAACAATAACATTTTATTAATTTTGATCAACTTCTGCTGTCCCAAATCCTTTCGTCCAATACAATAAAATATTTTTTATAAGAATCTGAGGGTCGTATTCCAGAACTCTACTCAATACTCAAGTCAGGACTTGAGTATTGCAGTGAGCACTGAAAATCATACTCAAGTCCCTGCCATTAGGGTCGTATTTCCAGTGCTTACGTTTCCATTGCAATCCTGACTTGAGCATTGAGTAGAGTTCTAGAATACGACCCTGAGTCTATCAGCATTAAAAAAAACTAGTCCATTTTATTCATTTTGAATAAAAATATTTTATTAAATTGACCAACTTCTGCTGTCCCCATTTTTTCTCATACAATAAAATTATTTTATTATTACAATAAATAATAATAAAAATCGCACACACTCATAGCACCGCACTAGGGAAACTTTTTGTCGCGGGTGCCATGGACACTCACATAGAATACCTCAAATTATTATTATTATTATCAATTAATACACTAGCAGCTCTGCGAGCTGATGCGTGTATATCACTGCACTTGTATATTATTCGTTTCCAAAATGTTTATCAAGTCTAGCTTTGAAAGTGTTCACTGTCTGTGCACTAATAACAGTTTCTGGGAGCGAATTCCACAAGTTCACAACGCGAAATGGTAAGAAGTGTTTTCTAGGGTTGCTAGCACACGGAGGCATGTTTAACTTTAGAGAGTGGCCTCTCAATTGATGATTATGATTCAATATGTACATATCTTGCATATTGCGCACATTGTAGTACCCATTGAGTATTTTGTAAGTCTCTATGAGATCTCCTCGGTTCCTTCGCTGCTCCAAAGTAGTTAACTTTAGTTCATGGAGGCGCTCTTCGTAAGATAAGTTTTTTAAAGACTGACCATTTTCGTTGCTCTCCTTTGTACTTTCTCCAACATAAGAATGTCCTTTTTGAAATAAGGACACCAAATTTGAAAAGCATATTCCAATAATGGACGTATATATGTTTTGTATATTTGGATAAATAACTCCTTAGTAATATTGTAAAATGCTTTTCTTATCATGTACATCATAGAATTAGCTCTTCTGGTTATGGTTATGATGTGTACGTCCCATTTAAGGTTACTGGTTATTGTAACACCAAGATCTTTTTGTGCATTAACAGCCTGAAGAGTTATGTTATCCACAGTATAACCAAGTTTCGGATTACTATTTCCCATATGCAATACTGTACACTTTGTAGCATTCAATGAAAGAAGCCAGAGTTTTGTCCATTGTACAATGCGGTCCAAATCCTGTTGTATGGTATTGTGAGCTATTAGAGGGTTTCCTATAAGCTTGGTATCATCTGCATATATTGACAGGTCTGACTGAATGACATTCTTTAAGTCTGTGATGAAGATAACAAACAGAATTGGCCCAAGGACCGATCCTTGTGGGACGCCACTGTGAACGTCAAAATCATCTGACAGAGTATCACCTACTCTTACTTTAAACTTTCTGTCACTTAGGAAGTTCTCAATCCACTTTAGGAGCTGTCCACGGATTCCAAGGTGACTGAGTTTCGCAATTAGCCTTTTAATAGGGACTTGGTCAAATGCCTTCTCAAAGTCTAGATATATCACATCAGTAGGGTGGCGCTTATCCCAGTTGTGTGTCCATTTGTCAAGGCACGTGAGAAGATTCGTAACTGTAGATCTCTTTGGTACGAAGCCATGCTGTTCATCTACGATAATGTTCTCCACATTGATAAAAATTCTTAGCTCAGCTGCCACAATCTTCTCCATAACTTTACAAACAATGCTCGTCAAACTTATGGGACGGTAATTAACAGCAACATACTTGTCACCTTTTTTATATATGGGAGTAACATGTGCCTTTTTCCATTGTTGTGGTAATCGTCCATTAGTAAATGATAAATTCATAATGTGCGCTAACTGCTGGCTTAAAACATTGCTACATTTTTTTAATAATATTGCCGGCAAGGCATCTGGTCCCATAGCAGTAGAGTCATTGAAAGTTTTTCCCAAATTATTCCCAAACTCACAAAAGAATAAAATTTATAACTCGGGACGTCTACGTGGCAGCAGTTCGGCCAAGGAGGCAGTTAAAGTAAGTTAAAGGAAATGATCCTTATATGAAACTGAGTCGATCCGTACTAAATAAAAATTATAAATTTTATGTTCACACGCCAGCACATCAAGCTACACAGTGACGTATCTTGTTCCGTTGCAATAGAGGCGATTTTCAAACAAAAATATGTAGTCTAATGTGCCGTTGTCCGTACATACAACTCACACTTGACCAAATACTTTACAATGTCATTATATTTTTATTCAATTAAGGACACTTTTTTTATAAATTTATTTGTATCAGTTTTGTCATCTGTTAATTAACTTATATATACCTCTTACAGTAGCAATATTAAAGCCTCTATGTCATTATTAAATATATGGGAGCGTTCAATGTTACAATTTTGGATATTTATAGTTTTATTTAAAAAAGATATTGATGTCGATATACTCATTAGGTAACGTACTTTTGATATTAGTCCAAAGCTTTTTGATATATCTTACATTTATGGAATAATCGCCTGGGCACAGCCAACGATTGCACCCTGTATACATTATGCACCATCCATCGCCATGATCACCACTACAAATACGAATTGTATGGCTGAATTTCCAAAAACTAAGCGCTTGTCATGCTGATCACATGATTGCGAATTTATTGAAAGATTCAGTTTTATCGCTAATGACCGCTTATTGTCGGTCGGCTACTGGTGTTGAATAAATAGTAGTTTACTGCTAATTAAATTCCTATGTTCCACATGACTAATTTCAGGTTTCTTACCTCGGTATGATTTTCTATTCTTTCCCGGATATTTCGGAACGATTACACCAGATTACACGCTCCATGGTCACGGGCGACGCGGGCGAGTTGACTGACAGCTTCAAAAATTATCTTCATTCCGATTATTCTCGATTATTTGCGGGCATTACCATTGTCACTCGCATTTCCTACAAAAAACACTCAATGTGTCTACACGTGAAACAAAAATGGTTCGACTTCACTGTTTTTATTTTTGTTACGTATAATTATAGGTAATGATAATCTTCATCGCGTATAGTTGTTTTTCAAACAAAACCAACGTTTCGGGACCTTTACAGATCGCATTTGATTCTGAGATGGTGCGTGGTTATGTCTAATATTAATGCAAACTATCCTATTTTATTATAGTGTTTTTAACGTAATAAACGTGAAATATGTATAATATTAATAGTATATAGCATAATATTTTATAGTAAAAAAATCTGATTATTGAAGTCAGTTATTTGAGTTTGCTATAAATTCAACAATTATTGAGATATATTTCCACAGAAAAATGGTTAGATTGACTTTTATTTCCTGATCCCGAATATGTATGTAGGTCAATTTTGATAAAAATGTTAGTTGTGTCCTTTTTCGTTCCAAGAGCAACACGGGTCTCAGGAACTAGGAAATCCTCTTCAGGGGCTTGAAATAGGTCTTGATAGACGCACGCTTTCGATCTTGTCTGTTACACCTCTCACAAACGGTAAAAAGATGCGCCTTCATTCGAACGTCATATTTATTTATTATTGTTGTTGTAAGGTGCTTTGTGCACCAGATTCCACACACTGGATAATTTAAATACCTGTTCACGAGGAAAAGTTTTACACTATATGATTTCCTTCTAGTATCTATGCTATAGGCCGTGCCTATAGGCCTCAGAACCGTCCTCGCATGGAGCACACGTATCCCGCAACCTTCAATGGTTTAGTCTTAGACTTTAGATTAATAATAGTTTTTTTTTATGAACATACGTACCATTTAAATTGAAGAAAATATTGTTTTGGAAGTAGTTTTCTATATGGTTTTTCAAACTTTATAGTAAATGATGACTCTTCTGTAAGCAATGATCTTATTTAGTAAGTATGTAAGTACTTGTAAATACTATTAGGTATTATGTAGTAATAATAAGTAGCGAGTGGCGGTCACACAACGGTATTTTTTTCATTAATAAATCATAAACATCAGCTTGTTACCTTTTATTTTTACGAGCAATTACTTTAGTTACTTTTATAGTTCTAATTTATAGCGCATTCTAACAAATCTTAATTGATTTGCCACTCTTTGCTTTGCAGCCAACGAGAGTTTCCCAGAGAAAATGGATTTTTTATTAAGAAGTATTACAATAGTCGCCGTTTTTCTTTCTTTTAACGTAGGTATACCACCATCACAGTTCTTATGTTATTTATTTAAATACCGATACTTACATGAGTTAATTAATACTCTGTTTGGTTTCAGATATTGTTTTATGTTCTGGCAGAAATAGATTTTGACGATAGTAAGAATGTACAGTCTATTTACTTAAAAATGTTATTTACGCATGTCCCAGATTTTTTGTTTTATAATTATAGCGCCTCTCACAATAACAATCTTAATTATAGTTATTTTTGTACTTTATTTGTAATATATTTGAAACACTAACATTATTAACTAAATTGTTGCAGATTATACAACAGAACCAGGTGAAGAGGAGGTAGATTACGATTTCTTTTGGGATTGACTTGTTCAATAAATCGTATATAATTTAGTGGTATAAGAACACAATGGTATTTAAAACAAAATTACTTTTTCAGTGGCATATGGATTTCATGCCGGTGAGTTGTTGTTCATAAGTTTGGAATCACAGACGTAAATGTAACTTCATTCACTGAAATACTGTGTATTATAAAATGAATTTATTTTTGTTTTTGTTCTACAGACTGGTTATCTCCCAGATGGTGTCTACAGAGAAATAGCCTGGTATGGTATACTGCAAATTAAACCCATACACCACAGCTCTAAGTATAAAGTAGCTGCACAATTAATCTGGCAACATACTCTTGGACGGCCACATGTGATTATGGAAAGTCCACCACAGGTAGATATAAATTATTTCATATTTCAGGAACGTAGTAACTACACACACCAAAATATTTTTTATTTCTTTCAGTCTACTCAATCACCAGGGAAAATCGGCCGTCAGGTATTAGCTGATAATGCAGCCAAATGGTCGAGAGAGCAACGTGCGGCACAGGAAGTTCTTATGGAAAACATAAAAAGTGGCGGTAACGGCCTTACTGTACGAACGGTGGTCAGTGGCAAAACCAAAACTGCTTATATCATACATAACGGTATAGCATATAATGCTTGTAGTACATATTTCATAATTGTAGTATAAACTGTCATTTAGAATATGTTTCTTTTCTAATCCCCAGGTAACTACTATAAATGTCCTAAAGGCTCTGAGCCTGACATAGATACGTACAGAGTACAAGCGAACATGCATGATCGTAAATGTACGTATGGGAAATCATCTTATCAGCTCCCGATCGACCCTTGTATTGAAGCTGAAACTGCTCCTATAGAATATTCCTTTCATGAGGGTTGGATGTTCTGCCTTGGAAATGGTGACAGGGAAAACAATTATTTTCAAAATGGCACTCTCGATTGTGGTAACAAAACTAAGGTATAACGCAGAAGATTTGTACGCAACTGATTAAAATAAAACCGTCGTCTGCATTTGCTTTAATTTGTTTCAGATAACTGTAGATGAAGTTTTGGATCAATGTGCTATTGACAATAACATTGTAATCCTGTTTGAATATTTTGGAGATGAACCTAGAAAAGATTTGATGCACAATGCAACAATCTGTACAACTTGGGATCCCTGTCGTGTATCGTATTTATACCGCCTAGAGGTAAAAATAATTCACTAGTAGGAAGCCAAAACTAATTCCTTGAGTTTAATTAAATTCATCATGTAATCCAAGAATTCATTCTTAATGTTTTAAATAGACTTTGCAACCGTACTGGATTAGAATAACAATGATTGTTACATTTATAGGTGTTATTCCAACAATAAGTAATATTAAAACATTTGTGTAAATAGCAATTTTATATTATGAACAACTTTGTATTCGTATTTTACAGCCACCACCAGTAGAAATGACTCCTGCTTTTCCCACTTCTACTCAGAACCCTTGCGAAACAACTGTCTGTCCAGAGTGTCTTGAAGATTCTGAAGATTTGGGAGTACCAATTGAAAGTAAATCTCATTCATTATGTTTAATTATAAGATAACAGAATTCACAAGCAATATATATTGCATTATAATAAGCGATGCATATTACGCACTAAATCATACTATTACTATTAATAAGAAGATATTGTATTGCGTGTCTTACTGGTTTATTTTTTTACAGTTCTCTCAGATGACGAACAAGATATACCAGTACCAAGTTTTGAAGGGTATGATGTAGGTGACAATAATCCATCAAACGGTATTGAGAGTGATACAGTCGCTCATGATGGTGACGATTTACCTAAAACGGGTGAAAGTAGTGACGGTACCAAAGAGGGTGAGGATGCCGATGATGAAGCTCTTCGAAGTCGTGGTCGTTCCCGTGAACGAACCCGTGCTCACTCCGGCCGTGGTACCCGTAAAAAGATTTAAGCGTTTATCGGAAATCGTTGACAACATTAGAAATAATAAATACTTCATTACTAATAACAATATACACAACAACCAAAGGCGGATTTTCTTTTTTGTTTAAAATAAAAAAAAAACACATTAAATTTGCATTTAATTTGACTTTGCAATTCAAAGTTTTTATTCAAGTGACGGGACGAACAAGTCGTGCGCCTGGTGTTAAGCGACGCGCCTGTCCGTAACAGTTGCAGTGCCACTCAGAGTTTTAAATCGCAAAGACCTGAGAGGCACTGCCACTGCGTCAGTTACCCTGGTACATAAGTCCCATGTGCCTGTAAATTCACCAGCACCTTTACTCGTCAAAACCGGAACGCAGTACTGCTTATTGGTTCACTGTTAGTACTGCCCTGGATGAACTCATTCACAAGGAGCTCTGCTGCTACTCGAACTCAATATTAATATCATCTTCAAAATTTTTCAACTTTATTACTAAAACGCTGTTATCTCTTCTTTTCCTTTTATTATTTTTATGTTAATGAGTTTTAATAGTTATTTAATGCACCTATGTCATATATTAATTCTAGATCGAGTCTGAGACTAGGAGATCGGAATATTGTAACACAGGGTATCCTAGTAGGTTCCGCTCTCTCGCAATGGTCAAACATGTTGTCATTTCAGCTTTTGAATAGGTCCATTATAAGATTAATACCATTGTGATTGGAAATAAATGATAATTATTATTATCACATTCTTGTAATGTGTAAATAGATCCCTGTCGAGTAAACTTCCGCATCGAATTATTTCAGTTTAATTTGATCCAGCTTCTCCCATTGCACAATGTTGAAAAACTAATTTAATAATTAATGAAGATCTTTATTAAAATATACGTAAATACTCAAAAAATAAAAATTGACGTGAGGAAAATTCTATGAGACAACAAATTCAAATTTCTCTACTTAATATTGAATGACATCCATTACCATACCACAGGCCAGTAAAAGATTGAATCATGTTATACTGACATTATTAAAATTCGAAAACACTTTTTCGTGCAACTGTCCATGCGTAGGTATGTGTTATAAACATATAATTACATTCGCATTGTTTATCATTAAAAATGTAGCTGTTGTAATAATAATAAAATACTTGTCTTATATTTATACAAATTGTTTATTTATATCTCATAGTTCCTACCTTAATCTTTCTAATCTCGTCTCCAAATTTCATTTTTATAAGTTTCCACGTTTTAAAGATAAGACAGTTACTTTCACATCTTTTTTCGTTTAGAACATAATATAACACGGGAGACGCTAGAAATTATTTCTCAGACAAAACTTTGTACGTACCATTTTTTGATGGGCGGGAGGGTACTATTATACCACAGTTTTACAATATTATAATACTGTGGTACTAAGACTATTACTACATATAAGCTTACAGGTGTATTCAAATCGAATTGTGTCACCATGGTTTTTTGATAGTTTTATGTTGGGCCTTAAAACTAAGACAATAAAATTCAGATACTTATTTTTGAACGTAAAAATGTTGATTATATTTGTATACTAATATTCTATTAATTATAATATAATTTGATATGAAAACATGTTCGGAAGAGCACGCAAATTGGTTGTTAACATCCCTAGTAAGTTTGTGGTTTCTGGTACTCGCCGGCCGCGGCCGCGAACGTCTTGCTTCGCTCGGCTCGTGCTGTTTTTTCATATACTAAGCTAATCTAACCCACAGACTTATAAGTCTGTGATCTAACCTACGGAATGGAGGGCGCAACCAAGCAACCATGATTTATTGAGAGATCAATATTAAAAGATATGTGATTAAAAATGTCCGCAATCGTTAAAAGAAAAGACCAATAATAAAAAAAGAGGATCATTTTTTTTTAACACCAAATATTAATTTAGTATGGTTAAACCTATAGACCATAGTGTTTACCTTATTAATTTGTAATTTGCCCGTAGATCAACTAATATAGACGGAACAATTAATATAACAACAACTAAACAATTAAAATAACAGTTATTTTTTTATCACTTGTTGTCTAAAAAACAAAAAATATGTCGTAGTCGTGTTACGTGCCGTTCATTTAAAAAAGTGCCCATCTTCAATAGATCAATTGTATCTTTGAAGATCAAATAATATTATCCCATGAAACATTGAATGATTTTTTCTAACATTGATATTTACTCCTTGATTTTTTCTACCATTAACCATAGTGTCACCAAATGCGCGACAAATAACTAAGTTACAGGGTCGTATTCCAGAACTCTACTCAATGCTCAAGTCAGGATTTGAGCAGACTTGAGTATGATTTCAAGCACTGGAAATACGACCCTAATGGCAAGGACTTGAGTATGATTTCGAGTGCTTTAAACCATACTCAAATCCGGACTTGAGCATTGAGTACAGTTCTAGAATACGACCCTTAATTTTGTAAGGCAAAGAAAAATTTTTTTTTTCTGTTTTTTTAATGTTGAATCTCATTAAAATAAATAAACTTAAGTCGTTTATTTATTTTAATGAGATTCATCTAATTTTATAATTTGTTTTACGTTTCACATTCTGTTTAGATTCACAGCAAACGTAATAGATGGTTACATTTGAGTTTCTTAATTGTTTATTATATTTTAAGCGATGTATTTGTAATACATAATGAAAACTCGAGATGTGGGGAATATGACGCTCTCCCCAAATTTGGGGATTTTAACCGTGATTTTTGGGGATTTCGAATTGGCATTGGCAACCCTGGAGATACATCTTGCTTGATGTCGTTGATGTCAAAAATAGCGGGTTTTGTTTTTGTAGTTACAGTTTTTCACAAATTAATTTTTAATTTTAAGTATTATTACGTTTTAAGTTTCTTAATCCTTTCTTGCTTGTTTAAACTGATGGCTCTATAGCCAATGCTCAACAAATAAATAAATAAAAAATAAATCTTGCTTGATGTCAACATGCACAAATAAGAAAGATATGGTCCTACTTGTGAGTTTATTTTTTTTAAGTTGTGAGTATAGTGTTCTGTGGATATCTTACATAGTAGGTGTCAATGTCAATTGTCACGCACGTGGTTGTCAGGTTGTCAGGTTTTCACAAATAATCTGTGGTTGTCATCGAAAAAGTGAGTTGATGAATTGAGCGTGGTAAAAACTGGGAATTTCTGTAAAAAAAATATGAAAGATGGTAGTAACCAAATATTTACAGGATATACTTGATGTGTCGGCAAAAACTCCCACCTTAAACTTGCCTGCTCTCAAAGAAAATGAGCTGGCAATAGAATTTTCTATAGATGATGTAAGTTTCTTGATTTTCTGGTAATTTAATGAATAACAAAAGTATAAAATGTTGTTTAATATATATGATTAACGAATATTTAGGTTAACGATAGTGTTTATGAAGGACAAAAACCTTTGTTGCCCTTCGCTAGGAGTGGAGAGTATCACGTTGGAATTAAAGAATGGAGGCGATTGACGGCGATTGACGAAGGCTGCAAACCCGTTTACGAAGTCACCTTCGATGTTACGGTAACTGAATACTGTTTAAAATATTCCACAGTGATGTAAGTGTCCTTTATATTCCTAAGACCCCGTAAACTACAATAGGAAAGGCGCTAAACGCCCAATGTACTAAGTACAGTTATATGATTCAGGTCAAGCAAATATAAGTTTTGTATGAAAAACTTAACGGAGATTTTTTAACCTTTTTCTCTTCATACACTATATATGTATATATTTAGCGCTATATATAGTGCTAAATTTGAATACAATATGTTCATGATTTTTTAATCATAGAAATATTGTTGTTTGAGTCTGACTCACTTCATATATTTGGAAGGACTTTAGAAAACGTGACTTCAGAGGGGGTGGGGAGGGGGAGGATGTTTATAGTGTTGGAGATATTAGTTTTTGAAAATTCGAAAATAAATCTAAAACTATACATATATTTTCGCACCAAGTGCACGTCATGTAATTTCTTGAAAGGTGAATAGTTTCAAAGAAAAAAAAATTATTACTTTTTTTTTTATATGGAGAAATAAACATTTTATTTTTTGTCTCCAAATGTAGGAAAATGTAATGTGTGTGGTTTATTTACAATATAGGTCCAATCATTCTCTATCAAGAAAAAAGTAATCCATCTGCAGGTACTTGCAGCTTTACGAGTAAAAAGGTGTCAAAGTTTTAGACTTGTTATTTATTTTTTAACACAATGTACTAGTTTCTACTTAACTTTGTGTTATTGTTATAACACTCTCTAAATTACAGTTAAATTAATTTTTCTTTAGTTGAAGCTCATGTATTTTGTTAAAAAAGTACATAAAAGAGTTAGCAATTTTATCGCACCTTTACTTACAAAGCCGCAAGTATATGCAGATGGATTGTTTTTTCTACATAGAAAATGATCGGAACTATACTGTAAGTAACCCACGCACATTACCTTTTCGTATATTTTGAGATAAAAAATAAAATGCATATTTCTCCATACAAAAAAATATTTTTTTTTCCTCCAAAACTATCGACTTTTCAAGAAATTATACAAGAATAAAAGTTGTTAGGAATGTTATTATCTATCATATAAAAAAAAATTAGCTTGACACTCCACAAGTTATTCCTATGTCCAAGAATTATCAATTTGGGCCCACTGTGTGGCGACTAGGAATGGGCGTTACAAATCGTATATGGTTATTGAAACTAATTATTGTGGCAATATTGAATATCCGATATCGTGTATCTTAGAAACTATATATCGATATTGCTCCGCATCGCGGATTTTATAGTGATGCCGAATCAAGCCGAGCGATTATCGAGTGGATACCAACACGAAATCATATATTTTCCAAACTTTATGTATACCGATATTGCTTCGTATCACATATTCACTGAGTGGATATCAATGTGAAACCTTTTTTGTGCGTCTTCAAAACTGTATACTAACATTGACCAGCATTGCTCTTGTAAAACTATATCCAATAATATATAGTTTCTAATAATATATAGTAAATCTGATTCCGAATATCAGTAACGGCAACGTATCAACGCAGCGCGCACGCGGGCTGTATCCATGAATATTATAGTTTCAGAAAATATATAGTTTCGAAATCCGATTTCGAATATTGATATAGTTTCGATATGATATTCAGAAAAATCCATATTACCCATTCCTACTGGCGACAAATGGGGAAAAAACCCATATGTTGCCAGGTGGTGACAAATGGGTGAAAAAATCTCAGTTGTTGCCAGTGGTGACATTTGGAAATTAAAAATTCCCAGTAGATGCCAGTAACAAATGGGTTAATGCTAGCGTTTGTTTATTGCCCCCCTCGAAAGGGAATAAAATAAAATTCGAGTCTAATCATGATTTTATTGTTGATTAAATTGATTTTATTCAATAAAGATCTGTATAAATTTTCTAAGATGCTTAAATTTTATTTATTGTATTAAAACCAAAAATGTTATGACAAATGATATCTATGTATACTAGCATCCGTTAAGACACAATTTTTTGGTATTGAAGACCAAGCCTGTACACAGCAGAGTAATATTACAGGTTTAGAGTGAGCTGGGATAATATAGGTGGATGGTAGTTTTGTTTAGGTAAATATGAATGGCATTCTAAGGACTTAGGAGTAGCCATTATTGAAAAATATAATGAGACTAGTGCTCACATTACATAGTTGACAAGATTTTCCCATTTGTGCCTGTTAAACGGTATTCAAAATTCGAGCTTTATACATTCTATGTGAACAAAACGATAGCTTGTTTTAACTCAATCCTAATGCCAACTATCGGCAATAAATTTATTGTTTAAATTTTCGCGTTCAAAAATGGATGTTATATTTTGCATGATGTCACCATAGATTCTTGTGAATTCATTTCAATGTGGTTTTTTTTATAGAAAACGTAGAATTTGTAAGATTCTAAACTTGATAATGAGGCAAACATAATATCCCTTATTCCCATTCTCAGTCGTCCGCATCGCCACCTTTGTTCCCACTGGCGACAAATGGGAATATATGTTGCCAGGTTGGGGAATAAATAAATGGCATAAAAAATCTCAGTTATTGCCAGTAGTGACAAATGGAAATTAAAAAATCCCAGTGGTTGTCAGTAAGAAATGTGCTAAAAAATTCCCAATTAACGCTAGCGTTTGTTTATTGCCACCATCGAAAGGGAATAAAATAAAATTCGAGTTGAATCATAAAAATACAGATGTTTATTGAATAAAAGAAATTTTATTTTATTTCGCGTTCCACCACGATGCGCGTGTAGGGGACCGGGCAACACCTACCTCTCTATCTGTTCAAAGTTTCAAACGATTTGTTGTGTTCATTTCATCTCGTAAACTTGTACAATGTAATGATCTTTCCGCGAAGGCGGCTGTAGACTCTGTATAAACAGCGCGTTGACTGTATTGCACCACTGCCGTCAACCGAATTCGTTCGTCGAAAAATCGGCAGTGGACTCGGTGACGTAAGTTTGAAGTGCTTTTGACTGTACTTTCAATAAACTAAAAGTACCTAATAATTTATTATTTTCAGGGCAGTAATTTATCCTTCAGTCCAGGAGATACAATAGGCATAATACCACATAACCCAACTTCGGATGTAGACTTCATAATTAGCCATCTATGTCTTCAAGCACACTTAACTTATGTCCTAAGTGTGAAGAGTTTGAAAGGGAAAATACCGGCTTATATACCGGTGAGGTCTACTTTGTGGCACGTGCTCACACATTGTGTCGATTTGAGAGGGGTTCTGAAAAAAGTAAGTAACATCAGACTGGTAAAAAATTACTTTAATTTTTTTCAATAGTAAGTAAACTATCAAATCAATTACTTTATCAGCGAGTTTATGAACATGATAAATTAATATCATCAATCATTTAATTTTGTTTTAATTAAGTATTTTAATTGAAACAACTTAAGTATTTTAATTTAAGGACAACATACATTATAACAGTATAATAAACTAAATAAATAAACGAATTGCGTTTGTCGGCGACCTGTGGCGCAATCTGGTGGTAGGCCGCGGAATCGCCGATATATGACACCCTTCGGCTAAAACTCTTCTTCATGAAGGTCGACAAATATTCGGTTGGCACTCTCACCACAAAAGAATTAAAATTCAGGTTGTGGCGGGACTCCAACGGCTCGGCCCTCATTTGGTTTTAGCCTGATGTACTCCACACTATCTCCTCAGACTTCGTGGAGTAATGTATTTAGGTCAAATAATGGAAAAGTTTATGTTATGTCGCATTTGGAATTTAAAGTTGGGTGCTCAACAAAGATGGCATAGTGGGAATTAGCCCACTGACAATCTCTGACGACCTTCGTGGTCGAGCGGCTTATACACCGGTTTTCATGGTTACGCCATCTCTGAGATATATAAGATTATATGTATAGTCGCCTTACTGTGTATATATCGCATGTGATTTCGATGTAATTTTTCAAAGTAACAAAAAAGTGGAAAAGTTTGTTACACCATGTTTAAATAAATCTTTCCAAATAAATAGTTTACTTAATCACAGACGGTTAATGTTCATGTATCGTTTTTATTACAGGTTTTCATCCTCGCATTATCAAGGCATACAAAAGAAGAAAGTGAACGGAGAGTTCTAGAATACTTTTGCAGTAAAGAGGGATCTTATACATATACTACTCATATTCTAAACAAAAGAATTTGTATACTAGACATTTTCTCCATTTTCAAAAGTTGTAAGCCTCCTATAGAAGTTTTACTGGCCTATCTACCTAGATTACTTCCAAGGGCCTATTCCATAGTCAATAGTAATGCAAATGATCCTCACGTAATAAAGATATGTTTCTCTGTAATGCATTTAGGTAACAATAGAAAGGGTCTTACAACAAGTTGGCTAGAGAATATTATTCTAAGTTCAACTATTGAGCATAAAATGGAAAATTTGAATATTAGTGAGAGTAATGTAAAGGACTGTAAAGTACCTATCTATCTAAGAGATAATTTATCAGGGTTTACTATGCCTCAAGATTTATCAACACCTTTAATTTTAATCGGGCCTGGGACTGGCGTATCGCCATTCATTGGTTTTCTTGAAGAAAGAAGTATAAGAAATGATAAAAAATCATCAGGAAAAACATGGTTGTTTTTTGGATGTAGAAATCCAAAATTAGACTTTATTTATGAAAAGGAATTGAATTTTTATAAAGAGAATGGTACTTTAGATAAACTTACAGTTGCCTTCTCTAGGGTTGAGGACAGTCCAATAAGATACATCCAGGTAACTATAATTATTTTATCATAATTATTAATTAAAAAAGAAAATGTGTTAACACCGTAATCTGCCGTCCACTAACTAAAACACGGTTAAGTGAGGAATAGTGAATTATCAGCGCAGTCGACACTGTGTTGTCAACTGTCAACTCCAACCTCTTCGGCAAGTGAATTCGGCTTGCCGAAGGTCGTTTGTGTCGCGCTGTTTACACAATAGTTCTCGTTGCCTTTGTAGAAATCATGTCAGTTCGGTCCCCCGTCACTTGCCGAAGGCGATCGATTCGCCTGATAGTGTTTACACTTGGGACCGTGGAATACCTATCTTAAAGGGGGCATTCATTATCCTGCATTGTAGTCCGCCGCGAAATGCAGGATTTATATATTTTATTTTATTCTCAATTCTAATGTGTTTATTATCTTTTTCAGGATGCCCTATTACTGAATGGCGAAGAGTTGGTTAATTTAATAAATGGTGGTGCTTCAATATTTGTGTGTGGCGATTTGAATACTATGGCTTTACAAATTAAGCAAGTCTTTGTCAAATGTTTAGTCAAGTATGATGATAAAACGCAAGAGGAAGCCGAGAAGTTTGTAACCGACTTGCAGAAGGAGAAACGATATTTTGTTGATGCGTGGAGTTAAACATTATCATGACCTTTCTAATATATAGTAATTTATAAAAGAAATATTGGTGGCCCATTGTCTTTTATCCTATTGCTGGTTCAACAGTTCAGTCTTCCAAGAGGTTATGCCGTCATGAACTTGTTACATGGTTGAAATTTATCTGTGTTGTAAATTATAACAAATATAGGTATGATATAGGTACCTAGGTAAGATACGATTATTTAATTATGTAATTATTTGCTATTTTAGGGTTTGTACCACACATTTGTTAGCACAGGCAGCCCTGAATCGTGTTGCAAGTGTGGTTCAACTCTATTATAGCTAATCATAGCAATAAAATAAATACCTGACGAATTTCACGAGTTTTCTTTCATATATTTTGACGAGTAAAATGGAATTGGACAAACAAAAATAGGCATATTAATTTTACAAAAATAATTTAATAGGCAAATCTCTATAATAAAATGTTCCAAAAGTGTCATTGGTATATAAACTTACTCTACGGTTGCACGGTTCTTCGTTGTGTTGCCGACATCTTAATTCTAACGTAATGTAAGTAAACACTTAACATCTAATGCTTCAAGCAGGCACTCGCGGTGGAGGTGAGGACTGAATCTTTCTAAATTTCATATAAACTTGGAAAAGTCAACAAAGAAAACGTGTAACTTTTATATTTGGACCCACGTCATATTGTGGTATTACAAAAACATAATTGCTTCAACTAACAACACAAATATTGCTGGACTTTTCAACCCTCATGCCACCAGTTCTTATTATACATGTTTATATGCGGTAATTTGTATGTCTATCGTCGTTGTATTAATGATTACGAGACATGCCGCACAGGTCGTTAAGGAAAAGATAATCAATACAACACAAACACTACACAATGATCAATTCCTAAGTTGGACTTTGAATATTATTGTTTGTTTCGACTGCGAAAGATTCAAGTCCAAAAATACCCACTGAATCAAAATATGGCTACGGGAGTACAAAATGCAAAAAATAATACACAAATAATAATACTACAAATAAAATATGAATTAAAAGTACGCTTTGTACTTTAACTGCAATGGATTAAAAGATTTATTTCAGATTTCAAAAATCTCAATATTGCACAGATTGTTTTTTTTGACGTAAATGCAAATTTTATAATAATATAATTAATACCTTGTGCAAATTTTACATTAACAATATTTTGTATGAATGTATTATTCTATATAGTAGTTATTAATAGATAATTAAAATTCATTACAAAATGGGCAGTGCGTTTTTATATTTAAAATTATTGTTCTGTCCTACAAAGTGTGCACATGGTACAGTCTTAACTATTGCATTATTTATATGTAGGTAGTAACTTTTCAGAAAAAGAAAGTATCAAAATAGCTTCATCAGTATCAAAGGGAATGTAAGGAATATTGGAAATAGCTTTGAAAAGTCAAGTGTGAACTAAGACTAGCTAAATTAATGTTTTTATGTACATTTTTGGTAAATTATACAAAAAAGAAATTAGTGCACCCAATATCGTCAAATCATGATACCAAAAGCACGCGTTTGGGACCAATCTCTGTTGGTAAATAGCACCAAAGTTTTTTTGACAATGTGCGTAAAAAAGGCGTATTTCGCGTGGAATACGAGTCAGTTCTAAAGTTGCATAGAAAATCGTCAATAAATACTCTCTAAATTTATAAAAAAAATTTGGACAGATTTACTTTTAAGTAACTATACTAATGCATAAAAATCACCAATAATTAATTCGATATAACCGATCGTAAATATGGCATATTCATTGTACATTCGGTTCAAGGCGCGTTGTCTAATAAAAAGCGTGTATTTTTTACATATCAATAGCTGATAGCGTATCTTACTACCAAAAAGATAACTGACAGATAAGACACAGCTTAAAACGCGACTTGCGTATTGTCTATAATCTCTGATTGCATGAATACTTACATCTAGTTATCTAATGCTTCTGAATATTTTAAAAACTACATTTTATTGGACCACCCACATATCTTTGTGGTGTGTCTGCTTTTCAAGTAATGACACTGCAATAATGGCTGTCGCGCTTCTGTAGCGCCTCGGGTATGTTCGCGGAGGCGCACACAGACGGGTTTGCATCCTCATACGCAAGAGGTGCGCCTCGATGCTGCGCCGCCTGCGCGACAGATCCAACCGCATCCTGAGCGCGTTGTCCGCACGCTGGGATTCACCGATACACGCGCATTGGATGCGACTACATGCGGTCGCATAAAAAATTAATGTTGTTTAGTTTTTGTGTCGCGGTCCTTACGTCTTGTACAAATAACTAATCCTTAGAGCACAGCATAGCTATAGTATTTTGTAATTTACTAACAATTTATGGACCAGTTCAGAAATAAATGATTATTATTATAATAATGCCTTGCATGAACAACAATAGTACAATAAAAAATAAGGAATTTTGCGTCCGATACCTATTAGATTACATCATACATACACCAATACTTAAACTATCCAATATACTTGGCACCGAGTTACAGTCCTACACACAAATTGTACATACAAGTTGTAAATGGTTACAAAAGTGGAAATAGAAAAATAATTTTTGGGAATGGAAGAATATACCAGTCTCATCAGTCGTAGCTCTTGTGGAGGATCTTTTGCGCGGCCTTGATTAGAGGAGTCAACGTGCGTAGCTCCATCGCGCATTCAAGGAATGGGTGCATCAGCAACTCGTCTGCAGTCGCGCGCATGTCAACATCCACCTGCAGGCACTTGTCGAGGAAGTCCTGGAAATCCGGCGACAGAGTCTCCCACCTAGGTATTTTTGGACGTCCTACCGCCGCAATCAAATACAACGCCCTTAAAGGGGTCTCCTTCATATATGGTGGCTCACCTTCAATCATTTCAATAGCCATTATACCGAGGGACCATACGTCTACTTTCTTTCCATATTGCTTTCTGGTGACTACTTCAGGGGCCATCCAATACGGGGTGCCGACCATGGTCTGTCGCTTTTCGTCGCCAACGATGTTAGCGCAGAAACCAAAGTCTGTTACTTTTACTGTGCCATCCATACCTAGTAGGACGTTGTCAGATTTAATGTCCCTGTGAATGGTACCTTTGGAGTGTAGAAATGCAACAGCTTGCAGGGTCTCGCGGCACACAGCAGCTATCTGGCCTTCTTTCATGACAACTTCAGTCACTACATCTGTTAATGACCCGCCGTCAAGCAACTCCATTGCTACCCAAAGATGATCATAACTAAGGAAAGCGTCAAGGAAGTTGACCAAATTCTTATGGTTGAAATCTTTGAGTACATTTATTTCGTTGAGTATGAGATCCTTTTTGGACTGTTTGGTCAAATCTATGTCCTTGATGGCCACCTTCGAGTTGTCGTTATGGTCTATTGCAATGAACACCACACCTGAAATAGATGAGAACAGTGTCTTATTTTATACAAGTCACTTATCATCGTTATCAAAAGTTATATGGACTGTTTTTACTGAGGTTATTATAAGATCTCCATTTCACACAATCATGAGTAAGTGTTCCATATTTGGTTATTAAATATACAATTGTATATTAATGGTATAAGTAGTGATAGATATTTTTTCACTAAAAGTGATGACACTTTGGATACAACCCAGTTTATTATATCAGATTCAGTCCCTAGAATTAAAATGTTTATTTAATTTTATAGACAAGATTGCACCAACAACTTAGTATTTAAAACGATTATTCGAAGCCTGGGAATGTAACTCTATTGTTTTCCGACAAAACAGTAGATCAAGGTTTCTTAAAGCTGCATTGTCATGGGTTATGTAATAGAAATATTTTTATTTTGTGATCCATGTAGTAAAAAATAATACCTACTTAGTAAGTCACAGTGGGCAAGCATACTGTTCCCAAAAGGAAGCCAAGTAAACATACCTTCTTTGGGAGAAACAGTTTGAGAGCTGAGCAAAATTTAGCACTAGGAGTAAGTATTTATGAGTTAGTTTGTACATATTCCCTGGACATTGTTCACTTTCAAGTTATTTCAATTGTTTCAGAGATTAATATTGCAAATAGCATACCTAGGTATATATGTCATTAGTTTTCCTGTTCAGTATACATATTAGTACATGGCATACCGATGGTTTTTAAGGTACTTAATTAATGCATGTGTCACATCAGATCTTGCATTTATATGCCTGAATAAATGCTATGGAAGTGTATAAGTGTATGACTCATACATTGGAATAAAGCCCAATTTCTGTTATAGCAAGACTTGCAGGAAATCTTTATTCAAATGGACGAAATGACTCACTGTAGATAAAAATAAATTATGATACAGGTAGGGTCGTATTCTAGAACTCTACTCAATGCTCAAGTCAGGACTTGAGTATAATTCAAAGCACTAGAAATCATACTCAAGTCCTTGCCATTAGGGTCGTATTTCCAGTGCTTGAAATCATACTCAAGTCTGCTCAAATCCTGACTTGAGCATTGAGTACAGTTCTAGAATACGACTCGTAGTTATGTATGACCTTTATAAAATCCCGAAAAATTGTCTTGGATCAATGTACTGTGTGCTTAAATCTGGCGAACAGAAGCAGACATCGAAAAAGCAGCCATGACGATTTTAACACTTAAATGACTTAAACAAGATCAAATTGATATGGTGAGAATTGTCAGGCACAAAAAGGATTATCATCTCTGTAAAGCCTGTATAAGGGAAAGTTGTTTAAATAAGTGTAAGAATTAAGATAATTTAGTAAATGAAACTTGAAGGTAGAACAAATGGAGCAATGTCAATAGAACACCAGAGAGCTGTGTTGTCTTAGTGGGTAAAGTGGTCCATCATGATCGTATATATTCTGGTATACTGTTTTGTTGATAAGTAAGATACATGAAGGACTTTCAGGAGACTTCACAAGAGACAAGAGATAGTGTGCAGTTTTACACTAAAGGCCATTTAAAACACCAGCGTTAAGTATAGTTCCAACTTTTAGATAACTGTTAGACAAACAGAGGATACTAAAAATTCACATGATAAGACTTGGAAATTAGTTAAATGTTTCTTAAATACAAGAAATGACATTATTACAGTTGTCTTATTTGCACTACATTCATTTGTCAGCAAATAATCAATATTTTTTCCCTTTCTTGTACACAGTAAACATGTTTGTGTGAAAGAGGAAATATCATATATGAAAGTTAAAAAAAATTGTATTTTATTTGTTATGTACATCAAAGGGGCAATCAAAACAGAGATTAGATAATGTAATTGAAGTGTTAAATATATAATTATATTGATAATAAATAGTATATCAAATTTGTATTTATTTGACAATTACCCATACATTTGGAGTGGTTTCTGCATATTTTGGTACACTTAATTGGGAAAATAAGTTTTTGTGGGTTGCATCTTTTCTATTTTATTATAATATTCCTCTGGCTTAATTTCATTATTGATTGCCATGAATTTTTCACGACTTGGAAGTGAAATGTTTTAAGAATACAATTCTTTTATTCAAAACAGAGATGAGAGGTATTGTACGCCTACAACCTCTTTGATTTGACGAGTCAATACAATTATTACTGTAATTATAACAGACACTCAATCTAAAGCTCTTAATATTTGTTTATATTATATGAAATATGATAACTATTGTAATCAAACAAACAAATCAAATTGATCAATCATATTTTGAATTCAATTGTTCAATCAAAATAAATAGAAACCTAATTATATAACATTCATTACTTGCTTTTACTACTGTGTAGTGTAATACAGCAACACATATTGTATTAATCATGTTTGGTATCAATTGAATCTCACGGTGGGGAATTGTACATATGGTTTGGTACTTCTTCAGAATTTATGCTTATTCAGTGAGTCAAGCTGTTTAATTCTATGAATAAGAGGAATTAAATGAATAGGTATTCAAATAATTTAGAAGCTTTTCGCTGTTAATGCTAATAACAAAAATTTCAATAGAGGTGAACTAAATACATAGATAATATTACAAGAATTTAGAGACTTGGAATCTTTTAGTGCTACTAATAAGATAGAAGAATGAGAAAAAAATGGATAAACAAAATAAGAACTTAATAGACAAATAACCCAACATTCAGAGGGCTAGTTGTTTAATAAGTGAAAGCCTGTATGTTCACTTTTAAACATGGTCCCACTGGTCTTTTAATTACATTTAGGTACGTTTTAGAAATGAAACAAATTTCTCACCCGATGCTCCAGCACCAAGCTGCTTAACTCTTTCAAACCGCACATGAGGGTCATCCCTATTACAAATCTTTCTCAGCTCCTCATATATCTCCTCATCAGTCATCATAGAGTTCATCATTTCCTTCTTCCTCAAGATAGGGCTCTCATCAGACTCCTTACCAATCATGGACAAGTCTTCAACAACAGCTGTCAATTCCAATATAGCATCCTTTTTCTTAAGACCATGCTTCTGTGGTGCAGCAGGCATTGTCTGCCGTTGTGCATATTTGTCATTTGTACTGTTACCCACCTCCTCCTCACTACTCTGCCCCAGTGATAGATCAGAATCCTGGCTTTGATGGTTTTTCTTATCTAGTAATTTCTCTATCTCTAAGTCCTCCTCAGTAATAGCTTCAGCTGTAACAAACGGCTTGAAAGGTTCGTCTTGAGCCTTTTCCTTTTTAATGGTGTACATATGGAACTTGACAGCCTGAATGGCCGCGTCCGGGTTTTCATTTTGTTCAGCGGGAGTGATTTGCGTGTTGAGAAGACGCAGCCACGAGGACGGGAGACCTTCCAGCATACCCGTCTCCGAATTCTTACTCACGTGGATGTGCTGCTTTACGTTTGTAGGCATTCCGATCTCCGTCGCTCGTTCATCCTTGTGCTGATGCTTCTTTGCAAACAGCTTCCCGAACACACCACGACCCGAGCGCCCAGTCATCTTGATTACACTTTATACACTTAAGGAACCACTAAGCCATTTCAATCAATGAACACAACACTACATCTCTCTTCGGAGATTGTTTTTGTTGAAAGTGAAATTGGTTTCCTGAAGGTAGGAGTGGCAAATCACGGACGGATAGAAAATCAAGGAACGGAGAAATTTATCGTCTGTCAAATGGCTGAAACGTTTAATTTCAAGCAGTTTAGAGATAAAGATTTAAATTTAAATTTAAAAAAATTAGTTTCTCGTGAAAAACTATCAAAGAAAGGCTTTAGTTCCTACATTTTAAATTGTTTTAAATAAACTCTTCTTTAAATATAGCTGCGAAAGAAATTTTAGAAAACAAATAGTTAGTTAGGTCAATAAAACAATGAGAACATAGGAACGTTTTTTCTTTAGTCAAGTTGGCACTAATGTACAGCTGATAAATACAGCGAGCGGAATGATTCATTCGTACCTACGCGAAGACCGGAATTTAAATTAATGTTAGTTTTAAAAATGTAACGATGTGTAGGACATGCATGACGATAATATATAATTAAATTACATACGTATAGTATTTTTTATGTAGTTGATGAAACTATATTATTGACACTTGCTGTCTCAGATCTTTTTTTTTCATGCTCTAGGCTTAGATCACAGAAGACAAAACAATAGGCTGGCTGCTTGCTGGCTGCATAATATTATTATGTTTATAGAGTCCTGTATGACAACGAAAGAAAATATTTTTTTGTATATTAAAATTAAAATTTAAAAGAAAGGAATTAGGTACCTTTATAGGTACAGTCAACAATACTTCAAGCTATACACTTTTGTTTGAATATCGCTTCTAGTACAACGGAACAAGATCCGTGGATGTGTAACTTGCTGTGCTGCAGTCTGTAGGTACATGAGCAGATTAATAAAGGTGGAAAATATCATCGCATTCTCTATATATAGTTGCTTTAAAATCATAAATGGACACAAAACTGTTGAATTAATTTGTTTTTGCGCAATGTCAGTTTAAGATTAATCCTATTTTTCACTTCGTCGGAGGCAAGTCAATGTCCTGGGGCAGTGATAAGCTCAATTTAGCTCGTTGAATTACACATGCGCGGGCGCTGCCGTTCAGTTATTAGCAGTTTTAGTTACCTTCAAACTAGCGTTAGTAGTAATAGGTGTACGTATTCACTTTCGTTAATTTTTTTGCAATGGTGTATGGGTAGGTAGATAGGCTTACGTTTTTGCAGTATAACTTTGGCTGTTTATCAAACTCCGTTAAGTATGCAGTGTTATTATTTGGCTTCTCAGTGCTATTCGATTAGCATAGAGGCTTTTGTGGAGTCGAAGTTTCAAAATGTCGATCACCGTAGAAATATTGATGGCTTTTATTTATTTTTTAAATATTGTGCGTATTATAAGCATAACATACGAAGAGAGTATCTTCTCGAAGCTACGATTATTGAAAGAATAATATAAAATTTTTTATCATGTAAATATTTCCTATTATCGCCCCTTCCACGTGGGTGACACTCGTCACGCCATTCATTGGAACGTATCCGTGTAAACCGAACTAATCACCGAACTCGCGTACGTTTCTCGACAAGAAGCGTGCGATATAGGGACATATCACGCGGGAGTTGCGTCGTTACAACCGCGTTGTACTACATATAAGGGAGTTGCCACACGAGCTGTTCCGTCGAAGGGCATTGTATCAAAGCACCTTGTGGCATGTCGTTCTGAGTTATATGTAGTACAACGCAGTTGCGACGACGACGCAACGCTGTCGCAACGCCCGTTCCTAAATTTGAACGATATGCTATACGGTGCGTTGAAACAGCGCGCGTCGACGGAACAGCTCGTGTGGCACCAGTCCATTGAAAGCAACGTAGTTGCGACGACGCAACGCCCGTGTGTGGCATCTCCCTCAACAAATGGCGTTACGTTGTAACACTGCATTGCTCGCCACTGCATCATGGCATCATATTGCATCAGTGGAAATCATAGCGTTGCGACGAGACGCAACGCACTAGCAGTGCTCGTGTGGCATTGCTCACACTGCTTCCATCTAAATGGCCCTTATTTTTTTTATTAAGTCCAGAAATCTCCGTATTTATCACTGATATACCCAACGATATCTATGCGTGCAAAGAAATACACCACATGTGTTGTTTGGTATATTTTAGAGAAACGCGTACCATCGTCGGTCGCTTGACATTAGGTGAATTTATGACCAAGCATGTGCCTATTTTACATTAAAAAAGAAAGTAATTGGCACTGCTGTTGGGTATCTCCAAACCCATTATAAGACAAAATGAAGTTACCGTCTTCAGTTATCGCATATACGCTGTTATGCTCGCGGTAACTCTCTAGTAAAAGTAAGACAATGGGGTTTACTGCTGTTTTATTACAATTAATTAACATTTGATGCGTTACAGCCAATGATTTACATAGAAATTGCAGTTTTGTTCGTGTAGTAAAATTTTTAACTTCGTTATTAGCTGCGCTTTTAAAATATGTTTTTGTTTAGTTTTATGGGATTATTTCGATATTAAAGTATCTACTCTACACATTCTTCCTTATTTTTCTTCAATTTAAAAGTCAAGTCATAAGTTACCGACACCCTTTTTGGGTCAACAGATTACACCATGGCCTCTTGTGACGAAATGGTAGTAAATATATAAATTAATATAAAACTTCAAACATAGAATGTTATGTTATGTAAGTCGCGGTAAAAACCGACTTGTCCTATTTTGTCTCTAGTTTGAACTGTGTTCAAAAAAACATTTCTGTTCAATTTCACCTTTCCAAAATCCCGTCGTGATTAATTTCTAACAATTTTAAAGAAGTAACAAAACATAATATTGTTCAATTCAAATTGAACCCAATGAAAGGGGCGTAAGAGTTAGTTTAAGACATTAAATTAGAAGTTGGATTAAAGTAGACGGATAATCCAGTTAGCATGTTTATTTATTTTTCTTTTTGGAGCACGTTTGCTTGTAGCCCGTGTAGAGTTTCAACTTTGTTATAGAGACTTTGCGTGCTCAGAAAGAGTTTGTTTGAAAGAAAGATATCGAAAGACAAAATTATAAATTTTAAATTTAGGATCTAAATCGTGTACCTACATATTTGTTTTTTCAAACAAACCAAAGTTTTGGGCCCTTTACATGTCCCATGGCCATGGTCTATTTTAGGTATATTTGCTTGCTCTTATTTAAGGCTAAATAGAATTGAGTTCTCGAATTTATTTTTACGATCAACAATGTAGATACTCACCCTATATAAAGAAAATAAATTATATTTTATTTAAATTTAAATCATGTCAACCTTTGTTTAGGTAACTTTTAAAATGTTGATAATTAATTCTTTCCGTTACGGAAAAGTCAAAAGTTTAAAACTACATAGTCAAGTCTTGGTGAATATTTCCATTATCTGAATTTAAACATTTTGTCAAAAATAACGTGACAACTTGAATAGTGGCCCCTGTTTCAGATTCAATTTTCGGTAAACCAATTTAAGAAACCATTTTTTGAAAGACTATGTGGTTAGCACCGAAACCCAACTAGTCTTTATGGTAGTTACAGGGAAGTTAATTGTAAATAGAATTCGAAACAATTGACGACACCCGTCAATTGTTTCGAATTCGGGCTGGTCAATCCTTAAGCTTAACTCACACTGCCGCAGAGTCGAAGCGTCGCGTCGCATTCTATTTTTCAACTACACAAACATTTCTTGATATTTTATTTTGATTATTGGTTATTGACTCAACATGGCACTATACAATAATTACTCATATCGATTATCAAGAACCGTTCTCCGAGCTTGTGATTGAATAAAATTAATTATTCATGCATGTGATAGTAATGGGTGCGCCAAACAACACCGACGACTTTGTTACTTCTCGTCTGTCTGTCACATGCGTTTACATCGATATTTAAAAGTAGAAATGAAACTACCTAAACTTGTAAGAAGTTATGTTGTTGAGAATTTTAATCTCACTAAATAGTTTGCACGAGCATAATAGATAAATTTAGACTTAATAATCATTTATGCGTAGATTCAAATAACTTCAATTTTTCATTATGATTTTTAAATATTTTATATTTGTAGAGGCACTTGCTTTATAAGATTAGTTGTTTCATTACGTAATGTGTAGTGTTTTCTATGTGATTCCACATTATCCTAAATAAAAAAGCACTATCGGTTTATATCGAGTTTTTCGCGATTGTTACACACATATGAAATGAAACTATTTTTATATTATACAGTCAATTGTGACCATGGAATATGACCATTTGTTTGAAAAAAACGTTTGAAATATACGCATCTTAAATCAGGAAAACCGTATACCATAGGAAATAGTTTCATTTCCTATGGTATACGGTTTTTATTTTTTTTAGTCCAACATACTTTTTTGTTAAATTATTAAAACTTTTTAAAAAGAATAGTCTTGTATGAATTTCATCGGTATATGTATCGATATGTGCACACACAAAGTGACATCCAGAGCATCGATACGTAAGTATTTTCATCGATATATCGATCGAGTTCTTTTTAGAAGGAAGTAGTCTTTACACCGTTTAATTTTGGACTTAATTTGTAGTAAACTGCTTCCTTTGCACTATTTTTAATTCAAACACGTTTTGGCTTAGTCAACTCCCCTGTTTTCCTTCGTTTTAAATAACATATATTATAAAGAGACTTCATATAAAAAGCACTAAAACATATATGAAAGCTATATATACTATTGAGGTCAATATCAATGATACTCCATTAGTCTCGTTGCTGACGTTTTCGTCGTAAATGAGAAAGACGACATAATATGAGCTTATGTGCGTATGTGATGTAATTTTTTTTTAATTAAAAAAAAAATAGTTTGTAATCTTGTAAACAACAAGTTAAAATTTTAATGTACGAGTGTGCGAGCTTACGCCATAAAGAGATTTCTTGCAAAGTAACCTTTGAATAACTAAGAGGACAGTTGGTTTCTGGGTTGTCCACAAAAAAAAGAATGCTTCATTGAATAATTTAATTACACAGATAAATTATTTATATTAAATGTACATATGAATACATATTATTATTATTTTATAATATCAAGTGACGGGACGAACAAGTCGTGCGCCTGATGGTAAGCTTGTTGCAGTGCCACTCCAAGCTTTAAATCGCAAAGATCTGGGGCGCATT